CAGGCGAGTGTGGCTGGGTGCCTCTCTAGCAACTTCTGTACTATTTCTGCATCACCCAGCCCATTGGTGAAAACTTCAACAGCTATAGAGTCTTGTTCAATCTTTGCTCTATTACCATATGCAACAGCCACTTTCCCATAAATGTCATCTCTGAAAACATGCAGGGCCTCACCAGGTTTACACACTCGCTGCCTCAGTTCTACAGCAACAGCAGCTGCATGGTCAGAAGAAGCGCCATATGCAGTTTCCAGTTCGTCCACCAGGCGGCGGTAATCCCATTTGGATGAGCGGGGATTTCTGTGGATAATGGCCCCTGCTGCTCCAACTAGGCAGAATTTAAGCTGAGTTGTCATTGTTTTTTCTGACCAATAGTTAGCTTCAGCGCAGCTCTCAAACCTGTGCAGAAATTCCTTCCACGGTGTGGTGCCGTCATATTGGCCCGGACGTAGGGTGGGGACTCTCTCTCTAGGATCACTGTCCTCTTCACTGTCAGATGGGGGCTGACGGGGCACACAGCGGGTCTTGCCTGGTTTCGAGGGGGGTTTATGGTGTGCAGTGGTTTGCCCATAGCTTATGGCTTCATTAAGGCTACTGGAAGGCATACATTGCATGGGTGTATTTAACATTGCGTTAAATTGAGCCGGTGTGCTGTGTACAAAACTGTCCATGTGAGCGGAGGAAAATGGGTTTGAGTCTGGATAGTGGATTTTCATTTGGGGAGTAGGGACTGGATAATAGTTCATGCTGCTGCCAGTGTTTCTCTCACGGCCGTAGCTGCGGCATTCAGCATCAACGAAGGGATTAGTGCGGGAAAACTGCGGCTGGGCAGGACCATCGGGCGGCGCGAATACACCCTCTCCATTAGCATGCGTGTTAGCACAACTTTCGGCACACAGGAATGGGTTCATATATTCACATTTAGTCACAGCTCTGTCTCTGTTAGCTTCCCTAATGCTCGCGGCACCCTCGGAGACACTGGTCAGCGACATGAACGGGTTGGAGTAATTGGTCTCAAGTCCGTACTTTTCGGGAGAATGGCGAGCAGCGGCCATCGCGAATTAGCTTAGCTGCGGGCTAATACACTTGTAATTACAGTCACTCGGCTTTATCGTTAGCCGCTTTAGCCTGTCGGTTTTTCTCTGTGCTCACCACTTCTTTAACAACGTGAGAGGGTCCCTTCGTGGTCGCCAGTGTTAACCATTCCTCGCCGTCACTCCCCTGACCGTGGTCGGGAGACACGAGGGGAGATGCTTCCTCCAGGGCCGAAGTTTGTCCTCCTTCGGGGTTAACTCCCTTCACTTTTGTGGAGTAGTGAGGCAGACAGAAATCAGCCGAGGCACCGGAGAGTACTGAAGAGATGAGGCTTTAATAACAGTACTGCACAGTTCGGAAACACACTGCATAGCCTGTAGCCCGTTAGAACGCTGCTCCCGGTCGCCCTCTACCCATGACACACTCTCTCACTCTCTTTTCCCTCTTTCGCTCCCCGCGTTTCCTTCACGCGCATGCTCACACACACATTACATACACTCCTTACTGCACCCAGTCACACACAAGACAGCAATTCCCGCAACACATAGTTTAAAAAGGTTCAAGTTAATCCCACTAAATGGGACAATAGCACCACCTACTGTCACAAATGTCACCCTACATTGACTAAGAAGGGCAAAGAATTGTGGGTAATCCTCAGAGTAGTGGAGGATTCATGCTGGTTGTCCACGAAAATTAACCATTCTATGTTGTTGCCTTATAAAAGGGGTTGTTGGTACAAAAGAAATTTAAAAACTGGATTATAGATGGCAGACAGTTGGTGTCATAAGCCCCGCCCTCTGTTCAAAGATGGTCGCCCACAGTGGACATAGATGCTTCTTTCACTCCTCTTTCAAACCATCTGTCCTCTCTGTCCAAAATGTGAACATTGGCATCCTCGAAAGAGTGTCCTTTATCCTTAAGATGCAGATGGACTGCTGAGTCTTGTCCTGTGGAGGTGGCTCTTCTGTGTTGTGCCATGCGCTTGTGAAGTGGCTGTTTGGTCTCTCCAATGTAGAGGTCTGAGCATTCCTCGCTGCACTGTACAGCAAACACCACATTGTTAAGTTTGTGTTTTGGAGTTTTGTCTTTGGGATGAACCAGGTTGTGTCTGAGCGTGTTGCTGGGTCTGAAGTAAACTGGGATGTCGTGCTTGGAGAAAACTCTCCTGAGTTTTTCTGAACACCGGCTACATAGGGGATGACAATGTTGTTGCGTTTGTCTTTCTTTTCCTCCCTCGCTGGTGTCTGATCTTCTTTTCTGTGCCTCTTTGCTGACTTGATGAAAGCCCAATTAAGATAACCGTTAAGATAAGCGTTTCCTTTACATGTGTGTGTTCCTTCTTTTTTCCTTCAGGCTTAGAGGGAACATTTTCTGCCCAGTGATGCAAGGTGGTGGGAGTAAAAGAGGTGGTACTGGTCCATGTGTGTGGGCTTCTGGTAAACTTCAGTGTTGACGTTTCCATTCTCCTCAATGTGCACAGCACAGTCCAGGAATAGCAAACAGTTATCCTTTGTGTCTTCCGTGGTGAACTTTGTTTTTATCCACAGCATTGATGTGAGCAGTGAGGGATTCCACTTCTTGTGTCTTGATTTTGACCCAGGTGTCGTCTACATATCTGTACCAGTAGCTGGGTACTCTCCCTTTGAAAGAGCCAAGAGCCATTCTTTCCACTTCCTCCAATGGCATGTCCTTTCTTGGCCTTGTTGGTGATAGAATGAGGAGTGTTCCCCACAAGGGGCGCTAGGATGGTGGCAAGGTGTTTGGAAATGTTGTAGGTGGCTGAGTTTATACTGCTATCAATGGGTCTGAGTGGGACTGTGGATCTTTGGAAGATTTTACAAAATACAGCGTATAGATGATGGTATGTTGAGCAGTCAATGACTTTATCCTTTTTAAGTTCTTGTAGGCAACTGATAACTTTCTTTTTGTTGATATGGTGATGTTATAGTCTTTGCTCAGGGATGTAACGGCCTTCTTTTCTTGTATTGTGATGTTAGACGGGGGAACTTCAAGAAACTTAAAGAAGTCCAGATGCTTTTCTTTCCAAGCTCAGACTACAATGACCTGGATGACTGAGAACCTTCACAGATGCTGAAGAGTTACCTCAACAGTATGTTGGCCTAATAGTCACAGTTTTGGTTCGGCTTTCAAAATTCTAGGACTAGAAATTTTTTTAAAATGCCACCCGATGATTGTACAGTGTTAAAATATTTGTTGGGAGGTTCCATTTGGTTGTTAGGACATTAGGATTAATCTTTTATCACAAAAGTGCTTCTGCTCCTAAGAAAATAGGTGGATGGGTGGACAGATGGGTATTAAAATATAGGCAAAAAAATCATAGGTAAGTCGTGAGGACTAAGGGACATGGTTAACTGTCAACAGGGGGATTAAAAATATTAATGAAAAATGAATACATGATATATTAGCAAAACAGCTGGTTGAACTTTGCACATTTGGTCAGATTTCAAAGAGAAGTGGTAGTGGTTGAGCCTGCAACTGATCCACATGTATTTATTTAAAGATTGGATTTGACATTCCTCTACATCATCAATGCTTTCTGTGTCAAAGGTGTTATTGAAAACTCTTCCACACTGCAGGAGAAAACTTATCTGTTATAATGACACAGGCATGTCTGTTTTGCCCTGTTTCCACATAAAGTGCATCTCCTAACTGATTAGTTAAAAGCATAACCAGTGTTAGCTTATCCAGCTAATCTCCCATCATTCTCTCATCAAAAGAGTGGAGGTTTATCCACATTCCACAGGCTGGAAGCTTTATGACAGAACACTGTTTGATATGAAAAGAGAGATCACTTTCACTTTGGTACAGTTTAAATTAGATATGAAAAGTAGACACCTATTAATGCTAATTTACACCATGGAGCCCCACTGTAAAACAAAACTGTCATAGATTTAACACTTATGAAGCTGGATTTAAGAAGTGTTTAAAGTTTTTAGACACAACTTTGTTCCAGTACAGAATGTGGAACTCTCTAGACTGGCTGGTTGGTGGTTGCAGTTAATAGACTTACATTAGTCTATGTTAGCCAGCTAGTGACAGAACTAGTAACTCAGTGAATATGGAAACTAAAACTAAAGAGCAGAACATTTTAAAATACCTTAAATGATACCATGAAAGATCAAATGGCAACCTGTGATGAACCTAAAAGCTTGGAGGAAATTATAACTTTGGCCATTTTGGCCAATACATAGGGAAAGACACTACAAGTCCCGACCAACTTCCAGTTATAGCCCCATTTCTGCTTCCAGTGGTTGATTCTTCTCATCTTTTTGTTGTTGTTGTTTTTTTACAGTCCCCCAGCTGCTAACACTGAAGAGCCAAAGCAGTTGGGGAGAGCTAACTTAAAATCAGAGGAACTGATTATATTTGCGTATATTGTGGTTAGCCACCAGCCTGCATCCCAATAATTAAAGATGGGGAAACTGGCAGGCAGGGTCAAAACTTCCCCACATTCAACGTTCTGTCAACATAGGCCATGATAATTTGAGGCCTGAACAAAACTGTCTGGACAAACAACTAATTCACCAGCTTAGAATTGCCCTCGAACCTCTGGATTTACCCATGGTTGTCACAGCACATAATGGTCAATATTTTACCACCAGAACTCACCAGAGAGTGCCAGCTCAGCTGATTCCTTCACCTAACCACTATAAAGTGATCAGATTCTTTGTGTTCTTTGTTCTACCCACAATCCCAATTTTCTGTGGCTCTCATGGTTAGAAAAATCCTCACATAAACTGAGCAAAAAGTCACAATTACAGATGGAGTCACTTCTGTTTCTCACATTGTGTGCAGCCTACCTCGCCACCTACTCAGTGTGCTGTTGAGCCACATGTCATATAACTCAGACACTTGCCCCTGAATAACAGGTTAATTCCTGAAAATAGAAACCTAAATGTGTTAAACGATGTGTTTTAATGTGACGAATAACCACAGCAGAAACATACTGTAGTGCTGATAATCATGCTTTATTAAAGAAATAACTGGAGGAAAGACTCAAGGAGGGTGCGAAAATAGTCAAAACTACAACTCAAACTTCAATCAAACCCTTAAACTGCAGGGCGACATGTGGGACTTGTTGTTGAACGCAGCAGTAGGTGGTTTCATACATCTGCTTTGCCGCACCCACCTTGACTGACAGGTGAACTTCTAAAAACTAGCACACAAACACACTGCATACCTCCGAGAGACAGCTCTGTTTCTGCAAACAAGCACAGGAGGGACTCTTATTTAAAGTGATTGGCCAGGTTGGTGGTACAAGTGAAAAGTCTCATCAGTGGTTGTTTGCCAGATGCAGAGCACAAAATATAAAAGAAACACTTGTGCTCAGGGAGTGCAGGCCGCTTGCACTCTGAGCACGTCAGTGAAATAGCAGTACGACAGAATCAGTCGGAGTGCGAGGTCCAGTCATCCTGCTTACATGAGGGTAAATGCAAACAGCATTCAGGATCTCACACTGCTTTCACAATGCTAATGCACTGCTCTCTAAAGCAGTGTATTCATAGTTTTGTCTCTGATTGAGTTAACATCAACAGGGAGCCTCTCTACCTGTTGAGGCAATCTTAAGACTTCAACTTATCGTTGAGGCACAAAGTTTAGTTTCTTAGTTTAACAGAGTATTCGTTCCTGTTGGAACTTTCTCCTGTTAAACCATATACAGTTTCATTTTGTTTTAGTTAATATTATTGTCATAAATAACAATGCATACACTTCCCATAACCGGTAAATTCGGCTATATACATTATGTACATGTCACAGAATAATGGATCAAAAATCCTAAGTCACAGTTATCCAATATGGTACATTTTATAACACCTTTAGACTTTAGTCTAGTTTGGCAAAAATTAATGTCAAGATAGTTACAAAAATAGTTCATATTTACAAGAACAGAAATCCAGATCTTTATCAAGTAGATTCTTTTGCTTGATTAAATAAAAACGCATGAGAAAAGGAAAAAGGGGAAGTTTTGAAGAGTTGTTTTTTTTTCCTTACACCGATCGAATACTAATGTGAACAGTTGCTGTATCAGATCCCAGCTCATTTGACAGTTTGAGGGTGTAGCTTCCAGCATCCTCCTTCTTCACCCCAGTGATAATGAGCGTGGTCAAGTCCTCAGTGGTCTCAATATGGAAGCGTCCGGCAGCAGTCAACTCAATCCTTTTGCCGTCGTGCGACCACTCAATGTGTCTGGCATCACCAGAGAAGGCACAGGCGACTGTCAGGACTTTGCCAGGCTCAATGCTGATGTCCTCTGGCAGAGCTTCAATCCTTGGAGCAGAACCTGGAACCCATGATATATGCACAGAACAAGAACCTTTTTTTCATTTAGAGTAAGGCAGGCACACAATTTCACAACAGACACAAACAAAAAAATGTTATGACAAAAAAGCATGTTTTGCTAATTGAGCTTAATTCAGCATCTTTATGAGGTTTCATTTCAAAAGAAGGATAATTGTGTTGCTGGTGGATGCAAGGAAGCTAAGTACAGTTTTACAGATTACCAAGAGTCTTATGATCTTACCAAGAGCTCTAAGTGATCCCTCCATGTGGGAGGCCATCTCCATGAGGCTACTGGAGCTCATGGCATATGCCTCAGATGACACGGAGGACATGCTGGACATGGACATGGTCTCAAACTTCATTTCAGCTGCCATGCTGCTGAAGGAGCGGGAATCCGTCATGGATGACATCACTGCCTGCTGGGAAGTAGAAGAAAAGGCAGACGACTCCTCCATTGTATGGATTTCTTTCTTCATCATCACCGATGAACTCAAGGATGACGATGACTCCTTTTGACTCATCAATACTGATTCTGGCAGAAGAAACGATAACACACATGTCATTGTTAAGAATGACTTCAATGTTAGGGCTCTGTTATAATTTCTTTAAAGCATTAAACTGGATCAGATTTTCTGGATGGTGATAGAAAAAGCCTACCTTGAAGTCCCAGCTGCTGTTCACAATAAGCTGTAATCTTCTTGCGAATTGACTGAAACACTTGTCCAGTGAAGTTGAAAGAAGACTTGGATACTCCTCCTTCTGATTTCATCTCACAGATGTACTCTCCCTGATCACTGTCTGTTAAATTATGGATCAAAAGGCTGCAAGAACCCTCAGAATAGTGCATCTCTAGGCGACTGCTTTGTGAAAGCCTCCTCCCATTCACATACCATACCACCTCTCTGACGGAGCTCTCACAAACACAGGACATCCTCACTGACCCCTCACAGGCTTCTGCTGTTAGCTGACTCATGACCTTGGGGGGTTTTGGGATTGGGGATTTTACGGTGGGTGGAGATACAACTCTCTTGGGGGACATGGTGGGAGGAGGAGACTTCATTCTAGGAGGTGATTTGATCCCTTCAGGTTCAGGGGACTTCAGTGCCCTTGGTGATTTGATGCCTGCTGGTTCTGGGGACTTGATGCCTTTTGGTGTTTTGAGTCCAGGAGGTTCTGGGGACTTGACACCTCTTGGCATTTTGATTCCTGTAGGTTCTGGAGATTTGATACCCCGGGGTGATTTTACTTCCTCAGATTCCAGTGACTTTCCAGTCCCCAGGGTCTTAGTTGGCGGTGGTGACTTGAGTCGTGGCTCAGGAGATTTTAGACCTCGTGGTGACTTAGGTCCCTCAGGCTCAGGAGATTTGACACCTGGAGTCGGTGATTTTAAGCTCGGTGCAGGAGAAGGTGCAGTTGGTTCAGGAGACTTTATGGTCTTAGGAGACTTAATCCCCTCGGGTTCAGGAGACTTCACACTTGGTGTTGGGGACTTCACACTTGGAGCAGGAGATGTTGCACTTGGTTCAGGAGATTTTATACTTGAAGCTGGTGATGTAACTGAAGGCTCGATGGATTTGGTGCTAGGTTCTGGTGACTTCACACTGGGAACAGCAGAGGTTGTGGAGGGAATAGGGGATGTGGCTGAAGGTGCAGGTGACTTTACACTGGGAGTGGGTGACTTCACGGATGGCTCAGGGGGTTTGACTATTTTAACTTCCTGCTTGGGGGTTGCTCTATGGATGGTTAAAGTAAAATGAGCTTCCTGTCTGCCTTCTGAATTCTCTACCACTACTGTGTAACTGCCCTCATGGGAGGCTGTCACAGAGGAGATTTCCAAACTGGATTTATACTGAGTTGTGGTGACCTGAATGTGGTGGGATGAGACAATGGTTCTGCTCTCATGTATCCATGTCACAGTGGGTGCAGGCTCACCATCAATATCACAGGTAAATCTGACAGTCTCTCCCTCCTCAACTGTCACAGACTGAGGCTTAGTGAGGATTCTAGCTGGAAGAGAAAGTTTTGCCTTCTGGACAGAAACTTCCTCATCACCAGCAGTGGTAGAGGATTTCAGTTTAGCTTCAGATATGGTGTGTTTCCCACTCAGAGAAAATTTGTCAGATGAATAAGAGGAACTAGATGACAGGTATTCAGCAGAAGCATACTTGATAGATGAGTCATACCTCTCAGCAGAGGAGTACCTTTCAGAGGAGGCGCCATATCTCTCATGTGTGAATACCTCATGTGTTTCGGTTAACTTAGATTTGGTTTCTTCTACCTCAAAGTGGGTCTGTGAAGCATAGCCAGCTTTGAAGTGGGAGATGTGGTAGTGGTCTGTTCGAGTGACTTCAGGGACATATGCTTTGGGAGCTTCCTCATCCTTGCGGCGAGAAGAAAAAGTTGTGTAGCTACCACCTGACACCTCCAGGGTAGCATAGTCTGAAGCCTCTCCCTTAGAGTTGGAACATACACAGCGATACGTGCCACTATCCTCTTCCTGACAGTCCAGAATAGTGATGGTCAAGACACCAGTCATGTTGGTAAAGATGAATTTCTCACTGGATTCAGAGATCGCAGTTCCATTGTGGAACCACGTGACCTCAGCCTCTGGTTTAGCTTGTACATTTAGGGTGAATTTTGTATCTTGACCAACTGGGATACGATGAGAACGCATCCTAACAGTGACACGCGGGGCATGGTCCAAACTGAAAGGTGTCTGACTGACCAACTGATACTTCCTTTCAGATTTCAGAGCAGCCTTTCTGGCCTCGTAACGGGACATGATATCAAAACGGGCAGACCGCTCAAACCTCGAGGAGGAGCGTGAAGACCTTTCAACTGACTTGATGGGGCTGGGGGAACGTGGTCGGGTCCTCTCTGGGGTAGGGGACCTCCTCCCCACAATCTCTCCCTCTACTTCCACAGGATGCCTAGCATGTGGTTGTCTTATCAGTTCTGAAACTGGACGCATTAGCTCAATGTAAGTGGGTGACAGTGACCTTCTCCTCCTCATATACTGAGAGATGGTACGTTTCTTCTTTGTCTCAGCAACCTCAACGGTTTCATGTCTACCTTCCTGCCTTCTTTCCTCATGCTCCATGGCACGTCGCTCAATGCGTACAGGGCTGCCAGCAGGTGAGGCAGAAAAGCCAAGCTCCAGTTCATCCTCCAACATCATTCCTTCTTCTTCCTCTGTTCTCATCAGCTCCTCATCGCTAAGGTCTCCCAGAGATCTCCTCCTAGATCTGAACAACGCCTCTGACACAGGACTGGGAGAGCGGCGTGCAGGTCTGACAGTCTCCAGATCATCTAGAGTGAGTTTTGGAATACGCCATCTTGGCCTATACTGGTCAGTGATTCTAGGAAGGGGCATGACGTAGAACTGTTCCCATCTGGACAAACGAATACGTTTCTGTCTCTTCTGCACAATCCTCTCCATCCTCTCTGAAATCTCATATTGATCTTTTAGCTTTCTGTACCACTTCATATCTGACAGAGGTACAAACAGTTTGATACCTTTGTTCTCATCAAGAACTCTGGGATCATGAACCACAGGCTCAGGAATTTCATAGGGCATGAAGATCCTCCTCTCCTCCTCCAACTTCTTGGTCTCTGACTTCTCCTCTTTGATGTCAAACTCACCCTCGACATTCTTCGTGCTCACTGCTGGCTTGTAAATCTCTGCAGCATATTTGAGAGCTTCTTGAGCAGTGGGATTAAGCGGTACAAGCTCCTCAGTAGCAACGATTTTCTGAGCCATCTTGTTGGTCTTTTCAATTTGTTTCTGTATGTGCATGTATTTCTCTTCCTCACTCCTATATTCTCTCCTTGTATAGGTAAGGCGGTCCACCTTCAATGTTGCCTGACAGCTGGCGGTGCCAGCAGAGTTGGTTGCAGTAACTTTGTAAACACCAGAGTCCTCAAGTAGAGTCTCTCTAATGTGAAGGACATGAGAGTCAACGTCCTCCTGTATGACAACCACCTTGGGACCAAACTGTAGTGGATGACCATCCTTTTGCCATTTAAGAGTAGGAGGTGGTACACCTGAGACTCTGAGCTCAAAATGGACACTCTGTCCCTCCATGCACTCAACATTAGCCAGCAGGCGTTTGAACATGGGCTTCATAGTTTCTTCTGTCACAGGATGTGGTGCCACAGTGAGACGGGCCTTGCAGCTGTCTTCTCCAAACTTGTTGTGGGCCATAACGGTGTATTCAGCATCATCAGTCATGTCCAGGTTATGGATCATGAGCTGGTATAGACCCTTATCACTGGTGAACGTGTACTTGCTGTCATTATCACCTGGCTTGATTTTTTCACCATTCTTAAGCCAAATTATGCAAGGCTCTGGATGCACAGTAACAGTAACACCAAAACGCACATCTTCGCCAATGAAAGCGGTGCGGTTGTAGAGAGGCAAAGTGAACTCTGGTGGTCTCTGCAGAAGCTTAGTCTTGTCAACTCTCCTCCTTAATTTCTTGATGGAGCGGCTAAGATAGTACTCTTTGATACTCCTCACTGTCTCGACAAAAAGCTCTCCATAAGCACTGTCTTCTCCATCATCACTCAGCACTTTGCATCTGTACACACCATCATCACTTTCTTCAATGTCCTTTACGTAGATACTGGCAAAGCCATTACTATAAGTAATCTCATACTTGTGGCTTGTGTGTAGCTGGCAGTTACCAAAGTACCATGACACCTGTGTACTCTTGTCATGCTTGGCAATGCTGCAAGTGAATCTTGCATAACCACCTTCTTCAGCTGAGGCATGCATGACTGGGCCAGCACGGAAGCCATGGCACTCAGTTCCAATCTTCACTTTACCAACAGCCAATCCCCTCTGGTTCTTGAAAGCACCACCATAGGCCACACGAGCTGCTGATACAATAGTATCAACCCTCTTTACCAGAGTCTGATAGTACCTTCTGTGTCTCAGTGTCCTGATAGCCTTGTTGCTAATATGCTCTATTTTCATCTTGAGCCATGGGTGCTCCAGAGCCTCATGGGCTGTCATACGAAGCTTCCTGTCCTTGACAAGAAGTCTGTCAACAAAGTCCATAGCCTCCAGGCTGATATCCTTAAATGCTTCACTGTCGAAGACATACTCACAGTTGGTGATATTCTCAATCATCTTTGTGGTAGACTCTGCTGCAAATGGATTAAGGCCACTGAGTAGAACATAGGCCATAACACCAACAGACCACATATCTGTGGCCGTTGTGACCAAATCATGGCGGTGGACCTCTGGGGCGCAGTACTCCGGTGCTGAAAAGAGCATTCTGATGTTTTCTCCCGGCACCAGAAGCCTAGCCTGGCCCATCTCAATGATCTTTATGTTGGTACTTTTCCTTGTAGTGTACACAATGTTGTCTGGGCGGATATCAAAGTGGCCAAAGTTGTGGGAATGCAGGAACTTGAGAGCAGAGCAGACTTGTCTAAGGTACTTGACAATCTCCTGCTCTGTAAGCTCAAAGTTGCTGGTGCCAAGCCGCTCAAAGATGTCAACTCCAGAAATGAATTCAAAGATAAGGATGATCTCCTCCATGCTTTCAAAGTATTCATGCAAGTAGATGATATTCTTATGCCTTCCCACATTAAGAGCTTCAATTTCCCTCAAAACCAACTCACGATCAGTTCCTTTGACTTTGATAAACTTGGCCATGTAGGTTTTCTTTGTGGCAATCTCAATACAACGGTGAACCACACCAAACTGGCAGTGAGCAAGCTCCTCAGAGATAATGTACTTTGAGGACAGCTCCTTCACCTTGTAGAAAAGAGCCTCCTCTTTAGTAATTTCTCTTGTTTCGTCCACTTCCTCATCATAGTTCCTAATTACAGACTTGTCTTCCTTTGTGGTGATAGGCTCAGTTGGTTCAGATGGTGGGCTCAGACCAAACTGGTTCTCTGCAATAACACGGAACTGGTATTTGGCCTTTCCAAATATGTTGATGATAGTGATACTACAGTCAGTCGTTTGTCCAGCACGAATCCACCTATCACTGGTGGTGGGGCACTTCTCCACAATGTAGTTAATAATGTTGCTTCCACCATCACTGACAGGGGGCTCCCAGACAAGAGTGATAGAATCCCTTGCAATTTCACTAACCACAAGGCCTTTTGGAGCTTCAGGAATGTCGGCCACATTCACCTCGATGGTTTGCTTGTCCATTCCAAACCTGTTCTTTGCAGTAATAATGTAGTAGCCAGTATCTTTCCTCTGGACTCCCTTCTGGAATACCAGGGATGTGAAAGACCTTGTGGTGATGACTTGGTGATAAGGAGAGTTGGAGAGGATCTCCTGACCTTTCTGCCAAGTGATTGTTGGCTCAGGTTTGCCAGAGATGGGGATCTTGATGGTGATGTGATCACCACGGACAGCATGGACTGCGCCCATTCCTTGGAGCTCTTGAGGCAGATAGATCTTAGCAGGAACTACAATAAAAATGACCAAAATCATGACTTATTCTCATGAATGTGGGCTTTTTTAAAATCAGGAATTGGAAAGAAGATATCATGCATTTAGTGCATTCTAGAAAATATTTGGAAATTATGATATTACCTTCCACCTCCAAGTTGGCTGTGGTAGAGATGGATCCTGAGGAATTAGTTGCTCTGACTTGGTAAACTGTGGCATCATTCTCATCAGCAGAAGTGATGACAAGCTGATAGTAGCCTCCCTTGAACTCCAGCGCTTTGATCTTAGTTCCATCTGCCAGGATCTCCTTTCCACTACGGTACCATTTCACAACAGGCTTTGGATAGCCCAACACCTTGTTGGAGGAAAAAGAGACAAAATAAATAACTGGTGTCCACTGAACAATGATGTTATGATTGTATTTTTGACTTAAAAACTGAGAGATTTTAAAGGAATAAGCAATGTAGTTTTAAAAAAGGTACCTTAGTGACAAATGTTGCACTGGCATGGTATTTGACAGTCATGTCTCTGATCTCCTCCCTGAATGTGGGAGTGCGAGGAGGCTGGTCAGACTTGGGGATGATGGGTTCAGAAATCTCACTCCATTCGCTCTCACCGCCCATGTTCTCACATTTGACACGGAACTCATACTCGAAGCCTTCAATCAAGCCTGTGACCTCATAGTTGGTCTCTGCAATCTTCTTGGTAGTTACTGACATCCACTTGTTCTGTTTCTTCTCACGTTTCTCCAGGTAGTAGTTTGTGATTTTAGCTCCACCATCGCTGCTTGGAGGCTTCCAACAGACAACACAAGAGTCCTTTGTGGAGCTGATAATGAAAGGCTGCTGTGGGATGCCAGGTTTTTCTGAAAAACAAATAGGAAAGTTACTATAGTGCAGAAGTCCCATATTCTATGCAGTGGCAGATCTTGAAAACTAAATACGCTCCTTACAAAATGAACACATTTAAGTTTCTAGATGGTACTCTATAACTTATGCAAATAGGAGACGGTCGAGTAGAAGCTGTGGTTGATTTGAGACAGAATAAGCCATCTGTGAAGAGGACACCAAAATAAAATATAAATAAACTTACCAAATGGACTCTTGATTATAACCACTGATGGGATCTCTAGAGGCTCGCTGACTCCATATTGATTCTGAGCTGAAACCCTGAAGTAGTAGCCAGCATTCTCCGTCAGATTGAGGACACGGCAGGTGGTTCCAGACAAAGAGGAGGACACCAGGTACCACTGTTCCCCTTCTTTGGCCTCCCGTTTCTCCACAATGTAGTTGGTAATCATTGATCCTCCATCATCCTTGGGAGCCTTCCAGCTGATGACAACTGAGCTCTTAAGCAGGGCTTCAACAATTAGGGGCCCCTCAGGCATGCATGGCTTGTCTAGAAACACACACACACGCGCATATATATATGAAAGATTTGTAGACTGAAACTGAAAACTCATGCAAAGGGCTTTCATTTGTAACTTTGATTTTAAATTTATGGATAGATGGATTGATGGATGTGGAGCCCTTAAGCAATTTGTTTATAGTTTGATCTCACCTTGGATTTCTACACGAAGCACAGTGTCAATAGTTCCAAAGAAATTGCTGAGCTGCACCTTATAGCGACCAGCGTTGGTCTTTCTCTGAACATTCCTCACCACGAGGTGGGTGTAGCTCTCTGTGTTTTCAATGATCACATTTTCAGATGGATTCAGAGGCTTCTTGCCATAGAACCACATGATCTGTGGGATGGGACGGCCAATGTATACGACATGAAGGCGGAGACTGGTGCCAGCCCCAGCAAAGTATTTTTCCTTCAGGGGAAAGCCAGGGTGAAACTGGGGAGCTGCCTGTAAACGCAGTTTACCACTGCTCTCGATCTCTCCAGCCTCATTGATTGCCCTACAGGTGTACAGGCCCTCATCTTCCTGTTCATCTGTTAGAATGCTGAGGGAGTGGTTTCGACCATCTGAGCTCATTTTGTACTTGCGGCTCTGGATCAGTTCCTTGCCAAAGCGGTACCACTTAATCTCAGGCAGAGGTCTGCCAATAATGCCACAGGTCAGAGTGCCAGACTCGCCAAGTTTAGTTGTTACATCTTGGATGTCTTCTGTCAAAGCTGGAGCCTCACCAACTGCAGAAAGACAGCAATGTTTAATCACACTAAATGTATTTAATTTTTACTTTTTGTTGTAAATTGAAAGGAATTACAAATAAATTGGTTGTCTTTCCCTTTAAACATTAGATTTTACACGATTTTGACTTTAACATTAAATCTTGGTCAAAATTTGGTTCTAAGATATATTTTTCTGTTGTCAGTTAAACAACATTTGTATTGAACTTGCCAGATATGTTATACATTGAATGTCAAATTCTACTGCAACGAGGTCATTTGTTTTGATAGACCTCAATCCTGCAACAGCTTACCACTCAATTTGGTCTTGATGCCCATAGGTGTGCGACGAGGTCGGCTGAGTCCAGTCTCGTTCTCAGCAAAGACTCTAAACTCATACTCAGTGGCTTCCATTAAGCCACCCATGGTGAACTGACGATCCTTCGAGCGCTCCTTATTGCATTTTTTCCAGGCACTCTCTCCAGCCTGCCTGAACTCAATCCAGTAACCTAGGATCTCCTTGCCACCATCATGCTCAGGCCTGAGCCAGTGGATGGTGATACAGTCTTTAGTGACAGAGACAATGTCAATCTCTCCTGGTTGGTTAGGTTTGTCTACAGGAAAACAGAAAGGAAAAGGGTCAATAATCTTGGATAAATTCATTCTAACATCAATACATTCTAAAAGTATTTTAGAATGTATTGATCTCATACGTTTCCCTTATCAGCACAGACTGATTTAGATTGATTGCAATGAGTTGGCAATCTGTCTGCATTTATAAATTAGATAGCAGTTATTTGCAAAATTTCATCAGTATCTCTTAAAGTAATTGCAGTCACTCTGAGTTGGACTGTGACTGTTTGGAGGTGGTGTCACCTCCTACCAGGCGACCTGTGCAATCACCTTGCAGTCAAAAGTGGTGACACAGAGGTTGAGGGTGTTACACGTTCAATCTCTGGGTGACTAGTAACCGTTACTACATGCAAATGGTTGACAAATGCCAGTAACTTAAAAATTAACAGTCACTAAGTAAAGGAAGAGTTGCAAGGAGGTTGTTGCCCTATTTGTACTCTAGTGTGACTGAGCCATAACTCACCAAATGGATCTTTGCAGACTACAGATTCAGAAGCAGGACCAGGTTCGCTCTGTCCAATGTCATTTTGTGCGACAACTCTGAACATGTACTCTGCATCAGGGATGAGACCAGTGGCATTGAACATGGTGGTGGTGATGTGGGTCTTGTTGTGGCGGACCCACTTCTCTGTTGAAACCTCCCTTCTCTCAACATAATATCCAGTGACACGAGAGCCTCCATCGTCGCGGGGCCTGGCCCAGGAGAGAGAAACTGTGGACTTGGTAACATCCATGATCTCTGGTGGGTTGCTGGGAGGTTCAGGTGGGCCTGTGATAAAGGATGGTTTTACAAATTAAATTATCAGAGTTACAGTATGTTCAGAGTGTATGATTATCACAACAATAGGTTTATTAAATACAAAATTTTCCCAGTTCGACTGAGAAAGTTGGACTAATAACAAATATATCACTACTCACAAAGTGGAGTCTTTGGTGTGACAGACTCTTCAGATTTTAAAGCTCTGCTGACACCAAACTGATTCTCAGCAGCAACCCTGAAGTGGTACTCCACATTCTCCTTTAGGCCCTTCACCACTAGAGAGTTCCCAATTACTCGAGCATCCACTGTATACCAGGCAGCCTTGGGTACCTCCCGCCTTTCCACTATGTATCCCAGGATGTCTGCTCCACCGTCATCTGATGGTGGCCTCCAACTGACTCTTACTGATCGGGCCTGAATGTCGTCAAATTCCAGAGGCCCTTCTGGGACATCTGGGCGACCAATCACTTTCACCTACAGAGAGGAGGTACAGAGAGTTCGTTTTTAAGGCTGCAAATATTATTAGATTTTATACAATATATGTTTTCATTTCATTAGCCATTCTTTAATAAAGTCTTTCAGACACGCTCCCCACCTTGATATAAACAGCCTTCCTGCCACATTTGTTTTCCAGCACCAAGTCGTAGGTACCAGTGTCATCTTTATGCGCCTCTTTGATGACCAGCTCAGTGATGTCATCATGCGTAGCAATCATGGCCCGATGGGAGATGTCACGACCATCCTTGGTCCACTTGCATGTAGGGATGGGTTTACCCTTAATGGGTACAGACAGGTGGATGACACCACCTTGTCTGACCACATAGCCCTCTTCATATTTAGGATCCAGCTCATAGTCAGGATAATCTGAAGAAGACAGAGGTTTGATTTTTTTTTTTAACTAAAGCTAAAAATGCCAGGATGCTATATGCCATGCCACCAAAAAACTGAAGTAAAGGATTTATAAATATTTCAAATTCTTTCTTTACCAAGCATCTCCTGGACTTTAACCACTCCAGGAATCTCAGCAGCTTCTCCACAACCACCAGCATTGCAGGCGATGATCCTAAATTTGTATTCAGCCCCCTGTGGCATGTGGGTGATGATGTACTCGCACATCTTCGTGGGAGTTGTGTTACACAGTGTCCATTCCAGCTGGTCTACCTTCTGCATTTCAATAAAGTAGCCAGTAATGACAGAACCACCCTCCTCTTCTGGTGGAAGCCAAGCTAGAGAAACAGAAGTCCTGGTAGTGTCTGTGACTCTGGCCTGAACTGGAGGACCTGGAGGTTCTGTTTAATAACATAGAGAATAGGTAAAGATAGTGACCCCACAGTGGTATGGCTAATTTAAAACAGAAAAGCAGTACAACTGTTACAGTGATCTTTTGCGGGACATACCAATGGGGTCTAAAGCGATGGTAATGACAGAACTCTCGCTGGGTTTCCCAGCCCCTCTAGAGTTAATGGCTGTGATACGGTGTTCATACTCCAGGCCCTCAATCAGTCCGGAGGAACGGTACCTGGTCATAGTAACAGGGTTTTTGTTGATCCTCAACCACCTGTCAGAATGGGCCTCTTTCCGTTCTATGATATAGCCCGCAATAGTGGAGCCACCATTGTCCTCAGGTGGTTTCCAGGTCAGGGTCATGCCCTCATGGGTGACATCAAGCACTTCTGGCCTGCTTGGGGGTCCGGGGATGGCTACATAGAAAAGAAAAACAATCAGAGATGAATAACAAACAAGACATAGTACCATATAGTTCAGTGAGAATAAACAATCCACAGTTTAATAGGATTTTTAAGTTTATATATCAAATCAGAACCTGTCTACTTGTAATTGTATACAGTGACCACCAATAACAGTGTGAAACTGAAACTGTAAAAAAATGCTTCAGAAAGAAGTTGGACTTGTGGGCTTGAAAAGAACAAGAAGAAGGTTTTCAAAGCAACAGTGCAAGTTATCAAAGGCAGCACAATTCTCATTGAAGGTGCATATGAAGAACATCTTATGGAAAGAGAACTTACTCTTGGCGCTCTTGCATTCCACCACATCAGACTGCAGGAAGCCACCAATGCCAAAACGATTCATGGCTGCAGCACGGAACACGTACTCAGTTCCTTCAGAGAGCCTAGTGAATTTAAAGCAAGGCCTTGTCACAGACTCGGAGATGGTGGTCCAGCCAGGCCGGTGGGCATCACGCTGCTCAACAACATATCCGCTGACATTGGCACCACCATCATTCTCTGGAGGTAGCCAACTAACTGTCACTGAAACACCGTCGACTTCCTCGATCTTTACTGGACCCATAGGAATACTCGGTTTGTCTGAACAGAAACAACAAGGCAGCTATTTAGGAAGACAGTTTTTGTCTTTTTTATTTCTTTGTCTTTTGATTTTTCTCTGAAGGAAAAATACACCTTACTAAATAAAAACTGAAAATATAAAACATTCAGTTTAGTAAAGAATGTCTGCTTACCCAGGATGATAACCTTGATAACTTCAGTTGCCATGCCTATGGTATTCTTCACCTCTAGTGTGTAGTCTCCTGTGTCAGAGATGGTCGTCTCACGGATGACGAGATGGGTATATTTGCTGGTGCTGTCAATCTTGATGCGGTCCAGGGTGTCCTTCAGCTTCACACCACCAAAGTACCACGAGCAGACTGGCTGTGGTCTGCCCCTTATTGGGATGTTGAGGTCAATGGGTTTGCCGCAATTCACATGAACTATCTTCTGAGGGATACTTGTCATGTCAATCTTGGGCATAACTGCAGTAAACACAAAATTTTTCATATGACTTATGAAAGCTTTTCACAGCTTAGTAAAAACAGAAATGATGTGATGATTTGTGTTTTGATATCTTACCCTTGATCTCTTGGATGATCACTGGAGTGACAATGTCAGTGGATTCACTGGCTCCCCTGCTGTTCGTGGCGCGGATTCTGAACAGATACTGGTCATTTTCTGTCAGAGACTGGATGGTGTGCTGGGATACTGAGGCCTTAACTGTCGCCACAGCACTCCATCTGTCGGAGCCTACTTTGCAGGCCTCAATAATGTAGCCTGTCAATCTGCTGCCACCATCATGCAAAGGCTTCTCCCAGTGCAGGGTGACAGAAGATTTGGAAACATCAACAATCTCAAGCTTCACAGGCACTGAGGGCACTTCACACACCAGCACAGCCTCCGCTGTCTCACAGGGCTCACCGACACCATAGATATTCTCTGGCAGGACTCTGAAAAAGTAGTACACACCCTCCTCCAGTCCACTGATTCTGTACAGTGTTTTCCTACACTCAGTGGTAACAGTCTTATAGGACTTCATGTTGGCCTCACGCTTCTCTATAATATAGTTGCTGACATGAGCACCACCATCAATGCTTGGGACATCCCAGGTGATCACAACAGATTCCTTGGTGTAGTCCTTCACTTTCACTGAACCTGGAGGACCAGGAGTGTCTGACAAAGAGAGGCAAGTAAAAAGATCATATTTCGAAACTATATTACTTTACTAACTGTATGGTGACTGTACATATTTGATATCCAAAATCTTTTAACAAACTCTGTGGAAACTTTGGTTGACATACCATAGACTTTAACAAGGATGATGGCAGTCTTTTTTCCAGATGGGTTCTCTGCCTCTACAATGTATTTTCCAGAGTCGTAGCGATCAACCTTCTCTACTACCAGTGATGTGTACTTGTCAGTAGTCTCAATATAACCACGGCTCTGTAGTTCCACCCCCGTCTTCCTCCAGGCCACTACTGGCGTCGGACGACCAGTGACAGACACAAATAGGCGCAGAGTACCTCCAGCGCGGAGGCACACTGTTTTCTTTAGGTCATCAGCCAGCTCCAAATCGGGTATTTCTGAGTGGATGGAGCATAGTTTACATAGAACATTAAAAAGTTCAGATGTAGTTCAAATATTGATTTTTTTCAACAGAAATCTACACCTACTTACCAATTTTCTCAAGTGGTTCGATTTCAGCACTTGGTTCACTGAACTCTCCAGTCCCATTGCTGTTAATGGCAGCAACCCTGAATCTGTACTTCTTATTGGCAGCCAAACCAGCAGCCACATACTCATTAGTCTTGAGGGCTTTGGCAGTGGCACGGTACCACTGCTCAGAACCCTCCTCTAGGATCTCCACAATGTAGCCGGTGACATCTGATCCACCATCATACATGGGCCTGGTCCAAGTCATGGTGATGCTGTGTTTCGTTGTGTCTGTGATGCGAGGCACTGATGGAGGAGCTGGGGTGTCTGTAGATGAAATGGAATTTTTGAAAATGTATTTTATCTAAACAAATATGTTGTAAAATATGTTTGGGGTGGTGCTTTCAGCATTGGTATCACTTCCTCATCCTGTTGCAAAGCACAGTGTGTGCCACTTGATTAACAACAAACATAGTGACTTCATCTGTTCACCTGTTAAATCCAGAATTCAAAATTCTGCTCCTCACATACAAGGTCTTAAATAATCAGGCCCATCTTATCTTAATACACTCTAAAGCCAGGATTTAGAGTGTATCACAATATAAATATATCACTAGTGAAGGTTACAGATGATCAAATGGCCTCTGTCAGTACTTATCTTGCTGTGCAACTACACCACAATGTGGGGTTCAATAGCACTGTGCTATGTGCATGTAAATGGGGAGTTTTCTTCACACAAAAAGGTTAATTATGAAGTTCCACAACTAGTTAAACCAAAGGCATGTCTTAAAGACACGAGACCTGAAATACCTCTAATTTACTACTTTGTTCATTTACTAATTTCAGAGAAAACAGGGCTTGATGTACTCAGGCCTAAAACAACATGGTGGAGACATCGAAACATGGTGTCTAACCAGATACTTACCTTGGCCTCCAATAACACTGAAGAATCTTGGAGTCTTTTTTAATCAGCATATGTCCACATTAACACTGTATGTTGGACAGCCTTCATTGCCTACTGTATTAAATCTTTAGTAAATATTAAACTCTGCCTATCCTTTAGTTTGCCTTTTTCCGGTATCTTTCTCCTCTCTTTCCCCTTACTCCCAGCTGATCGTGGGGATTGCTGCTCTTCCCCTGAACCTGGTTCTGATGGAGGTTTCTTCCTGTTAAAAGTTTCCTTCCCATTGTTGCCAAGTGCTTGCTATTAGTGGTTAGTATGATTGTTGTGTTTCTTTCCATCATTTTAGCATTTTTACCTTACAATATAAAACACCTTATGGTGACTTCTGCTGTGAATTGGTGCTATATAAATAAAAGTGAACTGAATGGAACTGAAAAATATTAAATAATATCACTTTTCTCTTGGCATTAAAAGGACAATGTCTACAGTTTTCTTTCTTTCTTTTTTTTAAGTAAAAATGTCTTACATGTGGGGTCTTTACAGAGGATGTATACTGAGGTGTCACTTGGCTGGCTGTATCCAGCAGAGTTGACTGCTGTAACTCTGAACTGGTACTCGCTTCCCTCCAGTAGGCCTGTGATCTTCAGGCGGGTGTCATAGATGGTGTAGGTCTTATTCACTCGAGTCCACCTGGTCCAAACAACAAAACAACATCATGAAAGAGAAGGATAAGTATCATTATTTAAGAAATGATGTCTCAACATCTTCAGTGAATCCAGAATTTGTTCTGACCTGCTACTGTTCTTCTCTCGTTTTTCAACGATGTAGTTTTTGAGCTCGCTTCCTCCATCACTCTCAGGCTTCAGCCACTCGATGATAACGTGCTCCTTACCCACTGCAGTCGCCTCTGGTGTGCCTGGCTGGGAGGGGATTGCTGTGGAAGAGTGGGAACAGGTCAGAGTCACGCAAACACATCTACATTACGTTTTCCCTTTCATAAGATGTAATATAATCCATAACACCTAAATCCAAAATTGAAATTGTAAGTAAGACTTGGAAAAATGCTGCAGCTTACTGTAAGCGTTTCTGGCGATGATGGGATCAGATTCCAAAGGAACTCCAGCCCCATACTTATTGACACCTCTAACCCTAAAGATGTACTCATTGTTCTTGATCAACCTAGTGCTGACACATGACAGGGTCTTGCACTCAGTCTCCATGATGACCCAGTTGAGGCGGCTGGTCTCACGACGTTCCACAATGTAATGGGTGACAGAGTCTCCACCATCCTCCAGAGGTATCTTCCAAGACACTGTACATTTTTCCTCTGTGACTCTGCTGATTACAATCCTATCAGCTGGAGCTCCAGGAGTGTCTAACAGACAGAAAGCAACATTTCAATCAGAAAGTTCAAACTATTACGACACACTAATTAATTAGTGTCCTTTTGGCTGCTCACCTAGAACTTTAACGCTGACAGCTGCCGTCTTAATTCCACTGGCATTCTTGACAGTTAGAATGTATCTACCTGTGTCGTATCTGTCACAGCTCTTGATGACAGCCATGGCTCTAGTGGCAGTGTAGGTCAGTGAATATTTTTCTCCAAGTTCTAAAATCTTGTCACCCTTTGACCAGTACACTGTAGGCTCTGGTTTACCACCCACAGCACCGTCCAAGACAAGGTCAGAACCAGCAGTAACAGTGACAGTCTCACCTATCAGTTTGCTGTCAAGTTCAGCTTTGGGAGGAGCTGCAAAAAGTAAGGGATGATTAGTGTTACATTAAAAAATAACAGCATATACCAGTATAATGAACTGAACCCTGAAAACAATCTTTGTTTTAGTCATTTTTATTGATATTCTGCCTGGTACACCAAGCAGGGGAGCTTTTTTTTCTTTAAAGTTACATTCATTCATAGTTATTTATTGTTTCTAAAATAACAGGAAATGTAGATTAACTTATTTAAATACTATCAAGGTAAAAAAAAAAAAACCCAAACAAAACCCTTGAACTTACAATATTCATCCTTGCATGTGACTGGTCCAGTGGTCTCTGAAGGGACACTTTGAACACCTGCAGCATTCTTGGCAACGACACGGTATTCATAGGTCTCTCCTTCACCTAGGTTTGTGATGGTGAAGTAGTTCTCTGTGATTGTGGTATAGTTGCACTTGAGCCAGCGGTTGTCATCCCACTCATCTGTGCTGTAGACTTTTCTCTCCACCACATAACCAATGATCTTACTGCCACCATCATTGAAGGGCACTGTCCAGCACAATGACACAGAAGAGCGGGTGATGTCTGTCACCTCGGGTTTGCCAGGAGGATCTGGAGGGTAGAAATGATCATAAAACATTTATATAAGTTTATTCACACAACGTCAGATATTGTTAAAATTTGTGTAGGTTCTCAGTCATTCAGGTCAGAGTAGTCCTAAGGGCTTGAGTTGAAAAGAAGTTCTTGAAGATGTTTTATCTATCATCCAAAAGTGTTCTCTAGCTTCAGAAGTTCAGAAAAAAGAAGTACAATTGACTTCAACTCAAACACTTCCGACTATGCTCTTAAAGTCTCCATTATGCATTTTAGTTGGGCAATATCAACAGTAATAACAATAGATCTGTTTTTAGGACCTTAAGCAAAATTGAGTATTGACCATCTGTCATTTCATAATACATCTTCATAGTTAGGATGAATGTGAATGTGAATATTTTCTTACCAACAGGATTGAGTGCCACTACAGGTCTGGAGGCTTCGCTGGCTTTGCTGAGCCCAGCAAGGTTCATGGCATACACCCTGAACTGATACTCTAGCCCCTCAATCAGGTTCGAGACCTTGTATTGGCAATCCAGGCAGGGTAGCTTGTTCTCCCTCACCCACAGGATCGTGTTCCTCTCCTTTTTCTCAATCCAGTAGCCTGTCACCTTGCTGCCACCATCAGCATATGGAACATCCCATTTGATGCTAATGGCATTGGCAGATATAGATATCACATCTGGGCGAGTTGGAGGACTTGGTGGAACTATGAAAATCAAGTGGAGATGAGAATATGGTTTGTTTAGAAGAAATCCAAAGCATTAAAAAACAAAACCAATGTTGGCACACACATATATAAAATCAGGATCAGATATTTAAACTGTTGGACAGCACCTACCAAATGGATGCTCAATGACAACAGGGGCAGACTCAACGGACTTGCTGACTCCAAACTTGTTCTCAGCACAGACTCTAAATGTGTACTCCATGTATTTGGTGAGATGTGTGACTTTGATGGTGGTTCTCTTCACACTGGAGTTCACCACTTGCCAAGAAGCAGAGCCAGATTCCCGTTTTTCTACAATGTAGTTGCTGATGTCAGTACCACCATCATCAGCTGGCTCAGACCAAGAAAGGGTGCAGGACTCTGAAGAGATTCCAGAAATTTCTACTGGTCCTGTGGGTGGACTTGGTCTGCCAACTATGACCACAGTCACTGTGAATGTCTTCACACCAGCAGCATTCTCCAGTGTCAGGTAGTACTTGCCACTGTCGCTTCTCTTGCTGTCTTTCACTACCAAAATGGTTCTTTCCTTTGAGGTCTTAATGGAGACTCTGTCAGTCTCCTTCAGCTTCATCTCTTCCAGTTTCCAGGTAACTTTAGGTGCAGGTCTGCCACTGATAGGGACATCAATTGTGAAGGTGTTGGAAGTCTTGCAAGTGATGAGCTGGTTGGTGATGCTGCTGAGATCAGCAGTTGGTTCTATGCAAGGCTCCTTTATGACCACAGAGCTAAAGGTGCCCTGAGGTTCGCTAATTCCAGCATCATTCTTGGCTTTAACTCTAAAGTCATATTCTGTGTTCTCAATCAGACCCTCTACCAACATCTTCTGAGACTTAGTCTCTCCACTAACAACCCAGTGGTCAGTGCCCTTAGCCCTGAATTCAACAATATAGCCTCTAATGCGGCTGCCTCCATCATGCTCGGGTTTTAGCCATACCAGTGAGGCTGTGGAATTGGTTGTGTCAACAACATCCAATCTCTTGGGTGGCGCAGGTTCTTCTGTGGCAATTATAGGCTCAGTCATCTCTTTTGGTTCTCCCTGGCCATAATGGTTAACGGCAATCACTCTGAACAAATACGGTACACCAATTTCCAGACCAGTTACTCTGATCATCTGCCGTGAGCACTTGGTGCTGACTTCTTGCCAGGCAAGGCGGCTTGCTTCACGCTTATCCACAATGTAGTGGTGGATTCGGGATCCACCGTCAGTGGCAGGAGCGTCCCACATCACTGTCAAGGCTCCGCGAGTAATATCTTTGAAGGTTATGGCTCCTGGAGGTCCAGGAGTATCCAGTACTTTAACAGTGAATGTGATGGATTTGCGCCCACTGTTGTTCTCCAGGGACAGGGTGTATTTGCCTGCCTCATACCTGGTGCAGTTCTCTATGGTCAGAGTGGAAAATGAATCTGTGGTGTTGATATCAGCCATTATCGGAAGCTCACTGTCTAATTTAGACCACGTGGCTAGAGGAGCTGGCTTTCCTCGGAAAGCAATATGTAGGGTTATAGTGCCTCCATTCTTCACAATATGAGTTTGCTTGAAGTCAGGACCAAGATCAATTTCAGGAGATGTAAGTCTGTCCAAAGACTGAACAGGGTTTGGCATCACTGATGCTTCGCCCTCTCCTGATCCATTTACAGCACTGACTCTGAACTTGTAGAGTTCTCCAGGTACTAGACCTGTGACAGTATACCTGGTGTGAATACAAATCTGTCTGTTGACTCTGTGCCACTCCTCCAGACTGGCCTTACACATATCTATATTGTAGCCAATTATTTCCATGCCACCATCAAAGACTGGCTTGGTCCATTCCAGGGTGACAGAGGACTTAGTGGAGTCAATGACCTGATGAACAAAAAGCATAGTTACAATTTTTTTAATGCGTTTTGTTTCTACAATCTAATATTGAGTTGAACTCAGCGTTCTTCACTACAATGCTGCACCTGTTTTGTATCCAAATTGCCTCTTGTGTATGAATATGAAACATGTATAATTCAATGAGTGTTACCACAAGATCTACCTTGATTACAGTGGGAGCACTGGGAGCACTTGTTGGTTCTCTGCATCTGAAGAGCCTGGAGGTGCTGCTGGCTGGTCCAACACCAGCACCATTTTCAGCCATAACACGGAACTCATACTCATTGCCCTCAGTAAGTTTGGTCACACGGTGCCTTAACTCTGTAATGGGCCTCTTGGAGGAGACCTTAACCCAGCGCAAGCTCTTCTTCTCTCTCCTCTCTAGGATGTAGCATTTAATCTCATTGCCTCCGTCTGACCGTGGCCTGGTCCAACACAGCGTTATGCTGTCTCCAGTAACATGGGTGGCATCTGGTGTACCAGGGGCATCAGGAACAGCTGAGTAACAGAACAAAAATATATATTTTTTAAAGTAATATCTTTGAATGGTGGAAAGCATTTCTTCCATTAGTGCTTATGTTCAATAGAAAATTCAGATTACTTTTAAGAGTTTCCCAACAAGTCAGACAGACAGCACTGAGTAACTTTACTTACTGTATTGCATCTTCGCAATTATAGGATCAGAGTCCAGTGGTTTTCCGACACCAAACTTGTTGACAGCAGAGATTCTGAACTGGTACTCATTGCCTTTGATGAGGTTGGTGGCATTATAAGAGCAAGCTTCACACTTGGAGGTGACCAAGGCCCAAGTGATCCTGGATGTCTCCCTTTTCTCCACCACATAGTGAGAAATGGCAGCACAGCCATCGTTCTCTGGTGGGCTCCACCACACAGTGCACTTCTCAGCTGTGATGCCTGTGAAACGGATTGGGCCCTCGACGGGTCCAGGGGTATCTGCAAGGAAACAGTTGATTGAGGAGACTTGTTACGGTAAAAACATTTGTATCACTTGTGTCAACAGAAACAGATTTGTCTAAAACAGTGTTTTTTAACAGATATTATAACAAATTGCACACATTTACAAACCTTGGACTCTAACGTTAATGTCAGCTTTCCTGGTTCCAGAGCTATTTTTGGCCTCTACAGTGTAAATTCCACGGTGGTTCCTGTTAGAATCGCGAATAAACAGACTACTGGTGCCAATGCCAGTAGTAATCTCAATGTCAATCATAGTCCTCTTGTCGATCTCTTTACCCTCCTTGTACCAAAGAACCTGTGGGACTGGACGTCCGGTGATTTTGCAGCTGAGACTGACGTTATCTCCAGCCCTCAGGGTGAGCACCTGGTCTGGAGACCACTCAATCTCAGGAGCAACTGGAGATGCAGACAAAAAAAATTATGAATCAGCATCAAGTAAGATGTGATTAATTAAAAAACAATCAACGATTTGCGTTCTTCTAACATGTTTTTATATTAAAAATACTTACTGCTCTCATCCTTGGTCATTATGTATCCAGAGGAGTTGGATGGTGGGCTGACTGTGCCAACAGCATTCCTGGCAATCACTCTGAACTCAATTCTTTCTCCAGGTGAGAGACCAGTTACAGTGAACTGGGTCTCACTGATATCAGTGAAGTTGCACCGTAGCCATTTGCCTCTGCCTTGACGCCTCTCCACACTATAGGCTACAATTTTGCTTCCACCATCCCTCTTGGGAATGTCCCATTGGAGGGTGACTGAGTCTCTGGTTACATCAATGCAGACTGGGGTACCAGGTGGATCTAATTGAGGGAAGAAAGCAATTAATCCATAATAATTTAGATGTAAAGAGTAACTAAATAGGACAAAATGAAAGAATCATAATGTCTAAACAGTAAATACAAAACAACTCCTAAATATAGACCGATGTACTGAGCAACGTCTACTTACCAACAGGGGAGATAGCGAGTGCATGTTTGCTCTGCTCACTGCAAGGGCTGAGTCCGGCATTGTTCTCTGCATAGACTCTAAAGGAGTACTCCAGACCCTCCACAAGACCAATTATCCTGTACTCTCTGTTAGAGATGGTTGTGGAATTCACTTTCTGCCATAAGAGGCTGTTCCTGTCCTTCTTCTCGACATGATAACCTAAGACTGGGGAACCCCCGTCAAAATCTGGGGCATCCCACTTTATTGACATACCATCACTGGTGATGTTGTAGGCAACTGGTTTTCCTGGAGGACCTGGAGGTTTGTACTGGTGCTGGGCAACAACATCTGAAGAGATGAGTGGCTCACTGACCCCATACTTATTTTCTGCACGGACTCTGAACTGGTACTGAGTTCCTTTGACCAGGTTAGGAATCTTAAAGGTAGTCCTGACAACACTGGAGCAGACCATCTTCCAGTTGGCCTGGGAGGTTTCACGTTTCTCCACACTGTAGCAGGTGATCTCGCCACCTCCATCTTCCTTCGGCTCATCCCAGGAGATAATAATACTCTGAGCTTTTATCTCGTCAAAACGGATGGGGCCAGTAGGGACTGAAGGGGGTCCCAGAGTGATCACATTGATGTCAAAGTAGTTCTTAATGACTCTGTTATCCAGAACCAAGGTGTATTGTCCAGCATGTTCTTTCTTAACCCCTCTGACTGTAACTGAAGTCTTGTTGTCAGTGGTCCTAAAGCGAATCTTCTCACTTTCCTTTAGTGGGAAATTATCCTTTAGCCAGCTGATTGTAGGTCTTGGTTTTCCCTTGAATGGTAACTCAATATGGATGTTTTGACCTATACGAACAGCAAGCTCTCCATTGGGATAATCATTCAGTTTGGCTTCAGGTGGAATGATGAGGTCCATCACTGTGATCGGACCAATTTGGGAGAAGTCACTGTTGCCTTTCTCATTCTTTGCAAACACTCTGAAATCCAGGATAGCATTTTCCTTGAGTCCCGTCACTTCACAGCTGCACCGCTTGCATTTAGCAGCTAAAGTCCATTTGACTTCATCCTGGGCTCTCTTCTCAATGATGTAGTCAGTGATGTGGCTGCCACCATCGTGGTCAGGTCTGCTCCACTGAAGGGTGACAGAGTTCTTTGTGGAGTCCACCATTATTAGGTCTTTAACAGCTCCTGGAGTTTCAGTTGCTCGGACAGCATCAGTGGTTTCACAAGGGTCACCCACACCAAACTCATTTTGAGCAGACACACGGAAGAAGTAAGCTATATCTTCCTCCAGCCCTGACACCTTGTAACTTGTATTTAAACACTCATCAGTAATCACTTGATAAGCTTTCATAGTGGAGGCCTTCTTTTCGACAATGTAATTAGTCACAGGGGAGCCACCATCTATGAGCGGAGGCTCCCAGCTTAGTGTCAGCTTTCCTCTTGTGACATTCTTTATCATCAGTTTCTGGCAGGTGGATGGACTGTCCAGAACCTTGAGGGAAACAGTAACTATCTTAGGTTCTCCAACACCATTCTCAATTTCCAGCACATACTTTCCACAGTCATCACGGGTGACCTTGGGGATGAGGAGTGTGGTAGCTCTTTCAGTGCTTGTGACTGTGTAGCGGTTATCACCAGCCATGTTACGGTCACCACGGCGCCAGGTGACATTTGGTGTAGGACGACCCTTCAGGGGGATAAAGACTTCCACATCACGGCCAGCCTTTGCTGTGTATTGAGTTGTCATAGCAACATCCAAGTCCAGATCAGCCTCCTCTGTTGGACACAAATGTCATACAAAGATGGAAAAGAATATTAATTTTGATTTTATTATTGATTCGTCTCAAGACTAATATCTTGTACTATAAAGGGAACTATATCAATACTAACCTAAAATATCTTTGGCTTGCACAGGCTGGTACATTTTGATGTCTTCTCCTTTGCCTTTACAGTTGACAGCAGATACTCTGAAGAAGTAGTAGATGCCAGGTTTGAGGTGGGACACGACATACTCACATGTCTTGACTTGTGGGTTGGTAATCACCCATTCTTTGTCCTCTGTATTCATCTGCTCTAAAATATAGTGTGTAATTTCGCTGCCACCATCATAGACGGGCTTCTCCCATCCAAGTGTGATAGATGTCTTTGTAGAGTCAACCACACGCAGCTTAGTGGGTTCACCTGGTAGATCTGGAGAAGAAAAAAGGAAAATGTAAACAATAAAGGAATTCCTCAAATGCTGACGAGATGAGGATAACTGCAAATTAAAGTCATATACCTATTGGGTCATAGGCTTTATAGAGCTCAGAAGGTTCAGAGTAGTTCCCTGCTCCAGCCTTGTTGACAGCACACACTCTGTACTGGTACTCATTGTTCTCCACCAGGTTAGCCACTTTCTGCCTGGTGTCTCTGATAGTGCCCTTCACCACCTTGATAAAAAAAAAATGGATGTATTAAAGCTAACATGTCCTATTCATTGGTAGATTTTCTTTATGCTTGAACTTTTTAGATTTGGGGCAGCAAACAAACCTTGAACCATTGCAGACTCCTCTTCTCCCTTTTCTCTAGATAGTAGCCATCAATATCACTGCCTCCGTCCAACGCTGGTCTTTCCCAGATCACTGTCATGGTAGACTTAGTGATCATAGTAACTTTAGGCTTAGATGGCTCGCTGGGAGGTACTGTGCAAAATAAAAACGATAAGGTTAAAGCTTTTAAGTTTACCATTGTAATTTACCACTGTCTATAATGAAAGTTGATATATTTTCAAACATGAGAGCAAGAGAGAGAGAGAGAGGGAGAGATACACCTCATCAGTCACATATGGGGTGACTGATGAGGTGACTTTATTCTATTTGCTTACCAAATGCATTCTTGGCAATAATGGGCTCAGACTCCAGTGGCTCTCCAATGCCATACTTGTTGACTCCACGGACTCTAAAGATGTACTCATTGCCCATTATGAGTCTGGGCACATTCACAATGCAGTCAACCAGTTTCTCTGAGACAATCGACCACATTACCCTGCTGGTCTCCCGCTTTTCTACAATGTAATGTGTCACCATGGCACCACCTTCATCAGCAGGTGGTGACCACATGATGGTGATGTTGTCAGCTGTCACCTTCTTAAACTGAATCTCTCCAGCAGGTGGGCCTGGCTTATCTGATTAGACAAGGAAAACATTTGACTCAGGGTGTATACTGCATATATGATACATGTTATACAATGAAAAATAAATATTAAATAAATACCTTGAATGAGCAGCCTGACAATGGCACATGAAGATCCGAGGGAGTTCTTCACCTTGACTTCATAGGTTCCAGAGTTAAGACGAGTTGTTTCCTTCACGAACACACTTGTGGACTCGAAAGTGTGTTTAAAAGAGAGCTGAGAAGTAGGCTTAAGCTCTCTGCCATCTTTAAACCACTCAATACTGGGAGCAGGTTTGGCTCTTATATTAAATTTGAGTTCCACATTAGAGCCAGCCTTGTGCTTGACCTCATTAAGATACTCCTGAGGTATTTCAATCTCTGGGGCACCTGGACCAGAGATGGTAAAACAAGTCAGGATGTAGAATATGTAGGGTGTGGAATAAATATCTTAGAATACAAGACAATGCATAATTGCAGAAAAAAATACACAAATATAACCCAACATGAAAAGACCTACCATAAGTGTCCACACATGTGGCTGGCCCCACAGTGATAGACGGATTGCTCACTGAACCAACTGCATTCTTTGCCATGACTCGGAACTCATATGTTTCATCCTGGGTGAGGCCAGTAACAATGAAGCGGGTGTCTGTGATATTGGTGAGGTTAGCTTTAGACCATTTGGGGCTAACACCCTCTCTCTTCTCAATGATGTAACCAGTTATTGGGGATCCACCATCATAGTCAGGCTTCTGCCAGGCCAGACTAATGGAGTTCTTAGTGATGTCAGTTATACGCAAGTATAGGGGTGGCTCTATAGGAAGATACAGTGAGGATGATTTTAATAAATATTGCAGAAAATCTTAAGTCAAAGAATTTTTCATGCATTTTATCGACTATAAACTCACCGCAGGCATCAATAGCCAATACAGCATCAGAAATCTTGCTGAAGGCACTAATTCCAGCAGAGTTTTCTGCTGCTACCTTGAACTCATAAATAAGTCCAGCATTTATGTTGGTGACTTTAAAGTGTGTGGCACGGATCACTGTTTTGTTGACTCGCTGCCAAAGGATGCTGTTTTTGTCTTTCATTTGGAGATGGTAACCAAACACATGGCTGCCTCCATCTGACTTTGGCTCCTTCCATGCAACGGTAATGCTTTCCCTGGTTACAGCAGTAATTTCTGGAGTTGATGGCACATCTGGTATAGCTGGAGGACAAGAGGCAGAGTTTGAGAATTTTGGCATGCTCACATAGTGAAGGTGTAAAGAATGAGTAGCAAAATTATTATGTTTATGTATAATAATAAGAAAAGCAAAAACTTCTTACTGTAAGGAAGACTGACAGCGACAGCTGGGGAGTCAATATGTTCACTGATTCCATATCTGTTCTCTGCCCTAATTCTGAATTGGTACTCCAGGCCAGTGGTCAGCTTCATAATTTTCATGGTGCAACGGGCCACAGCTGAAGACACGTCCATCCAGTTGGCTGTAGTTGTCTCTCGCTTCTGGATGATGTAGTTGGTGATGGGACTGCCACCATCATATGCTGGTGGGAGCCACTTTAAGCTTACACTGTCTTCTGTGACATCATACAGCTCCACTGGTCCAAGTGGGACACTGGGGCGGTCAAGAACCACAATATTTACAAAGGACTTGGTGGTTCCACTGGAGTTGGAGGCAATAATATCATAGCGGCCTGAGTCTCCTGCAATGCTCTCACGCACACTAATCTTGATACTGTCAGGAGTGACTTCTGAGTTAAACCTCATTGTTGATTTGAGCAGCACATTATCCTTGGACAGAGTCACTTTAGGTAAAGGCCGGCCTGTCAATGGAATCTCACATTTTAGGGTAGATCCAGCTCTAACATATACTGTATTGTGGGGGAAGTCCTTCATGTTGATCTCAGGAGATTCTAGAACAGAAAAGTACCAAAAAGAGTTACAACAGGAGAAATTAGGTGTAGTCTCTACTAATTGCATGGCATGTTCTGATTATTATAACAAGCTTGTAGTTTACCAAGCTGGTCTTTGACCACTACAGGAGTAATCATTTCCTTAGCATCACTGAATCCAGCATAGTTCTCAGCTCTGATTCTGAAGAAGTACTCCGCATTCTCCCTCAGACCAGACACTGTGAAGTGGATGGACTTTGTTGTACCACATTTAACCCACTTCTCTTGTCCATTCTCCAGTGCTTCTACTAGGTAGCTAGTAATTCTGCTGCCTCCATCATGTTCTGGCTTGGCCCATGCCAAGGACACACTTTCCTTGGTCACATCCGTTACACCCAGTTTTGGTGGTGGACTTGGTTTTTCTGGAGAAAGAAAATATGTCTTTCAATTAAAACAAATTTTGATATATATTTTCTGTAAAAATTAAAAAAAAATACCAACTCAGGATTTAATACCTGTGATCTTGGTCCCCTCTTTGGTCTCAGCAGGAACACCAATACCATATTCATTCTCGCCTGTCACTCTGAAGTAGTAGACTTCTCCCTCCTGCAGGTCTGCCACCTTGTATGTCAGTCTGTGGCATGTGTCAGTCAATCTAGTCCAGCCTTTCTTGCTAGCCTCACGGTAATCAATAAGGTAATTCTTGACTGGTCCTCCTCCCTCAATCTCAGGAGTATCCCAGGTTATAGTAGCAGAGGTCTTTGTGACTTCCTTGACCTCTATATGACTAGGAGGCCCAGGTGAGTCCAAAACACGGACAGTGAGCGTCAAAGAGGAGGTACCAGATACATTGGATAGAGTGACAGTGTATTTTCCAGAGTCATTTCGAGTTGCTTTTTCTAAGGTGATGGAAGTAAAGGTATCTGTGGTGTCAATTACAGCACGAACTCTAAGGTCTACATCAGGCTTAGCCCAAGTAACACTAGGGATGGGTTTGCCTTTGAAAGGAACTTTCATTGTGAAAGAGCTTCCATCCTTTACAATAAGAGTCTTTCTCATTTCATTGCTAACATCAAAGGTTGGCTCCTCCTCTCTTTCTTTGGCAACTTGTTTGTCTGATTCAGGACTGGGCTCACTCACTCCAATCTTGTTAATGGATTTGACAACAAACACATATTCAGTTCCAGGTGATAATCCCACCACTGTAAATTCTGTGTTTTTGGTGTTCTGTACTCCAACAATCCATTCATCATCTAATGTCTTCCTGTATTCTACTCTGTAACCAGTCACAGGTGCTCCACCATCAAAAAGTGGCTTATTCCATGACAGGGTGACTGTAGTCTTTGTGGAGTCAATTATCCTAGGCTTAGCTGGAGGTGAGGGTAAAAACTGTGGGTCTTCTGCCCTGGTGAGTGGGCAAGGAGTGCTAGGAGCACTGAGGCCAGCAGTATTCTCTGCAAAAACTCTGTATTCGTACTCACAGCCCTCGCGAAGGTGTGAAGCTTTCACTCTAAGGTCATAAACAGGTTTCTTGTTGACACGGCACCAGCGGAGGCCAGTCTTCTCTCGCTTCTCAATTACATAGCCAGCAATACTGCTGCCACCATCAGAAACAGGTCTTTCCCAGCAAATGGTCATTGCCTCACTTGTAACAGAGGTGACCTGGACATTAGTGGGAGCTGAAGGGACAGTGAATGGATCAGTGGCCTTTGTTGGCTCACTCTCCAGGCTTTCACCATCTCCATATTTGTTGACTCCCCTAACTCGGAAGATGTACTCATTTCCTTTGAGCAGTTTAGTCACTTTGCAGGTAGTTGCCTTCATGTCACCATAGACAAGAGTCCAGGCAAGACGACTGGTCTCACGTTTCTCAACAATGTAGTGCATAATTTCAGCACCACCATTTTCCTGAGGTGGTCCCCATGACAGGGTGCATTTCTCTGCTGTGAGACCAGAAACTGTTAAAGGTCCTGATGCAGGTCCAGGTCTGTCCAGAACCTTACAGTTGATAGCCACAGATCTGGTTCCAGCTACATTGTGCAGAGTAAGAACATACTGTCCAGAGTCCCTTCTGATAGCATCTTTGACAATGAGCGTGGTTGTGAAGTTAGTGGATGTGATTTCACATCTAGCCTTGGCCTCAATCTCCTTACCATCCTTAGACCATGAAACAACTGGGAGTGGACGCCCAGTAATTTCGGCATCAATTCTAATGATTTCTCCAGCCTTAATGACAACCAACTGTCTGAATTTATCTTCCAGTATAATGGTGGGAGGATCTACATCATCTTTGACAGTGACGGGTCCAGTGCTTTCTGAAGGAGCACTCAATTGCTCTGCAGAATTTTTAGCAATAACACGGAAATCATACCGGACATCTTCTGTGAGACCAGTGACATCGAAGTAAGTGTCTTGAACATTGGTGAAGTTGCATTTCAGCCAGCGACCATTGGGAAGCTCTTGACGCTCAACAATGTAGCCAGTAATTTTTGCACTGCCATCATATTCAGGTCTTTCCCAAAAAAGAGAAACTGAATTTCTAGTGATGTTTGTGACTCTAAGGTTATGTGGAGATTCACATGGATCCCTGGCTGCCACAGGGTCACTTGCCCTAGTGCATGGACCAATTCCAGCAATATTCTCAGCATACACTCTGAACTGATACAACAGACCTTCTTCCATTCCTGTCATCTTAAACTGGTTCTCAGTCACCAGACCTCTGTTGACCTTGGTCCACAAGATGCTGCTTTGGTCTTTGCTTTCAATGTGATAACCAATAACAGGACTTCCACCATCACTTGCAGGTCTGCCCCATACCACGAGCATCCCAGTTTTGGTGGCATGGACAACATGAAGTTGGGTTGGAGGGCCAGGAGGCTCAAATGGATACTGAGCAACAACAGGAGCAGAATCTATGGCAGGACTCTTCCCATAACGGTTCTCAGCTGCAATGCGGAACTGGTACTCTGTCCCCTGAGTAAGTCGAGAAACCTTTATTGATGTTCTGGCCACTGTGGCTGACACGATTTGCCATGTTGTAGTAGTAGTGTCTCTCTTCTCAACTACATAGTTGTTAATCTGACAACCACCATCATAGGTTGGAGGATCCCAAGACAGAGAAATAAAGTCAGCGCTCACCTCATCAACCTTAATGTTACTAGGTGGTCCAGGTTTATCCAGGATTATAACAGAGATTTCAGCTGACTTGGTACCAACTGAGTTAGTCAGGGTAATCACATACTTCCCTACATCCTCCTTCGTGGCATCCTTGATGACAATCTTAGATGAGGTTTTTGAATTGAGAACATTTACCCTGGTTGTCTGCTTAAGCACTTGGCCATCCTTCTTCCAGCACACCTCAGGCTGTGGTCTGCTTTTGAAGGGAACGTCAATCTTCAAATCATCTCCTGTTTTTACACTGTATGTGGTGAATAACAGGTTGATGATGGGCTCCATCGTGATGTCCCTTACCACCACAGGAGTAGCCAGAGGCTTAGCATCGCTTCTACCCTTATCATTCACAGCAGTTACCCTGAAGGAGTATTCCTCTCCAGTTGTGAGTCCATCAATGGTAGCTTCAAGTGCTTTGACTTCACTGCACACCGTCCATTTGTCATCTCCCTTGGGCTGCATCTCCACAATATAGTTTGTAATCTTACTGCCTCCATCATGATCAGGTTTCTCCCAAGAGAGTGTAACAGCATGACGAGTAATGTCAACAACCACAATCTTACCAGGAGGCAGAGGAGGCTCAGACACCTTAACTTGATCTGTGGATGCAGGCAGACCTACTCCGAGTTCATTCACAGCTAACACACGGAAATAGTATCGGCCTCCTTCCTGCAGGTCTGAAATAATGTAGGAGTTTCTGACGCAGTTAGTGCAAACACTGGTGAAAGCCATTCTCTTCTGTTCTCTCTTCTCCACTATATAATGTGATATCTTAGCCCCACCATCAATTAGAGGAGGCTCCCAGGAGAGAGAGACAGAATTTCTTTTAACATCCTTAACTCCGAGGTTAGTAGGAGCACTAGGAGAATCCAGAACTCTGACGTTGATAAAGGCTGATTTAGAGCCACTGAGGTTTTCAAGGGTCAGCACATATTTGCCAGTGTCAAATCTGTCAACATTCTCAATCACCAGCATTGTGTAAGAGCTTGTGACTTCTATCTGGGCACGTTCATTTAGAGTGCCATCAGCCTTTGACCATCTGACTTCAGGCTCAGGCTTCCCTCTGGTTGTCACAAACAGACGCAAGGTAGCAGAGGCACGGACGTTGACCATCTTTCTTAGGTCACAATCTAGTTCAATTTCAGGAGCCTCCAGCTTCTCTGCAGCAATCACAGAACAAGGCAAATCTACATGTTCTCCTACTCCCTCACAATTAACAGCACTTATGCGGAAGTTGTATTCCGCATTCTCCTTAAGTTTCTTTACTGTGTAGTTAGTGGCTTGGACGCCAGTGTGTGGTGTGCTAATGATCCATTCATCATCTGTTGCCTCTTTCATTTCAATAATATACCCAGTGATCTGTGCACCACCATCATATATAGGCCTGGACCATGAAAGGGAAACTGTGGTACTTGAATGGTCAGTGACCTTTGGATTATTTGGGGGTCCAGGTGGATAAGTGGCATCACAGGCCTTGATGTACGGAGTTGGTGCACTAGGCTTTCCTACACCAGCAGCATTTTCAGCCGAAACCCTGAATTCATATGAGTGGCCCTCTGTGAGACCAGTGCATCTGAATCGCAGGTCATTCAGCCTCTTCTTGTTGCATTTACTCCATCTGATACCATCTTTATCACGTTTTTCAAGGACATATCCCTCAATCTCTGCACCTCCATTATCATTGGGCCTCTCCCAGGAAAGCACCATGGAGTCCCTAGTGATGGCACCGACCTCAAGGTTTGAGGGGGCACTGGGAGTGGTGAAAGGGTTACGAGCAACAACAGCTTCTGATTCTAAAGGCTCGCCAACACCATATTTATTTACAGCAGTAACTCGAAAGATATATTCATTGCCAGGCAATAGTTTTGTGATTTTGTGGCTGATTGCCTGAATCTTGGGCTCAACCATAGTCCATGACAAACGACTAGTCTCTCTCTTCTCAATGATATAGTGAGAGATGCCAGCTCCTCCGTCATGTGAGGGATGATTCCAATGCAGATAACATTTCTCAGCTGTGACCCCTTTGACTTCTAGAGGTCCATCTGGAGGCCCAGGTCTATCCAGAACTTTGACATTAACTGGGATCATCTTGACTCCTCCCACATTAATAAGCTTGAGGACAAAGTGGCCACCATCCACTCTGATGCAATCCTTGACTGTCAGGATGGTACGTGTAAGGGTAGTCTTGATTTCCATTCTTGGTGTGGCTTTGTCAATCTCTTTTCCATCCTTTAACCAAATGACCTCAGGCAAAGGTTTTCCAGTATAGTCAGCATCAATGACAAATGTCTCACCTGCGTGAACAATAGTCATATCCTTGAATTTCGAATCCATGGTGGCTGCTGGAGCCTCAATTTCATCTTTGGCAGTAATTTCCCCTGTGCTCTGAGAGGGTTGGCTCAAAATCCCAGCACCATTTCTGGCAATGACCCTGAACTCATACACACAGTCTTCAGTCAGACCAGTAAGTGTAAATTGTGTATCAATGATGTTAGTGAAGCTGGCCTTCATCCAGCGGGTGTCTGGGTGCTTCCTTCTCTCAATCACATAGCCAGTAATTGCACTCCCTCCATCATACTGGGGCTTGGTCCACTGGAGTGTCACATGGTTTCTGGTGATTTCAATAGGCTCAGGAGTTCCTGGTGAGTCACAAGGGTCCCTTGCTACTGTGCTCTCAGACAGCTTGCTAGCTGGGCTGAGACCAGCAACGTTTTCAGCATAAACCCTGAATTCATACTCAATACCTTCTTCAAGTTCTGTAGTTCTGAAACGTGTGTCTGGGATTAGAAGCTTGTTTAATTTAGTCCACAAGAGGCTATTCTTTTCTTTTCTCTCAAGGTGATAGCCAAGAATTGGACTGCCCCCATTGTTGGTAGGAGGTTTCCACTCAACGACCATGCTATCCTTGGTTACAGAAGAAATGACTGGTGTTCCTGGGGCCACAGGCTCACTAAATGGATACTGAGCAATAACAGCAGGAGAGACAATTGCAGAACTCTTCCCGTATCTATTTTCAGCTGACACTCTGAATTGATATTCAACACCAGTCTTCAACTTGGTGACTTTGATGGTTGTCCTGGCAATAGTAGCAGAAACAATCTGCCATGCTGTGGTGGTAGTATCTCTCTTCTCCACGATGTAATTATTGATGGGACAGCCTCCGGTATACTCTGGTGGCTCCCAAGAGAGAGTGACATAATTAGAGCTCACCTCTTCTATCTTTACAGGGCCCGTGGGTGGCCCAGGCTTATCAAGAATAATAACAGTAATCTCCTCTGTAGCTGTTCCAATGCTACTGGTGGCTGTGACAGTGTATTTGCCAGAGTCGTCCTTATTTGCATCTTTGATGTACAGCTTAGTGCATGACAATGTGCTGGAAACATTAATTCTTGTTGTCTCTTTAAGAGCTTGTCCATCCTTCTTCCATTCAACCTTGGGAACAGGTCGTCCAATCACTGGAATCTCAATCTTCAAATCCTCACCGTGCTGTAAACTATAAGTGTTAAATTGAATCTTGAATTTGGGTTCAATGGTTATATCTTTAGCAGTGACTGGCGCAGCCAAAGGTCTAGGGTCACTCTTGCCCTTCTCATTGAAGGCTAAGATTCGAAATAGGTACTCATGTCCTGCACTGAGGCCTGTGACAGTGCCTTCACAAGTTTTGCATGTGGCAGCTACCACCCATTCCTCTGAGCCAACAGGCTGCATCTCAATGTAGTAACCAATTATTCTGCTACCTCCATCATGATCTGGCTTCTCCCAGGAGAGTGAAGCAGTTGTTTTTGTCACTTCGGTCAATGTGACCTTACCCACAGGCAGGGGGGGCTCAGATGTTTTTACTGATTCTTCTGTCTCAGCTGGCTGTCCCACACCAAACTCATTCTCTGCTAAGACTCTGAAATAATATATAGTTCCCTCTGTCAGGCCAGTTATACGATAGCTTGTCTTTGTGCACTTGTTGTCCACATTAGAGTAAACCTTCCTTGTGGACTCCCTCTTTTCAACAAGGTAATTCTTGATTCTTGCACCACCATCAATAAGAGGAGGCTCCCAGGTCAGAGTCACACTTTCCCTCTTGATGTCTGTTACTGTTAGGTTTAAAGGAGCCCCTGGAGTGTCTAGCACCTTAACGGAAACAAAAGCTGATTTGGTGCCAGCACTGTTTTCTAAATTGAGCACGTACTTTCCAGCATCATATTTGTCACAGATTTCAATTGAGAGCTGTGTGTAATCTTCACCAGTCTCAACCTGAACTTTACTGGGTAACTCTCCATCCTCTTTGGCCCAGTTTATCTCAGGAGTAGGACGGCCTTTGAATGGAATGCAGACTCTCATCGAGCCTCCTGCACGGACAACTATTCCCTTCCTGAGCTCTGAATCCAGAATCACTTCTGGAGGGTCAATTTTATCCATAGGTTTGACGACTCCCTGAATCTCAGTGGGCTCACCAACACCCACCTTGTTGATGGCACAAATGCGGACTTTGTATTCTTGGTGTTCAATCAACTTTTTGATAGTAAACTTGGTAGCATTGACTCCACAAGGTGGGGTGCATATGGCCCATTCCTCCTCATCAGCCTTGGTTATTTCCACAGCGTAGCCTTGAATCTCACAGCCACCATCATAGATAGGTCTGTGCCAAGCCAGACAAATGGAGTCTCTAGTAGTGTCTACCACATGGACATTGGTGGGACAGCCTGGCTCGAAGGTGGGGTCACATGCTTTAAGATAGGTTGTCGATGGACTTGGCTGGCCCACTCCAGCTGCATTCTCAGCAGATATCCTGAATTCATATTCATGGTCCTCAGTCAGTCCTGTTACTCTGAAACGCAAGTCTGTCACTCTGCGTTTGTTGCACTTGGTCCACCTCACTCCTGCTCTGTCTCTCTTCTCAACAATGTAGCCAACAATGTCACTGCCTCCTGATGTCTCAGGACGGTTCCAACATACAGTCATAGAATCCCTGGTGATATTTGTGATCTCAAGATCCTGAGGTGCTCCAGGTGGAACAAATGGATTTCTCATGATAACTGGTGCTGATTCAAGCGGCTCACCTGTGCCATATTTGTTGACAGCCATGACTCTGAAGATGTACTCATTTCCCTTCAGTAGTTTTGTAACTTTAAACATGGTAGCTTTACAATCACTGCAGACCACAGTCCATGCCAAGCGGCTAGTTTCTCTTTTCTGAATGATGTAGTGAGAAATGCTGGCGCCTCCGTCATGCCTGGGTGGCAGCCACGACAGTGAGCATTTTTCCTCAGTAACATTGCTGATAGTAAGAGGTCCTTCTGAAGGCCCTGGTCTGTCCAGAACCTTCACACTGAAGGGGATAGTCTTACTTCCTGCCACATTTGTGAGAACCAGAGTATACTGTCCACCATCAACTCTGATAGCATCCTTTACAACAAGCAAAGCTTTAAAATCTGTGTTTCTGATCTCCGCTCTTGCTGAGTTTTCAACTTCAAGATTCCCCTTGAACCACTGAGCAGTTGGAATAGGCTTTCCTTCCACACTGGCCTCAAGATTGAATGTCTCTCCTGCATTTATAACAATGGTCTGGTTGTACATAGGATCTGTCTCACTCTTAGGTGGTACAACTTCATCCTTAGCAGTTATGGATCCTGTGCTCTCAGAGGGCTTGCTAACGGCACCTGCAGCATTCTTTGCAATTACTCTGAAGTCATATTTGCTATCTTCTGTGAGGCCAGTAACTGTGAATTCGTGTTCAATGATGTTTGTGAAGCTAGCCTTCATCCATTTTCCTTCAGGAAGATCACGTTTCTCTACTAGATAACCTGTAACTAAACTCCCACCATTGTACGCCGGGGGGTTCCACTTGAGTTTCACTGAGTGCCTGGTCACAATCACAGCCTCAGGACGGCTAGGAGGATCACATGGATCACGGGCAACATAAACCTCAGACACTTTGCTACATTCACCAATGCCAACAATGTTCTCTGCATAGACTCTATACTCATACTCAATGCCTTCCTCGAGTGGAGTAGATTTGAATCTACAATCTTGGATGAGCATTTTGTTTATCTTTGTCCAGAGGATACTGTTCCTTTCTTTTCTTTCCAGATGGTAGCCCAAGATGGCACTGCCACCATCACTTGGGGGTTTATGCCACTCAACTACCATGTAGTCTTTAGTGTATGAAGAAACAAATGGTGTTCCTGGTGGTCCTGGCTCCTGGAATGGATACTGTGCCACAACAGGCTGTGAATCAATTGCATAGCTCTTTCCATATCTATTTTCAGCATAGATTCTGAACTGGTACTCAGTGCCTGTCTTCAGATTGCTGACTTTTAGAGTGGTTCTAGCCACAGTGGCAGACACAACCGACCAGTTTGTTGTGGTTGTGTCTTTCTTCTCCACCACATAGTTTGAGATTGGACAACCACCTGTGTATGTAGGAGGTTCCCAGCTGAGGGTGATGCTCTCAGCACTGATATCCTCCAACTTTACAGGGCCTGTGGGTGGGCCTGGTTTGTCCAAGGTGATCACCTCTACAGTGGCATCCTTTGAACCAAGGTCATTGGAGACACCGATAGTGTACATACCTCCATCTTCTCTGGTAGCATCCTTTATGGTAAGAGTGGTAGTTTGTGCTGAGTCGGTGACATTGACTCTGGTAGTCTGCTTAAGGGCTACGCCATCTTTGGTCCAGGTGATAATTGGTTTAGGGTGACCAGCGACCGGGACCTCTAACTTGAGGTCATACCCCACCTGGACACTGTAAGAACTTGCCTTGGGTCTAACAGCAGGTTCAATAACAAGGTCCTTTGCTACAACAGAATGAGCCAACTGTCGTGGGTCACTTTTGCCCTTATCATTTACAGCAACAACTCTGAACTGGTACTCCTCTCCCTTGAGAAGGTTTGTCACTAATGTTTCCAGTGCTTTCACACTAGCACATATAGACCAAGCTTCACTGTCCTTGGGAGCTAGTTCAACTTCATAGTGGGTGATTCTACTACCACCGTCATGCAGAGGCTTTTCCCAAGTTAAAGTTACAGTGCTGTGAGTAACATCAACAACACTGACCTTGCCAGGTGGCTGAGGTTTCTCAGATATCTTAACTGGTTCTGTAGTTTTAGCAGGGAGACCCACACCATATTCATTCTCAGCCAATACTCTAAAGAAAAAGATTCCACCCTCTGGAAGAGGTTCAACTTTCCATGACATCTTGTTGCATGTCGTGATGGGAGAGTACACTTTCCTGGTGCTCTCACGCTTTTCAACAATATAGTGCTTAATCTTTGAGCCACCATCCAGATGTGGAGGCTCCCATGTGAGAGTGACAGAATTCTTGGTAATCTCTTTCACCACGAAGTTAGTTGGTGGACTAGGGGAGTCCAGCACTCTGACACTTATGAAGACTGATTTTACTCCACTAGCATTCTCAGCAGTCAGGGTGTACTTGCCACTATCAAATCTGTCAACATTCTCAATGACAAGTGATGCATAGTTGCCTGTATTGTCAATCTGAGCAGTCTCCTTAATCTCACCATCAGCCTTGCCCCATTTCACCTCTGGAGCTGGACGACCCCTTACAGGAACAAACAATCTGAGCGTACTTGCTGCTCTGATGTTGATCATCTTTCTCATATCTGCATCAAGATCAAGATCAGGTGCTTCAAGTTTCTCCTCCAAAAGAATTTTTCCAGGAACATCAGCATGCTCACCAACACCAACCTTGTTGATTGCACACACTCTAAATTGGTACTCATGCTTTTCCAGAAGTTTTTTCACAGTATATTTTGTGTCCATGATTCCAGTTGGTGGAGTACACATAAACCACTCATCAGATGCACCATTACATGCCTCTACAATGTAAGACTGAACCTCGCAGCCACCGTCATAGATGGGTTTGCCCCATGTTAGAGAAACAGTGGATCTAGATGTGTCTACCACCTTGGGGTTGTTTGGTGGGCCTGGTTTGAAGACAGGATCCAGTGCTTTGTAGTACACTGTTGGTGCACTAGGCATGCCAACACCTGCAGCATTCTCAGCAGCAACTCTGAATTCATAGCTATGGTTTTCAAGAAGCCCGGTAACTCTAAAGCGCAGCTCACTAATATTGCGCTTGTTGCATCTAGTCCATCGCACACCATCCTTGTCACGTTTCTCAACAATGTATCCCTGGATTGGGCTGCCACCATCATTAGTTGGTCTCTCCCAGGTCACCACCATAGAGTCTTTGGTGATTGTGGAAACTTCCACATTTGTTGGTGGGTTGGGAGTGACAAATGGATTCCTGGCAACCATTGGCTCAGATTCCAGTGGCTCTCCAACTCCATATTTGTTAACAGGAATCACTCTGAAAATATATTCATTACCAGGAAGTAATTTGGTGATCTTCAAGTTCAGTGTCTGAACTTTTGGTTCAACTACAGTCCAAACCAATCTGCTGGTTTCCCTCCTCTCAACAATATAATGGGAAACATCACTTCCTCCGTCTTGCAAGGGAGGTTTCCAGGAAATTGAGCATTTTTCATTAGTGACACCATAAATGGATATAGGGCCTTCGGGTGCACCAGGTCTATCTAAAACCTTAACATTAATGTTAACAGATTTCTCTCCTCCAACATTCTTTACTAGAAGTATGTACTGACCTCCATCAACACGGATGGCTTCTTTAACAACAAGACAAGCTGTAAAATCTGTGTTCTTAAGCTCTAAGCGAGCTGCTTCGGTGATCTCCTGGCCCTCTTTCAGCCAATGAATTGTGGGTACAGGTTTACCGTAAACAGCAGCCTCAAGTTTAAATGTCTCTCCAGCATTAACTACCACAGTTTGGGAGTATTTAACTTCCAAGTCAATTTTGGGTGGATCCACCTCATCCTTGGCAGTGATGGCTCCAGTAGAATCAGATGGCTGGCTAAAAACACCTGCTGCATTTTTGGCAATGACACGGAATTCATAAGTCTGATTCTCAATAAGTCCTGTGACAACAAATTCTGTTTCAGTGATGTTAGTGAAACTGGCCTTCATCCAGCGACCAGCTCCCTCCTTCTTCTCAATAACATAACCTGTGATCTTGATTCCACCATCATATTGGGGTTTTGTCCATCTTAGTGTCACTTGGTTCCGTGTTACAATGACAGCTTCTGGTTTTCCTGGTCTGTCACAAGGATCTCGGGCAACTTGTATTTCACTCACTTTGCTGGCTTTGCTGAGGCCAACAATGTTCTCAGCATAAACTCTGAACTCATATTCAATACCCTCCTCCAGGCCAATAACCTTGAATCTAGTTTCTGGGACAAGTTGTTTGTTCTGTTTCACCCACAATATATTGTTTCTCTCTTTTAGCTCTAAATGGTATCCCAAAATCTTGCTTCCACCATCATTGCTGGGTTTTTCCCATACAACCACCATACTTTCCTTGGTGGTTGACTGAACGGTAACAGAACGTGGTGAACTAGGAACCTCAAAAGGATACTGAGCAACAATAGTATCAGATAACAGGGCTGAAGATTTGCCATATCTGTTCTCTGCAGCAATCCTGAATTGGTACTCAGATCCAGTTTTCAGACGTGCTGCCTTGATAGTGGTTCTGGCTACTGTAGCTGACACAATCTGCCAGTTAGTGGTAGATGTGTCTCTCTTCTCAACGATGTAATTATTGATGGCACAACCGCCATCATACTGAGGTGGATCCCAGGACAGGATCACGCTATCAGCAGTGACCTCATCTAGCTTAATTGGGCCAGTTGGAGGGCCAGGCTTATCTAAAACAATAACACTGATATCTGTAGATGCCTCTCCAGCTGTGTTAGTAAGTTTGACAGTATATGTTCCCACATCATCTCTGCAAGCCTCCTTAATAACCAGGAGAAGATTTTTGTCTGTGGCATCTGCATTCACTCTTGTCGTCTCTTTGAGAGCAACACCATCTTTGAGCCAAGTTGCTGTAGCCTTGGGATGGGCAGCATATGGTACATCTATTTTCAGATCATCCCCTGCTAGCACACTAAATGTGCTGAAAAGAACTTTGAAGGTTGGTGAGATGACCAGATCCTTGGCAACCACAGGCACATTGAGAGGGCGGGGGTCACTGACTCCCTTTTCATTAATGGATGAAATACGGAATGTATACTCCTCTCCCTGTGTAAGGCCAGTAACATGAGCTTCATTGCTTTTTACAACCATAACCTGGGTCCACTTCTCACTGCCTTTTCCCTGCATCTCAACTATATAGCCAGTGATTCTGCTTCCACCGTCATGGTCAGGCTTTTCCCAACTTAATGTGACACTTTTGCTGGTAACTTCACGGAGAGACACTTTGCCTGGGGGAAGAGGCCTCTCTGATGCTTTAATTGGTTCAAGAGTCTCTACTGGGAGGCCAATGCCATATTCATTCTCAGCCAAAATTCTAAAGAAGTACATCTTTCCCTCCTCTAGGTCTCCAACTTTCCAACTTGACTTATGGCAGCTGGCACACACAGTTGAATAAGCCTTTCTGGTTGATTCACGCTTCTCCACGATGTAATTGCGGACTCTGGAACCACCATCAATGACAGGAGCATCCCAAGCAAGAGAAACTGAATCTCTAGTGACCTCCCTGACAATCAGATTCTGAGGTGCTCCAGGACTGTCTAGCACTCTGACATTAACAAAGGCTGTCTTACTTCCTGAGGCATTCTCTACAGTCACAATGTATTTACCCCCATCAAATCTGTCAACATTCTCTACCTGAAGAGTGGTGAATGATGAGGTGATTTCAATGTTAGCTTTATCTAGAGATTCCCCATGCTCTCTAGACCATTTTATTTCAGGTGCTGGTCTTCCCTTGATAGGGACAAAAAGTCTGAGTGTGCTGCAGGCTCTGATGCAGACCACCTTACGTAGTTCTGCTCCAAGTTCAATTTCTGGAGGAACTAGTCTGTCTTCAGACTTGGGTGTTCCAGGAACAGCTGCAGGCTCTCCCACTCCTTCACAATTAGTTGCAGAAATATTGATTTTATACTCTTGGTTTTCCCTCAAATTGGTGATGGTGAAAGAAGTGGCAGTCCAACCATTCTTGGGAGTGTGAATTGTCCATTCATCCTCCTCAGGCAGGCAGGTCTCCACTATGTAACCAGTGATTTCTGAACCACCATCATAGACAGGCTTGTTCCATGCAAGTGTGATAGAAGACTTGGTTGTGTCCAGCACTCTGGGGTTCCCTGGGGGTCCAGGTTGGAAGATGGTGTCAATGGCTTTGTAGAATGGACTGGAAGGACTGGGCTGACTTAGCCCAGCATTATTCTCAGCAAGAACTCTGAATTCATATTCATGCCCTGGTGTGAGGCCTGAGACTTTGAATCGCAAGTCAGTTACAGTCCTCTTGTTGCACTTCACCCAGCGCAGGCCAGTTTTGTCCCGTCTTTCAATTATGTATGTGTTTATTCTACTGCCACCATCATGTTCAGGGCGATCCCAGCAGACAACCATAGAGTCCTTGGTGATTATGGTGACTTCAGGTTGCTGTGGTGGGTCACTGGGTACATAGGGGTTGGCACAGATGACAGGTTCCGACTCCACAGGTTCACCCACACCATACTTGTTAACAGCCATAACTCTGAAAATGTATTCATTGCCCTTTAGAAGCTTGGTGACCTTGAACCTATTAGCTTGAAGGTCTGTGGCCACATTTGTCCAAGCCAACCTGCTGGTCTCTCGTCTCTGAATGATAAAGTACTCAATCTTGGCACCACCATCATGTGTTGGATGGAGCCAATTAAGGACACATTTCTCAGCAGTGACATCTGTTACAGTGAGGGAGTTGGGAGGTCCTGGTCTATCTAACACCTTGACATTGTATATGAACTTAGCAAAGCCACCAGGATTGCTGGCAATCAAAGTGAAAGCACCACCATCCCTCCTGAGCGAATCTTTGTTTGTTAAAGTTGTGTGGAACTCGGATGTTTTTATCTCAATTTTGGCTGTATCCTCAAGCTCCTTTCCTTCTTTGGTCCATACCAGAGATGGGATTGGCCTTCCAGTTACACTGGCTTCCAGCTTGAATACCTCTCCTGCCATGACAACAACAGTGCTGCTATATGATGCATCTACATCAAGCCGGGGCTCTTCAATGTCATCTCTGCACAAGATTGCTTCAGATGACTGGGATGGAGCACTAACAGCACCAGCTGAGTTCCTAGCAAACACACGGAATTCATAGGTTGCATCTTCAGTTAGACCACTGACTGTGTAGATAGTTTCCAGAATGTTGTTGAAGTTTGCTTTGAGCCAACGTCCATTGGGCATCTCCCTCCTCTCTACGGTGTATCCAGTAATAGAAAATCCTCCATCTCCCTCTGGCTTGGTCCATGACAAGGTCACTTCATGCCTAGTAATATTTAGTGCTACTGGCCTGCCTGGTGGATCAACTGGGTCCAAAGCATACATGGGCTCAGAGGGTTTGCTGGCTTTGCTGAGACCAGCCATATTTTCAGCAATAACACGGTGTTCATATGCAATTCCATCAATAAGGCCCGTTGATTTAAACAGATTTCCAACAACAAGGGCTTTGCTGATCCTCTGCCACAGAATACTGTTTTTCTCTTTCCTTTCCACATGATAGCCCAGAATGGCACTACCTCCATCAGAGGATGGCTCATTCCAACTAAGGGTCATAGCATCCTTGTTGAAAGAGGTGACCACGGGAGTGCCAGGCTGGCTTGGTACATCAAATGGATAGACAGCTACCACTGGTTCAGAGATAATGCTTGGTCCAATCCCATATCTGTTCTGGGCCTTGATGCGGAACTGATACTGAGTTCCTGTAGTGAGTCTGGCTGCCTTAAATGTGGTGCGGATGACTGTAGCTGCCAGCTCTACCCATGAAGTACCAGTGGTCTCCCGCATCTCAACAATATAGTTGTTAATAGGAACCCCTCCATCATTTTCTGGTGGGTCCCAGGACATCAGCACATAATCACATGAAATTTCTTCCAGCTTAATAGGACCAGTTGGAGGTCCAGGAATGTCATGAACCAGGATTGTGATTGTCTCTGTCATTGCCCCCAGCATGTTTTTACCAGTCATAGAATACTGGCCTCCATCTTTCTTTTTTATCTCATTGATGTTGAGAATAGTTGATGTTGGTGTGGTTTCAATGTTGAGTCTTTGTGTCTCCTTGAGCACTGTATCTCCTTTCTTCCATGAAACCACAGGCCTTGGTTTGCCCAACACTGGAATCTCCACCTTCAACCGATCTCCTGCCTTAGCAATGATCGTTTTCTGGTAGACCCCACGCAGGTCAAATGAAGGAGCAGAAGTCTGCTCTTTGATAACAGCTGGTCTGCTCTCACGGGGATCACTCCTGCCTGATGCATTGACTGCCATTATACGGAAGGTATATTCAGCACCCTCAATTAGATCTGTAACAGTATAATCCAGAGCCTTAATGGTGGCCACATGGACCCACTGATCAGTGTCCTTCTTTTGAGCCTCAATGACATACCCAGTGATCAAGCTGCCACCATCATGCAAAGGCTTGGTCCATGCAAGGCTGGCACTATCAGAGGTAACATCGGTGACATACAAATTTTCTGGGGCAGAGGGGGCCTGGGATACCCTGATTGGCTCTGGGGTTTCAGCTGGCTCACCCACACCCAGGTCATTCTCAGCTGAGACACGGAAATAGTAGTAAGCTCCCTCCTCGAGGTCTGGAATCTTGAAGGAACACTTCTGCCATGTGGTGCTAAGCACTGTGTAGGCCTTCTTAGTGGCTGCTCTTTTCTCAATAATGTAGTTACGAATCTTAGAACCACCGTCAATAATGGGAATTTCCCACTGTAGGGTGATGCTGTTCTTCGTGATCTCTCTAGGTTTGAGATTGACTGGTGGTCCCGGTGTATCCAGAACTTTCACATTAACAAACCCAGTCTTCTTTCCAGCAACATTCTCTAGAGAAAGGTGGTATTTTCCAGCATCATATCTTGTGCAGTCAGGAATAACCAGAAGAGTGTACGACTCTGTGTTGTCAATATGTGCACGTGTTTTCAGGTTAGCATCATCTTTACTCCATGTGACTTCAGGGACAGGACGACCCTTGATAGGAACAAACATACGGATTGAAGCACGAACTCTAACTACCAGAGTTCTTCTGAGTTCAGCATCCAGCTCAAAGTCTGGCAACATCTCCTGGTCCACCAATTCAGTCACTTTCTCAACCTCTGCAGGCTCGCCTATTCCCTCAGAGTTTACAGCACTAACCCTGAAGTGGTATTTGCCTCCTTTTTGTAGTTTACCAATCACGTATTCTGAAGCTTTCAGTGGGTACTGTGTCTCTGTCTCCCAATCATCATGTCCTTCCTTTTTATATTCAACAATGTAGCCCTCTACTTCAAGACCACCATCATAGTGGGGTCGGCCCCAGGTGAATGTGGCTGAGGTTTTGGTGGTTTCTGTAATTCTAGGGTTGGATGGGGGACCGGGTGGATCTAATAAACACAAAAACAAAATATGGTAACAAAGTTAATATAGGTAATTATGTATTTGACAAAGCTTGATTTGTATTTTCTAACTCTCCTGCATTGCAGTTTTACAGTTTTAAAATACAATTCACATTGCCGTGAGAACATTGCTGTGAGTTTTACTTACACACAATATCTTTTGTCATGACAGGGCGCGATGGTTCACTTGGCTCCCCAAATCCAGCCTTGTTCTCAGCAGTGACTCTAAACTCGTACTCTACTCCCTCACTCAGGCCTTGCACCTTAAACCGCAGGTCAGGGATAGTCCGCTTACAGGCTCTGACCCATCTCAGTCCTCTTCTCTCTTTCCTCTCAACACAGTATCCCCTAATGTCACTTCCCCCATCTCGTACTGGTCTCTTCCATGAAATGGTGACAGCATTCCTACTAACATTATCAATCTCTGGGGTTGAGGGCGGACCTGGTGGTGCTGGGGAAACAGAAACAGGAAGGACAAATCAAATCAAATCAAATCAAATCACTTTGACTGTCACATCACATGTGCAGGTACATTGGTACAGCACATGTGAGTGAAATTCTTGTGTGCGAGCTTCACAAGCAACAGAGTTGTGCAAAATACAATAACATAAACAGGCAAAATATATGAATGGCTAAATCTGAAACTAATAAATATGTGTACAATATATAATAGTATATGTAAAAAAAATTTTTCTGGATGTGTACACTACTATTAGACATGTCTATTAGCTATATTTTTATTTTAAAGGATCTGCAAGATCCTATAGCTAAGTTGCTTTTATTGTTTAATTATTAATACACAGATATAAACCACATAAAAAATATAAACTTACAGAAACTATCAACCATTTTGACTGGAGCAGACTGGGTTGAATCTCCTGTGCCATACTGGTTCACAGCAGACACTCTGAAAATGTATTCATTGCCTTTAATCAGTTTGCTGACTACGTGTCTGCAATCCATGACATTTTCAGCTAGCTTGGTCCACTGTAGTCGGCTGGTTTCTCTCTTCTCAAGGATGTAGGATTTGATAGTAGAGCCTCCATCCTCCTCTGGTGGAAGCCAGGTCAGGGTACACTTTTCGGCTGAAATGTTACTGGCTTCAACTGGGCCTGGAGGTCCAGGAACATCTAAGACCTTCACCTTAACATGTTCTTCCTTAATGCCAAAGGGGTTGCTGGCAGTGATAGTGTACTCCCCTGTGTTCTTCCGACTTGCGTACTTAATAGCCAGAGTAGAGGAGGTTGGGGTACTGGTGATGGTGACAATGTCAGAAGTCTTCAACTCACGTCCTCCCTTGGACCACGCTGCAGTAGGTGGAGGTTTGCCCACAATTTTAGAAGCTGAGATTACAATTGTGTCTCCTGCTCTGATGGCTATACCATCTTTCATTTCTGGGTCAATAGTGATGGTTGGGGGCTCTGTAGAGATGACAAAAAAAAAGTTGTATTTTGCATTGTAGACAGTTGTTGACATTTTAAACGTTCAACAACTCAAAATTTCAAACTTTTGACAAATATTTTTAAGTCCTAACTGTACATATATACATAAAGGGGGGGGAATCAATAATCTACAGTCAACTCCAAAACGAGTCAAACTGTTTACTACTTAGCTCACCATATTCATCCTTGCAGGTCAAAAGCGGAGTAGGCTCTGAAGGAATACTGATGGCACCTGCAGCATTCTTAGCTCTGACTCTAAATTCATACTGGGATCCTTCAGTCAGGTCAGTGACGGTAAAAGCACAGCCCTGAATGTTGACATGATTTGCTTTCATCCAGGCCTTACCACTGGCCTCAAGTTTCTCTATGATATAACCAGTAAGCTTGTAGCCACCGTCATATTTGGGAGCTGTCCACATCAGAGTGACTGTGCTCCTGGTGACACTGATTACTTCAGGCTTGCCAGGAGGATCTGACATGACACAAAAGAGAAGACGGTTGTAAAACATTTCAAAAAGAGACATGGTTGCCATAGCTCAGGTAACAAGTACTGTAAACAGTACATAGTTGAATAAGATTAGAGCAAAAAAAAGATTCCAATAACAGTGGACTCACCAATAGGATCCAGAGCAACCACGGCCTCAGTTACTTTGCTAGCCTTTCCCAGGCCAGCCATGTTCATGGCCATTACCCTGAACTCATATTCTAATCCTTCTGTCAGTCCAGTGACTCTACATTCTTTTACTCTCAGAGGAGTCTTACTCGCCCGTTTCCACATCAGACTGTTCTTTTCCTTATACTCTATGTGATATCCTAGGGAAAACACAAAATTACTTGATCAGACTGATTGTTATTTGCTGTTTGCTCATACTTAGCATGTACATTGATCACTGTTTGTTACCAGTAACTGGGGCACCACCAGTGTCCTTTGGATCAACCCAAGTCAGGATGGCTGATTCATGCCTGATGCTCACAATTTCTGGTGGAGCAGGTGCCCCGGGAACATCTGGAGGAAGAAGAGAAAGCGAGAGGAAGACATTAATATGTGTAATAAAATCAGTTCAGTATAATGCAGATGATGTCATTACACGAGAAAGACTGATTTAAAAAATCCCTAAACAAAGCTATAGTTTCATTTCATTTACTAGTATTTTAAAAGTACATTTGTAAAACAAATACATCAGGTCTTATAATGAGCACTAAATGTTATTACTAGAGATAATTTTGCCCTTTTTCAAAAAAAATTTAGAGACAATGTCTTGACAAGACAAAAAGATCTGAAGTATAATCAGTTATAAATTAACAGTGGTAGTAGACAATGGCCATACTTACTGAAAGGATGCTGGGCAACGACTGGGTCAGACCTCAGATGTTCTCCAACCCCATACTTGTTCTCAGCAAACACTCTAAAGATGTATTCTATCCCGTCATGGAGTCTGATCACTCTCATGGTGGTCTTCTGGATGGCAGAAGCCACTGTAGTCCACTTGTTATCTGTTGTTCTCCTCTTCTCCACAATGTAATTAGACACCTCTGCACCACCATCATCTTTGGGTGGTCCCCACTCTAGTGTGATGGCATCGGCAGTTATCTCATCAAACGTAATGGGTCCAGTGCAAATACCGGGTTTGCCAACCACCTTCAGCTGGAACTTGCAGTCCTTTGAGCCAGCACTGTTCCTGACATTTATAGTGTAGGTGTCAGCATCTCCTCTCTGGGAGTCTCTAATCAGTAAGGTGGTGATGCCCTGAGATGCTTCAACACACATCCGGCCAGTATCACCCACTCCCATATCGCCCTTCTTCCAGGTAGCAGTGGGGTTTGGAACTCCAGTGATGGGGATGTTAATGCGTGTTGTGCTGCCCTCCTTAACCACACAGCAGCCATCGTGCAGATCACTTAAGTTGCAGTCGGGTAGCACTGAAGTTCAAAAGGATAATCATCATTAAAAAGTTCAACATTATAATTTTAGTATAACTAAGAATAGCATGAAGGCATTTTTACCAAATTGGTCCTTTGCAATAGCAGTGAGCTCAGTGGGTGGTCCCTCTCCAGACTCGTTGAGTGCCTTGACCCTGAAAGAATACTCCTTGCCTTCTGTCAGTTCTCCAATAGTGTGTGAGGTATTCTTGCCTTTCAGGATCTGCTTCCACTTCTCCTCGCCTTCACCCTGCTCCAAGATGTATGCAGTAATAAAACTCCCACCATCATTGATGGGCTTCTTCCAGGACAGGGTGATAGAGTTCTTTGTAGTCTTCTGAGCTTTGAAGTCTGTCACTGGACCAGGTTGCTCTGCACAGGAAGGACAAATGGACGAAGGTTGAACGTTTGTGTTTTTTTAGCTACATATATAGTGTCTGAGCTCATGAATGCAGTGGCTATACAGCATGAGTATATTTAAATTTAAGTATCAAATATCTTGTAACTACCAGAGGCCCTGATGCTGCCTGGGGTCTCACAGCCTTCTCCAATGCCGTATGCATTTTCAGCTAGAACTCTGAAGCAGTAGGCCTGTCCTGCCTCCAGGTTGGTGATCCTGAAGGAAATCTTAGGACAATCTGCTGACACACAGGTCCAGGCTTTCCTCTCAGCCAAACGTTTCTCTACGATGTAGTTCTTAACTGGACTACCACCATCAATCAGTGGGGCATCCCAGGTGATGCAGGCATGGGTTCTGGAGGTTTCCTTCACAGTCAGGTTTAAGGGTGGGCCCGGAGAATCTAAGTGGGCAAGAGAAGCAATTTCTTTGCCTTATAGCTTTCAGAAAGTTATACAAGCACGAGTACAAATGCATGTCTGAAGTGAAAGCACACATTAGGCCTATGTGTGCACTCTATATTTATTTAAAAAAAAAACATTTTCTTTCTTCATGCTGATATTTCTGATATATCTTATATAATCATATATATGTTCTACTTTTTTACACATTTTAAGGTGAAAACTAGGTTCGACTCCATTTAATACATTTAATGTTTAATTTTTAAAACCACCATTTCAAGAATTGTATTTCAGCTCGATGCAGGTTAAGAAAAACCTCTTGATAGATTTGAACTATAAATCAGTGAAAAGGTTTTTCACTTACTTGGTTTCATTTACATGTCTACATTGCATGTGACAGTACAACTCACTGGAGTGTGTGTACTCAACATTTTATATGCCAGAAATTCTTACCAAGGACCTTTACTACGATGGTGTAGCTCTTAGAGCCGCTGCTGTTCTCCAGTGACAGAACATATTTGCCAGAATCACATCTGTTAACATCCTCAATCATCAGTAGGGTGTCCCAGTCCGATGTCTTGATCAGTAGTCCTTGCCTTTCCTTCAAATTAGCATCAACTTTAGTCCATGTCACCTTCGGTGCTGGGCGTCCTCTCAGTGGTACATAGAGCCTCATGGTTACTCCAGCTCGCAGAACCAAAGCTTTTCTCAGGTCAGCGTCAAGCTCAGCATCAGGAGCAACTGGAGGAAACAAAGGGTGGGTCATTAACAGTGTTGGATAAGTTACTTTGAAAAGGTAATTAATTATAGTTACTAGTTACTTCTTCAAAAAAGTAATTGAGTTAGTAACTGAGTTACAAGATTCTAAAAGTAATAATTACTTGAAAAGTAACTATTGTGTTACTTTAAAAAAATCCAGGGTATAATTGGCCATTTTAACTACTTTTGATGTTTCCTCCACATTTCACCTTTAAAAACTATTTACTTTGTTTGGTCTCATCCTTTTCAGCACAACCTCACATGTCTGAATTTACAGTCATGTTTTCATTTTGACAAACTGTATTAACACAATTGATCTAAAATCAGACAAAAAACATAAAATCAGAGTAGAAAAAGTTATATTTTTACTGTAACAACCACAAACATGTTTAATGAATCATATTTCATAACTTTAAATGCAAATATAAATTGTCAATGTTTAAATCATATGCACATGTTTTACAAATAACAAAGTTATTTGCATCCATTTACCTTTTACCCTCTTTTTAATAACCATTTCAAACTATTTACAGAACAATCAGCTGTTCTTCAATAAGATGCCACAAATTATTTGTGCCACTCCAAAAACAACATTTCTGTCTACTATAAAGGAAACATCACAGCCTGATACCTGCAGGTCTGACAGCAGCAGGTGTATCACTCCTGTTTTACCTGGAGACAGCAGTCGCCTCATTGTTCTGACACACAACACAAAACTACACACTAACTACACAAGACAACACATTAACTACACACTCCAAACACGCTAAACGTCATAAATCTCTCACATCTCAAAACTCTCTCTCTCTCTCTCTCTCTCTCTCTCTCTCGCCGTCACTCCTGAAACTTCCGCCTCTTCCTAATCAACCAAATGTCATGTTGCCATATCATTTTTTCATTGGTCCACATGGTGCATTTTCCCACCAACACAAACGGGCAGTTTTTGTTTTGTTTTTCTTATTGTTTGCTCATAAGCAGAGAGTGTTCGCTGTGCTGTCCTTAGACAGTAAACGTGACGAAAGTATTGAGGAAAAAACGCTGCGTATATATAGTTTATCATGACTCTGGTTTTACGTGGCCTTGTCACCTTGTTGCTTTGTCTTTAAGTGGTCATGTGATTGACCACGACTACTTTATTCTTCCTCAGTCAAACAGCAGCACTCATGCCATTGTTTTGCCCCCTGTGCTCCAGGTGTTGTGCCAGATAGTGATCGTGATCACCATCCGCGGAAGCGCAGCTGCTTAAAGCTGCAGCGCCCAGATTACTTACAGCTACTTCCTGCAGCTGATATAAGATGCGGTAAACTGAACACAGCTTCAACCGTCTGTTTGTTGAAATAGTAACGGACCGCATTTTCTTGTTAGTAACGGTAACGGCATTGTAACGATAGGAATAGTAATTAGTTAGATTACTCGTTACTGAAAAAAGTAACGCCGTTACTTGTAACGCCGTTATTCCCATCACTGGTCATTAATCACAGTGACTAACTTAACTGTTATGTCGTCTGTTAGTTGCCATTATTTCTTCTGTTAATCTGTCTTGCCCATTTGGCAGTACTCTCTTTTTGCTAATTTGTCCTCCTGAAAATATTAAGTGTTAATTTTGGCTAATACCAAGAAAGTCTTAGTTTATCAAGTTCACCAAGAATGATACTAATTATTGACAATATGTTTAATTAATAAAGTTAATTCGCTAGCGGAAACAAGTAATATAATATATAGATTAAAAAGATAACCACAAAGGCCAGACCAGCAATTTCAATTACGCTAGCAAATTGCTGGTTGGTCAAATTTTTCTAATAGTTGGACTTGATATGAGAAATTCTATGTTGGATTAGGTAAATGGTTATTTCATTTTCTTCGATTACCACTGAGCCAGTTAGTAGTCATACAATCTGATCTCCATAATGTCATATGCATTAAAGTTATTTAATGAAATTGAGTTCCTCTTTCACAGTGATAAACTGTGATATAGTAATGAGAGATAAGGTGTACTACTGTATTTGCTGACACAGTCTCTCCTTCAAAGCCAAGCTAACTTGATTGATTTTTATATTGCCTCTTGATTTAATTCTTTTTTCTTTTAGAGATTCAGCAATAGCCACACGTATTCATAACAATGATTTAGACATAAGCTGTTGATCTCCAGTGGAAACACCCCACAGAAAACCATTAAATTAAACCAGTAAACTAAACAATTTTCCTTTTGGAAATTATTTATCTAAATAGTGTTGAATCAGAGACAGCTGGGAACATACTTAGAATATCCTTAGGCATGTAGTTTCCAGGCACCTCGCTGGGCTCACTGTAGCCAATCTTGTTAACAGCCGTGACTCTGAACTGGTACTCAGTGTTGTCCATCAGGCCTGTCAGCAGGAATTTCGTGGCCTGGAGTTTCTTCGGCACATTGCATCTTGTCCAGCTCTCTGCATCAACTCGCTTGCACTCAACCAAGTATCCAATGATCTCACAGCCACCATCATATGCTGGTTTGGTCCAGCTAAGGCTAACTGACGTCTTGGTAGAGTCCACCACCTTGGGGAAGGCAGGTGGCCCGGGAGGATCTAAATAATTATTTATGAATAATTAGTTGTCTGAAGCGTTTTACTTTCATTTAGAAAGTGTGTTTTAAAGCAGATACTCACAGACAGGGTCAACAGCCAGGGCACCATTTGAAGCGTCGCTGGGTTTCCCAAGACCAGCCTTGTTTATAGCAATTACTCTGAACTCATACTCAGAGCCCTCAGTCAGTTGAATGGCCTTGATGGTCCTATCAATGACTGGTCGGCGGTTAACCTTAGCCCAGCTCAGCTCAGTGGCCTCACGTTTCTCCACCATGTAGCCAAGGATGGGAGACTTGCCATCATTGGCTGGGGCCTTCCAGCTGACTGTCATGGAGTTCTGTGTGATGTTGGTGATGACAGGTGGCTCACATGGACCAGGAACATCTGACAAGAGATAATGTTTTAATTCTCTGATGGGCTACACCAACTTTGATCAACATGGTGTTATAAAGGAATAAAAAACTTACACATTAGCCATGTCACACAATTCACAATTTGAAAAATTGAATTTAAGCAAAAAAAATGTCAAGCTATATATCAAATCACAGTAATTTTAATGATTTAAACATGGTCAAGCTAATATGAGACTTTATGCAGTCAGTAAAACATGCATGCTTTCATTTTTTCATTTCATTCTCCTCAAGTAGAATACAGTGAGTTTTCTTACCATACGGATTCTTGACCGTGACGGCATCAGTCATAATGGGATCTCCCACACCATACTGGTTCTCAGCACTGACTCGGAACTGATATTCGTGTCCTTCAATAAGTTTCTCCACTGAACAGTCAGTGATGTGTCCATGGATGTTTGAGGTGACCAATGCCCAGTTGGCCCTGCTAGTCTCACGCTTCTCAATGATGTAGTTAGTGATTTCAGAACCGCCATCTGCAAGTGGTGGCACCCATCGCAGCTTAACACGGTCAGCAAACACCTTAGAAATTTTCACTGAGGCTGGAGGGCCTGGTTTGTCTGTGGTAGAAAAAACACAAGGATAAGCTTTTTTCTCTCAAAACATGAAACGCTAGCTTAAGCACTACAATAAAATGAACTAACATAACTTTAGCTTACCGAGTACTTTGACCTTTATGGTGGCGTACTTGGTGCCATTGACATTTTCAGCTGTGATAGTGTAGTCCCCAGTCTCTTTCCTGGTGACAGAGTATAGCTCCAGCAGATGAAGATGTTTCTTTTGGGACATCTTCATTCCCTCAGCAAGGACCAGAGGTACTCCATCCTTCTTCCAGCTCACTTTGGGAAGTGGTTTGCCAAAGACCTCAGCATCCAGGAAGACATTTTCTCCAGCTTTCACCACAATCAGGTTCTTCATGTTAACACCTAATTCCACACGAGGAGCAACTGCATAGAAGAGGAAAAAAACCCTCATGATTATTTGTATATGACTGTATTTGTGTATCACTTTCGTTACTATGCAGAGTTGTACCATTCTCTGCGATGACAGGAATAGGGTCAGACAGCTCAGATGGAAGGCTGCTGTTAATTGCGGTCTTGGCGATGACTCTAAACTGGTATTGTTGACCCTCCTGTAGGTTAGTCACCACATAGTTCTCTGTCTGGATGTTCATGCAGTTGGCATTGCAGCGAGTCCACTTCTCTTCTGGAAGCTTTGTATATTCCACGTAGTAGCCAATCAACTTGCTGCCACCGTCATGCTTTGGACGGCCCCACACTAATGATACAGTGCTCTTGGTCACATCCATGGGCTCGGGTTTTCCTGGTGGGTCTAGATAGAAACAAAAACCCCCACAAATGAACAGTTGTAGACGATACAGTTTAAATAACAAAGAATGAACTTGAATGCAAAAGAGTGCAAATATATATAGCAATATATCCTGAAATTAAAAAGAAAATATATTAACCAGAAAAAGTAGAATTTGAATCATTCTGATATGAGTCAAAGACGATTGTGGGTGGGGAGTATTGTGTAGGTGATTTTGACATGGAATAATTAAACTACTGATTTTATCATTGAATTGCAGCATCTGTAATCATTTAATTGCTTTCTCCTCAGTTTTTGTGGGTATTAAATCAACTACAGCATGTTTATTTAAAGGAAGGGTTCCCTAGCTTTACTGTTATATACTTTACTATATTACTGTTGAGTTGACATTGATTGATTGATAATTAAAAAAAAAATGTAACTGATTGATCAACTGATAGACAGAAAAATAGAATTCACCACTTTAATGTTAGGGCTAAAATGGGCTTCTGTATTTCAGATGTGTTTGGTTAGTTAACTTGTAACGGAAGTAGGTATTTTAAAAATAAATTTCCTTATCTTTTTGTTTGACATGTATTAAAGGGCCTGGGGCTGCTGAACTGAATCACTATTAAATATTTAGCCTTGGTACATGGAGCACGTTATCTAAAAGGGGAGATACATTTTTATTCCGTGGTTAAAAATAATTTTTAAAAAATCAAATGTTTGCTAGCTTCAACAAACTGATCGGGAAATGTTAAAAACAACAGAGGGCATACATAAAATGATGTATATGATATTTTTTCCAGTTAATAAAAACATGAATGACATAAAAGTGCAGTTGTGTTGTGAAGAGCTCTTTGAATTTAAAGTTGTCATTTTTGTGCTATTGGTTTTAACTGAAATTTACCAACAATATGGTGAAATGGTGAGAAAAATTATGATGTTTTTCTAGTTATAAGAAGTGTTCATACCGACAGCAGTCCTGGCAGTGATGAAGTCTGTCTGTTTACAAGGTTTGCCCTGTCCGGCCTGGTTTTGTGCTGACACCCTGAAGGTGTACTCCAGGCCATCGATCAGGCCTGTGCAGGTGTACTGAGTGGCTTTGACCAGAGTCTCATTAGCCTTCACCCACAGAAGGCTATTCCTCTCCTTCTTTTCAATGCAATATCCACTGATGGGGCTCCCACCATCAGAGCTGGGACGCTCCCATGATAGGATGACGAAATCCTTGTTGATCTTGTTTATCTGCAGGTTTCTGGGTTCACTCGGAGGATCTTTGTGGAAAAAAGCCATTAACACATAATGTTATTCTTGTAATGTTGGGAAGCTATGATACATATTAGAATACAAATGCTCACCAAATGGATATCTGGCAATCATCTTCTCAGAGTAGGTAGGCCCAGAGACGCCAAACCTGTTTTCAGCACGAACACGGAAGCTGTACTCTTTGCCAGGTGTCAGTTTGGTCATTCTGAAGCTCGTCTTTGTGCAAGATGTAGAAACGGTGATCCAATCACCCTGGCTAACATCACACTTCTCTACAATGTAGTTGGTGATGTTGCTACCACCATCCTCCTGTGGCGAGTTCCAGAGCAGTGTGCACGCATCCATGTCCAGTTCAGTGATCTCCAAAGGAGCTTCAGGGGGTCCAGGGATGTCTGAGACACAGACAGCACACATGTTGATAATGGAAGGCAGGGCAAAGCACTGCTGATGTGTTTACAAGAACCAGCGGTGTAAAAAGTCTCCGTTCTAACTTACCCATGACGATGACTTTGAGGATCTGATTAATCTTGGCAGTACTGTTCTCAGCTGACAGGCTGTAGTAACCACTATCCTTTCTTGTGACATTCTTTATAATAAGTGAGGTAGTTGTCAGCGTCTTTACAATGGACAGGCGATCAGAGGTTAGCACATCCTCATTGCCCTGCTTCCACTTGCAGACAGGAGCAGGTTTACCTGCCACAATAGCCTCAATCGTCATCTTGGATCCAGCTCTGACTGTCACAATGTCAGGCATGATTATCTTCGGAGCCACTGAGAGGAAGACAAAATATCAATAGTTACTTCTGTATTTCATGATGATTTAAACTTTTTGATTGACCTACATAAATGACAGTGTCTCAGTTACTATTATCCATACTAGTATGAGGAAATGTTTAAACTTGTCTACTCACTGAGCTGCTCCTTAACTTCAAACATTCCCTCAGCCTCTCGAGCCAAACTGACTCCCACTGAGTTCCTAGCAGCCACTCTGAACTTATACTTCTTTCCTTCTTTCAGACCAACTACCACGATAGTCAGGTCTTTGACCACAGAATATGGTGTCCATTTGTCCTCAGGTGCACCCTCCTCCTGGTAATCCACCACATAACCATTGATTTTGGCACCTCCATCCCTGAGTGGTTTTAGCCAGCCCAGTGTAGCACTATTCTTGGTGATCTCTAACACGTCCATCTTCTTTGGAGGGTCTGGCTCACCTGAATCCAAAACAAAGCAGGGATTAGGAACAATTAACAAAACAGACTAAATTCAGAGTCAGAAGAACACGGAACTTACTGATTGGGTCAACAGCCAAGTAGGACCTGGGTGAGTCCTGAGGAACTCCAATGCCATACTTGTTGCAGGCCATGACTCTGAAGTAATACTCAATGCCAGGTGTAAGGTTGGTGACCTTAAAGCTAGTCTTCTTCAGGTCCTCTGTGCACTTGGTCCAGGTCTTCCTATCAACCTCTCGTTTCTCCACAACGTAATTGAGGATGGGGCTGCCTCCGTCATTCTCTGGTGGCAACCAGGAGAGTTGAGCTGTTGTTTTGGTGATGTCAGTGGCATCCAGGCTGCCAACCGGACCAGGTGTGTCTGTGGACAAAAAATTTTAAATCAAAGACATGACAGCCTCCTCATTAGTGACCAGTCTTTTTAAACGGGTTTAAAAGTTATTAAAAGAAAATACACCATTTGACATTCGTTTTTTGTTTCTCACCAAGGACTTTGACACGGACAAATATTGCTTTCTCTCCAGCTGAGTTGGACAGAGTGAGTGAATATTTTCCAGAATCCTCTCTGGTGCTCTCAGGGATAACAAGGAAGGACATGGTGTCAACCTGGTCCACGTGACCTCGGCGGATTACATTGTCCACACCCAACCGCTTCCACGTAACCTTGGGGGCAGGCCTTCCTCTGATCACGGCGAAAAGCCTTATAGGACAACCAGCCCTCACAGAAAGGCCTTTCCTCAGACTGGCATCCAGCTCAATTTCTGGAGCCTCTGTTTTACATGAAAAACAAATGAATGTTTAGTGTCATCAGCTTTTGGAAAATTTACAAGACTACTGTACTATAAAACATTTATTGAGGCTCAGAATCTGATGACTTCTTACCCAGGATCTCCTTGGGAGACACTGCCTCCTTCAAATAAGCATGGCGTCCCCAGCCCACCTGGTTTTGGGCTGACACCTTGAACTCATACTCCTGCTTTTCATCAAGCTGGCCAATAGTAAATTCTGTGAGCACCAGTGGTCCATGAGTATCAATTCTCTTCCAGCCCACTGTGGGATTCTCAGGGTCCGCCTCACTTTTCAGCCTCATGTCCAAGCTATAGCCAATAATGGGGGCGCCACCGTCATAGACAGGTTTAGACCAGGACAGAGTGATAGAGGTTTTTGTGCTGTCGGCCACCTTCAGGGCTGCAGGGGGACCAGGTGGCTCTGTAGGTGGAGACAGTGAAACAAAACTTATTATGAATGCAGAAATAAAAGACGAAGCTTGTCAAATCTTAAACCCCATTGTCTGGCATTTTACATGTTCTTCAGCTCTACCACAAAAAAACAAAACAAAACAACCCCCCCACTTGAACTTCTTAATAGTAAAGTTGTGACAGCAAACTCACCAATAGGATCTTTGGCTGCAACTGGTCTGCAGGGTTTACTGGGATCTCCCAGACCGACATCATTCTCAGCTCTCACTCTGAACTGGTACTCATGGTTTGGAATCAGGTTGGTTACTTTCATGCGTCTCTCAGAGATTGGGCTCTTAGTGCAGGGCACCCAGCGCACTGCCCTCTTCTCCTTCCTTTCAAGGATGTAACCAGTGATTGACTTTCCTCCATCATTCTCAGGAGGAGCCCAGACCACAGTCATCTCATCTTTGCTCACCTTTAATCACAACCAATTATTATAGCTATGTTAATTACTATGTTATAAAAGCTTGAAGATGTTGAAATGTTTTCCACGAGACACAATAAACACAATAAAACCGAGTAGAGAGTATACAAAAATTTACCTTGGTGACTTCAGGGGCATCAGGGGGTCCAGGTTTGTTGAACTGAGTCTTGACAGTTATAGGCTTACTGTCCATGGCAGGGCCAGTTCCCATCTTGTTTTCTGCCCGCACTCTGAATATGTATTCATTGCCCTCCACCAAACGAGTGACGTTGCAGTATGGTGTGACCACAGAGGCTGAATATGTGGACCAAACCATCCTCCTGGTTTCACATTTCTCTAGAATGTAGCTGTCCACCTCACAACCTCCATCATCCTCTGGAGCATCCCAAACCACTCTGCACTTGTCAGCTCCAATGCCAGTAATCCTCAGGTCTCTCACTGGGCCGGGAACGTCCAGGACATTAACATTGGCATATGCTGTGAAAGTCCCACCCGAGTTGGTGGCAGTGATAATGTATTTTCCTGTGTCACTACGCTTGGACTTAGTCATCAGAAATTTTGAGTAGTCTGGGCCAGTTTCATAGCTTATTCTGGGATTGTCTCCAGTAGCCTTATCTTTCATCCATTTAACCTCAGGCTGGGGCTTTCCTCTCAGAGCAGCCTCCATCCTGACTGACTCTCCAGCTTTTACTGTCAGTGTTCCAGCCAACTTCAGGTCAATGACAGGCTTCTGGATCTCCTCCCTCACCAGAATATCTGCAAGTTTTACCCAGGCACTCTCACCTCCTTCACTGACAGTCTGCACTCTGGATAACAAATTGTAAAAATAAAGGTAAATAAAGGTAGATAGCTGGATAACCCTTACAGAACACAATTTCTGATCAGATAAACACCCAACAAAACAATCAGTAATTACAAATTAGAAATGAAGTAACCTACCTGAAGGTGTACGTCTGATTTTCCACACATTTATCAGCCAAAAAGAAGGTGTCTGTGAGAGTAGTGGTGTTGAGTTTTTCCCACTCCTCCGCATCTTTAGTTTTACACTCCAGGTTGTAGGAGAGATGGGGGCTTCCACCATCATAGTCAGGCTTCCGCCACCTCAAATTGACATAGTTCTTACCAATGTCAATTGCTCTGAAGTTCTCAGGCTCGCCGGGCTTGTCAATAGGGTCCATGGCCAATGTAGGAGTTTTGATCTCCACGGAGGGTCCTGGTCCTATTTTGTTCTCAGCACAGACACGGAACAGGTACTCATGGCCTTCCATCAGCTTTGCCTTGATCTTACGATTAGTGCAGTGGGAAGAGATCATAGACCACATGCTAATACTAGGCTCTCTGCACTCCACAATGTAGTTGGTGATCTCGGATCCACCATTGTCCTTAGGGCTCTCCCAGTTGATCATGCATGAGCCCTTAGTGACATAGGTCACATTCAGATTCTGGCAGTGGCTGGGTCGGTCTAGAACATTAACTGTGATTGTGCGGGAAGCCTCACCACCTTCATTTGAAGCTTTCAGAATATATTTGCCATGGTCATTCCTTGTAGCTTCCTTGATCTTTAGGTGGACTAAAGGAAGATTCTGCAGGATGGTAACACGTTTGCTGTTCTCTAGAATAGTCTCTTCTTTTGACCAAAAAACTTCAGGATCAGGGCGAGCCTTGATGTAACCAATGATGTTGATGTTGTGTCCAACACGCACAGTAACACAATCTCGACAAGTGGCCTCCATCTCAATCTCTGGAGGTATAAGAATATCCTGAGCAGTGACTGATTCTGGGATTTCTCTTGGCTCCCCGTCTCCAATCATGTTTGAAGCAAAGACTCTGAATCTATAGGTCACACCCTCTTCCAGACCCTTCACCCTGTAGGCACACTGCTTGATCAAGTCATCCAGGTTGACTTTTTTCCATTCTTCAGCGCTAGCTTTCTTCATCTCCACAGTGTAACCAAGGATTGGGCTGCCTCCATCTTTGGTAGGTTTGGTCCACACCAGGTCAGCAGTGGCCCTGCTGTAATCTTTAACTTTAGGATTGACAGGGGGACTCGGGACAGTGATGGGCCTGCAGGGCTTGCAGGGGTCGGAGACTGGGGAGGGGCCACTAAATCCAGCAATATTTTCAGCAAACACTCTGAACTCATACTCGCTGCCCTCGTAGAGGCCCAGGACTCGGTACCTCAGGTCCTTGCAAGGTGTCTTGTTGACACGGATCCACTTTCCTCCCTTGTGTCTGCGCTCAATGATGTAGCCAGTGATCTGACTGCCACCATCAGTTAGGGGCATAGTCCAGCCAAGTGTAACAGCATCCTCTGAGGTATCATAGGATTGTGGCTTACCAGGTGCACTAGGGGGCATGAATGAGTGCTCAGCAACAGTGGGCTTGCTCTCCAGAGGAGCACCAATGCCCATCTTGTTCTCAGCACGAATGCGGACTACATATTCTACTCCTTTCTGAAGGCGAGCGATCCGGAGCTGCGTTGCAAGACTACCAGAACTCACACCTCCCCATGTCTCTTTGTTGGACTCTCTTTTCTCCACAATGTAATTGGTTATAGGGCTCCCACCATCATCTTTAGGAGGACGCCATTCAATTGTCATGGAATCTGGCATGACCTCCAATATGTTGACAGGTCCAATCGGAGCAGCTGGAACATCGAGTACAGTGACATTTAAGGCCACCGTCTTGGTTCCTGCTGGGTTGGACACAGTGAGCAGGTAGGTTCCAGTGTGGTTTCTGGTGCACTCATTAATGCTGAGAATAGTGGAGAAATTATCAGTGTCAATCTTAATGTTGCCCTGGCTGGTGATCTCCTCTCCTTCGATGGACCACTTGGCAGTTGGGACAGGGATTCCTCTCATTATAGCTGGCAGTCTGATGGTAGTCCCGGCCTTCACAATGATGCCTTCAGTGAGTTTAACATCAACTTCAACAATTGGGGGCACTGTGCAAAAAGAGGTCACCTCACATTACTAGACTCATATGAAACAAATATGAAACAAAGTTAAATTATTCAAACTTTACCAGTTTACCAGCCTTATCAACAGTTTCTTTTTTTCATTAAGATCATCTGCCTCCTCTAATTCTAAGTACTCACTCGAGACACTATCATGGAACACACATCTGCACCACAATTCCTACACTATTAAGTAAATATCTAATTTCAGGTGAAAACAAACAACTGGAACACTAATTTCATGCTATTAGTTATATGTGAAATCCAATAGGGGTCATGCAAATACTGTCTTCTGCCCTACCTAGTTTCTCCTGGCAGAGGATAGGCACTGTGGTATCAGGTCTGCTGAGGCCAATGGCATTCTCAGCCCTCACTCTGAAGCGGTAGGTTTTTCCTTCCTCCAGACCAGTCACATGACTCTCAGGGATGCTGACAGTTTTCCATTCATACCACTCTTTCTCTCCCTCTTCCTGGTACTCAACCAGAAAGCCTATGATTTCACTTCCTCCATTGCGATCAGGCCAGTTCCATGCTAACCATACCTCAGTCTTGTCCACATCAACATGATGCAGGTCTTTGGGAGGACCAGGAGGGACTGGAGGGATGAAAGCAAAATGAGAGCGATTCAGGCTTCAACTACTCACTCTTTGTGCAACACAGTTTTCTTTGGTGCTTAAGGAAATTTATTTTTAGTATCCCAGAAAGTTGATTCTGTTCATAATCTGGGAATAGCATCGCCAGAAAACCCTACGCCAGGTAAGATTTTGGATGATTAAACAAGCATCTGTGGAATTTTCCAACACCAAAATAATATAGATGAATTTGAAGGATAAATAGTCACTGTGTTGTTACTCACAGAGTGGGTTCATTGCCTTGATGGCCTTTGGTGTCTCGACATATTCGCTGCGGCCGAACTGGTTTTCAGTGGCAACTCTAAACGAGTAGGACGTGCCCTCCATCAGGTGCTTCAACATCATACTGCGTTTCTTTGATGTAGAGCAGACAGGGACCCACTGAGTGGAAGCTGTGTCTTTCTTCTCTACCACAAAGTTAGTGATGCGAGTACCACCATTATCCTCTGGATCTTTCCAGGACAGGTAGGCAGAGTCACTCCTGACATCAGACACACGGAGGTGCTGTACAGGACCAGGTTTGTCTGAAGAAACATACAAAGAACATCACTAAAGTCTGATCCTTCATTAGGGGAAGACACAAAAATGAAACTGACTTTGTATCACAGGGGCGATGGCTCACAAAAATAAAATGTGCTTAATCACAGTCACTTTTTCAAAATTAAAAACCACACAGATGATTCAGCTCCAGATGTGTCCCTTCAAACCACCACTGAATTTTAGTTAATAATCCAATTCTACAAATAATTCCGTACTTACCAAGAACTAGCACAGTGCAGGTGACAGTCTTGGTTCCTGCTGGATTCTCCACAGTTAGGGTGTAATCTCCACAGTCACCACGATGGCAGAACCTCATCTCCAGCTTGGTGCCTGTCTGGTTGGTTTCGATATCTGCCCGAGGGGGAACTTCTGCGTCATTCTTCTTCCAGGTGACAGTGGGAAATGGGACACCTTTGATGCCGGCTATCAGAGCAATATGAGTGCCAGCCATGGCTTTAATTTCTCGGGTCATTCCGGCATCCAGAATCAACTCTGGAGGCTCTGAAAGATGTAGAAGAAGGAAGTGAGAGAATTAATGACTACAAACACTATAGTACCTCAACACACATATGTAGCATTATGTAGCATTCTATGATACTGAAATAACAACTCACCAAGTCTGTCCTGTACTCTAATCGGCTCAGTAAGGTTGGCTGGGTTGGACTCCCCAGCAGCGTTGACAGCCATGACTCTGAAGCGGTACAAAACACCATCTTCCAAGTTGATAACCTTAAACTTGGTTTCTTTGCAGGAGTCTGGAGTCTGGTTCACCTGTTGTCCAAATTGACAAAATTCAGTGAAATAAAAAAGAAAGAAAGAAAGAAAGAAAGAACATTAGAATTGAAATGAAGAAATTAAAAGGTTAAATGTAGTTGTAGGGGTGGTCTACATGTTATATCTCTCGCCTCAATGGCTCAAGGTAACTTCCTCACCTTGAGCCATTCCTCCTTTCCAGCTGCCTGGAACTCCAGCAAGTATCCAAAGATTTTTCCTCTGCCAGTGTCGGTGGGTGGCTCCCATGACAGGGTAACTGACTCTTTGGTAAAGTCGATAGCCTTTAGATTCACTGGCGGACTAGGTTTCACTAGGGAAAAGAAGAAGGAATATTCTTGTGCTGCATTTACATCCACTAATAATAACATGGAGTGTAATTGTAAGAGAACAACTCACCAATGGGATCTTTGGCAAAGACCGGTTTAGATGGTGGGCTTGGGTCTCCAGCTCCCACTTCATTCTCAGCACTGACCCTGAACTCATACTCGCAGCCTTTCAGGAGGTCGGTCACCCAATACTCCACCTTAGGATGGATTCTTTCTGTGTTGCAGCGAACCCACCTGAGAAGAGAAACATAAAGGCTGATGTCTTGATGCATGTCAGCTAAGTAAATTCCAGAAAGTTGATTTTGTTCATCTTGACGATGCGTTTTCAGTTGGAGAAATATTTCCTTGCTCATCAACGTGACTTCTTGGATGAGTTTCTCCCACTGAAAACGCTGAAATCGAATGGAATGAAATGAAAATTCAGATGAAGTCTAACAATTTGTTTGTAAGAATGCATTTATATAAATATAAATAACATAAATTTTTTTAACTTGAGGAATAAAGGAAGCCAGAGTACTCAGAAAAAAACAACAACACATGGTTTGCATGAGAACATGCAAACTCCACATAGAAAGACAAGGCAGGCAAATAAACTCAAACCTGGGTCCTTCTTGCTCTGGGGTGACAGAGCTAACTACCACACTGCTGTGTTGCAACAGGTTTAATCTCAGTTTTCTAAAAAAGTTTGATTTATTAGGCATTGGGCTGACTGTGGCATCAGAGTTTGTGAGGCCACACACACACTGGAAGAAAGAGTTTGACATAGCTCCCACAGACTGGTGCCCACCACACAAGACCAGTGGTAAAACATTACACACTCACAGAGCAGTAGTTACATTATCAGCAACTAAAACAAATAACTTTAACAACTAGCTGAAATGTGCTGTTAATAATTCATAAGCGTGTTACAAGTCTGGATTGTGTACTTTGACATGCCAGTCATGGCTGTGTAAGTACACGAAAAAGCAATTAGAAGAAAAGCCTACAAACATTGCCTGGGCCCTAAATTATTAGTGTTATATGTATTTATGAACCTGTTGGCCATGGTCTCCTTCCTCTCCACAATGTAGCCTGTGATTGGTTTCCCTCCATCAGCAGGTGGCTCCCAGCTGATTAGGGCAGAGTCATGGTAAACTTCCTTCACCAGAGGCTGCTTGGGAGCATCTGGTGTCTCTGTAATAGACACAATGAAATGCAATTACATGCTGTTTTTACTTTATAAACACAAAAGCGGATTGCTTGCTGGCTTTGTGTGTCGTTCTCTGTGAATATCACTTACTGAAAATGTCTCTAGCTTTAGTCTCTGTAGACAGAAGAGGGTCACTGATGCCATAGATGTTTTGAGCCATTATACGAATGATGTACTCCCGGCCCTCGATTAGCTTTGGCACCTGAAAGGATATTAGTAATCAAAGCCTTTGTAGTATTGTCTTGATAACAAAAGAATAAAAAAACAGAATGGTAAAAATTCAGGCATTTCAAACAAACTTTTTTATCAAAGATTTTCACAGGATCTTCTTACATATAAGGTGCATACTAAAAGTCTGGCCCAGATTTGCACTTCTCGTCACTGTTTCCAACATTTTCTGTGCTTAAAATATCTCTACTCACTCTGCAGGTGGTTCTGGTACAGGATGAGGTGACAGGCATCCATAGGTCTCTGTTGGTATCTCTCTTCTCAATGATGTAGTTGGAGACAGCACAGCCTCCGTCATCCAGAGGCGGCTTCCAGGTGATTACCATGTAATTCCTGTAGACTTCGTTGAACTCTACGGGTCCCTCTGGTGGCTGAGGACGGTCTGACAGGAAAATAATTTACAGCGATCAGCAACATGAAAATCTTCATTTATTTTCACGCCTTGGCTTATAAAAGGTTATAATACTGGGATACTCAAATGTAACATTTATTACACATTTAAACAGTTACTTGTTCAACATGCTAAGTAAAGGAAAATATCTAAAGTCTAAAGCATTAGTATTTCTGCAGTATAGAAACATTCTGTTTCAGAGTAATTCTAAAAAACAAGTTCAAGCCTTTTTTACTTCTAGGCTCAGTTACTGTAGTTATCAGGTTGTTCTAAGTTCCCCCAAAAGCCTTCGCTTGATCCAAAATAATGCAGCAAAAGAAACGAGAAAAGAAAACTAGAAAAAGAGGCTATAATGTTCTCATATTAGCTTCTCATCAGTGGCTCCCTGTTAACCCCAGAATCAAATAAAAAACGTTCCTCCTTATATACAAGTTCTCGAAAAAACCAGGCCTCTTCTTATCTTGAATATGTTGCACATTGCCCAAACAGTACGTCACCCTCAGATTGCTTATTTTTGTTTCCTATAGTATTTAAAAAGAGAGAGCCTTTCAGGCCCCTCATATGTGGATCTGTCACTCATTTTTCCTGATAATATACCATAAATCTCTCTTATGGTCCATATTGCAGCTCCAGTATACTTACTACTCTAATTTTCTGTCTGATTTTGATGTGTTGTGTATCCAAGTAGTCTAAAAAATCTTGACTTTTTCCAGACTACACGTGGCCATTCGGTCTTAAATGCTCAGACCAGAGCGTTCTCACTCCCGAGGCGTAACATGTCGACGTTTTGTCACGTCCCGCGGCGTTCCTGAGGAACGCGAAAGGAGACCTTCGGCGTTCTTATGGTACGCGGCGGGTTATGGCTGGAATCCAGTGCAATGACGCTCCCGCGGTAGTAGACGTTCCAGCCCTGTATTCCAGCCCTAAACCTAACCTTATCCCTAGCCCTGACCATAACCTTATTCCTGACCTTAACCAGGACTTTAATGATGTTAAATAGCGTGTTTCTAAGCGATTTGAAGAAAAAGAGCGAACATGTGTAGGTTCAGTCCAGACGGTTCTCATATTTCCTCTTTTTCCGAGGTCGTCATTTAGGAACGTGGTGGGTAGCCGAAAACGTAATATGGTGACGATTTGTCACCTAGCGTAAAATGTTACGCTTTGGGAGTGAGAACGGGTTGCTCAGACAGACAGAGGCACTGTTTTAAGTGCCTTTTCTGAATTTTAGTTTTTAAACCTCTGATTTGATTTTGAGTCATGTACAAGCAGCTGATCACTCATCTCGATACATCCATTAACATATCCTTCATTTCTGGTGTTAGGTGTTGGTTCGGATCAATGCTACTTTTGTGTTGTGTTAGTTCCACAGCTGGTCAGGTCATTAGCTCTTTGCTGTGACTCACCGACCACAGTGATGGTGCAGATTCCCGAGCGAGTGCCAGCAGCATTCTCCACGCTGACACAATAGCGGCCGCTGTGTTCTCTCTTGGCCTTGCTGATGTTGAGGCTGAGGTGGTGGGTGGTGCTGTGGAGGCTGATTTCCTCATCTGCCTTCAGGTCCTCATCATTCTTTGCCCAGGTGATAGCAGGGGCCGGTTTGCCACTGTAGCGTCCCGACAGCATGCAGGTGTCTCCCACCTTTACCATGAGCTTTTCCCTGAAGTCCAGGTCCAGAGTCGGTGGCTCTGCAGGGGTAACAGTTAAGCTAGTTATTATATCAGCTGAAAATCTTCCCCTAGATCATTTTCTCTGATTTAAAAGACCATTTCCACACCTACAACAGTTATAATGGCACATTTTGTCACATTTTCTTTCTTCATATCAAATTATTTAATCCTGTTTATTGTATTTCCACAACAACCACGAAGATCAAGTTCCAGTCCATGTGTGTTGAAAATCATACAACAGATGCATTGAAGCCTTTAAAAATAACTTAAAATAAAAATATATTTACAGTTATTCTGTATGAACAAACATAGGCAACAGGAATGTTCACACATACTGTAGCTTAAACCCCACAATCTGTACACATGAAGGTGGGGTTCAAAAATGAGTGAATGTCATCAGTTCAGTATCTAACCATATTTGGACTTCCCTTCATTTTGCTCAAATACGACCTAGAAGAACCTGACCTAAAAATGTATTTTTACACATGAATATGACCTTTTGAATATAAAATGTCATAATTTTGTCTTTTCACATTATTTGGAGAAGCAGGGTTAACACAAGACTTCCACACACACTACGGTGAGACTCTGCCATTTAGATATTTGTATTAAATTTTCTCATAATTAGCAAATAACATATTGGCCAAAAGTATGTTTAGTGAGATTAAGGTAACCGTGATCTTTGACAATCAGAATCTAATCAGTTTATCCGTGAGACCAGGAAAACTCAAGTTATCTCCATTATCAGAATAGAACGGCTGAATAAAAACATACAAGCTCTGGCCTTTGCTGACAACTGAAGCATTAAAACATCTCTTTATGCCATTACATGGCAAAACACTGACAAACCTTGAATTACATCCCAAAACCAACTTGCTGAAACAACTGTTATACCTCATAAGCAATGTTGAATCATAGTTACCATCCTTGGTTTTCACATTGGTGAGTCACTAGTTTTTATGATAAAATTAATGTTGTCATGTTGTGTCACTTACCAAGTTCATCCTTGCACTGCACAGGTTTGGTGGCAAAAGATGGTTTGCCTTGTCCCACCTGGTTGACAGCTGAGACTCTGAACTCATGGCTTGAGCCTTCCTTCAGCCCAGTTAGTGTGAACCGTCTGTCCATCAGCTTGTCCTCTCCGCCTACTCTCACAAAGCTGTCATGGCCTATCATTCGGGACTCAAGGACATAGCTGGTCACATCTGCACCACCATCATATTTGGGTGGTCTCCAGGTGACGGAGATGGAGTCTTTGGTAATAGCTGTGATGATTAGATCCTCAGGACGCTCTGGGACAGCTGCAGAAGATACAAACACAGAGTGACAGCAGTTTTTTTTTGTTCTACCCAAATGACTGTCAAAGGGTTTCGTGCCTCACGAGCGGTTGTTGTTGTTTTCCTGTAGATATTCTGCACAAATTGTGAGGAGTTGACTTGTAAAAAAGATTTACTTCCAGGTTATAATTAACATTCAAATTATTGAAAGTATATAATTGAAAAACTATTTTTGCGCTTCCATAGATTTAAAACAAATTTGTAATAATTAATTGATGAATTAATTAATTTTTAAAACGACATAAAATCAGCGTCTTCTAGATTTCATGCCTAATAGTTGCAACTTTGAAATGAGGATTTAAGAAAAAACTTTGTATATAACAATTCAGTAATAACTCCTATTATGTTTTTTCTAGTTTGGTGATTACCCTTAAAATTGTAAAGAAGTTACAACTAAAATGTTAAATAAGGGACTCCTTTCCTTTCAGGTTACTACATGTTGGACTTACAGATGGGATCTTTGATGAGAACCATCTTGTCGGTCTCGACGAAAGGTCCCATGCCTATGATGTTCTCAGCTGCAATCCTGAAGAAGTAGCCCTTGCCATCGATGAGTCCTTGTACTACAGCATTGTTTCTTGTCACTGTGTAAGATACAGAGGTCCAACCCATGCGGTCTGACTCTCTCTTCTCAATAATATAGTTGGTAATGGCTGAGCCGCCATCATCCTCAGGGGAGTACCAGGTCAGCTTGCAGGAGTCATTGGTCAGGTTCTCTCCAGCGAAGGGAAGACCAACTGGTCCAGGAACGTCTGTAGAGATAAGGACGGAGTCAGACTCTGCACATAAAGCTTCCATATTCTACTTGGATACGCGGTTAAGAAAGTGGATGGGACAGCTCTTTATGCATCAGCATGTTCAAATTGTTTGAGGTGAATGTGATTACCCACCCAGGACCTCAACAATGACCGCCTTCTTCCTCTCTCCGCCCTCGTTCTTTGCACTTAGTGTATAAATGCCCTGGTGTTGGCGTCTGCAGTTCTTAATGACCAGTGAATTAGAGATGCCTGTCGTCTCCACCACGGCCTCTTTGGGCACCTCACTGTCATCCCGGCACCAAGTGATCTGTGGGGCAGGTTTGCCGGACACGTAGGCGATAATGCGGATGGTGCCACCGGCATGGACTACGATTTTCTCCTTCACTGAGGCGTCAAGATCCATCTCAGGAGGAACTGCACGAGACGGGGACAATTTTTACGTTTGTGTTATTAACAAAAAATATTGCTTTGCCAGATGTTAAAGTTGGATCTGTATCTTACTTGTTCTGTCTTTGACCTCAATTAGCTCAGACACTAATCCAGGGTCTCCTACTCCAGCAGCATTCACAGCTCGGACTCTGAAGCGGTACAGACCACCTTCCTTAAGGCCAGCCACCACAAATTTAGTTCCTCTGATCTCAGTGTCCTTTGCCTGGGCAGAGGCGAAATGCAAATTAACGTTCATTTAATCATGTTAAAAACACTACATACTGGATCTTCATTGGCTTTGTGGAGATGTCTCAAATCCTGAAGTCAACATTACAACATTAAAGATGAGTTCAGAGCAACTGATGTCACTCTGTAAAGTAAAGATGTGGGTGGCTGTAGCTCAGGTGGCAGAGCAGGTCAGCCACTAATCAGAAGGTCGGTGGTTCGATCCCAGGCTGCATCCTGGCTGCATGCCAAATATCCTTGGGCAAGATACTAACCCCATGTTTGCCTACTGGTGGTGGTCAGAGGGCCCGGTGGCGCCTGTGTCCGGCAGCCTCGCCTCTGTCAGTGCGCCCCAGGGCAGCTGTGGCTACAATGTAGCTGCCATCACCAGTGTGTGAATGACTGAATGTAGTGTAAAGCGCTTTGGGGTCCTATGGACTAGAAAAGCGCTATACAAATGCAGGCCATTTACCATTTACATATATACACAGATTACATTATTTTACTGCATCATTACAACCATAGTGCTCTATCTCTTCATAGATTTAATGCATTGGTGTCTTATGTTAGTCTTTTCCTCTTTCTCTCTCGCTCTACCGCCCTCGCTCTCTCCTGCGCAACTAGGTTAATTGGGAACCCTCCTGCATATTGATTGCAGGGTGCCGTCAGCCCGTATAAAGCTAAGCCGGTGTTCTCCTGGATTATTCCTCCCATGCGTTTGGCGCAAAGCTGCAGTAAATGCTGGCGGACCGCGACGGATTGATCAGCAAGCGAGTAGACCCTATGACAGCTACAGGTAGTGATGGTGAGATGAACTGAAGCTTCCATCCAACCGGTCGACTCATGGTTCGAAGCATTGTGATGCTTCATTTGCTCTACTGCGCCATCAAGTGGACGATTCAAGTGAAACGGGCTCTGTGATTATAATGATGTGATGTGTAAACCTCTAAACTGAATAAATTGTTTTCATGGTTATTTATCCTGAATATTGTCTCAGTATCTCTGATACAAAAGAGAAAGTGGAAACTATCAGGACAGAGTCTTGGTATGACTGTGTAACTGTTAGCCTCAGACACTCAGTCAATAGTATAATTCAGATCATAGATCAGTACATTTACATAATTTTATAACCATAAAAAGGAAGCTGACACTTTCGAGACTTTATCTAAGGTGTGAGCATCACAGCAGATGCCTTTGTGTCAACGTAGCTGAGGCTAAAACAGAAAAACGATTTTACAAAAATATTCTGCAGTAGATCAAAAAAGAAGGAAGAAAACTATTAATCAATAAATGAACATTACCTGATGCTGCTGAACTGAAGCAGAGCAAATTACAGAGGTTTTATTAGAGACACAGCTGAGCGTTTTGCAATTTTGCATAATGTTAAAAAGTTTACATTTGTTCAGAAGCCTATTGAACGGCAGAAATTAGGTTTTCTTTTCGGAAGTAAGTAGTAGTAAGTGGGAAATCAGCTGTGTTTTGCTGCCCATTTTATTTTGAACCTGGACAATTACCACCAGCACGAGTTGTAGTTTGACTCGTGGGGCGCAAGCCTTCCAGTTTGGTGTGTGTGTGTCTTTTATTAAAGTAATCACAGTTGGTTTTAGTTTTTATGATCTGTAGCGAGCCTGACGCTCAGAGTCCTTTTACTCTTTTAACGTATTGCTCTGGTTTATTTCAGTGAACAGAGGACGTGCCAGTGTCCCTGGGACCTCAGGTGGTGGGTCGTTTTCACACTTTCTTTTGCACAGCACCGGGTGGGCTGTAGTGATTTTCTTTTTGTGTGATTTTCTTTTGGGTCCACGGCTGCTGGTAAGTCCAAGTTCCATGATTGTTTTATTTTTAACTTGAGGACACTGTCAACAACGACGCTACCTTTTGCTTTCTAATATTTTATTTATTTTAACCGTAAATAAAACTGTATTAATATTGGAGCCAACCTGCCTCGGTGTGCATCCTCGAATCTGTGCGGCCTCTTTTTATTCCTTTTATCTATTTTTCTTAAATGTATATTTCCTGGGGGTGAAATTCCCCTAGGTGGCGTTGTCATTTTTCGATTTCTTTTATAACCCCGCCGAACACCTGGTCACAATCTGTTTCTCTTTTTACCTTCTCCCAGGCCTCTTCAGTTTCTGTTTCCTTCTCCTCTTCAGCTACACTCAGGAGTAGCCTCCTCTGAGCTTTCTTCTCCTCTTCCTCCTTGTTCACCTCCTTGAACTCCACAATGTAGCCTGTGACTTTTGACCCTCCGTCCACCAGAGGCGGTATCCACTCGAGCTCAACTGTAGACTTTGTCCAGTCTGTTACCTTTGGAGTGGGCGGTCCAGGAGGCTCTGCATGCACAAATTGAAATACTGTAAAGCTCCAGTTTCTGCTAAATCACAAATGTGATTAGAAGCATACACAATGGTAAAACATGTTTCAGCACCAACACAATTTGCTGTCTGGAGTTTGACATTTCATTTGGGATCATTTATTTTAGTTTTGCTCGAGAATCATTTAACAGGATCTAATCTCTGTTGCAATGTTGCTGCTAACATGCTTTAACACAATAATAACTTCTGTCTTACTGATGGGGTCTCTGCAGAGTATGGGGTCAGAAGGTATACTGGGCAGTCCACAGCCAGCAGCATTGACAGCAATGACCCTGAACTGGTATAGGGCCCCTTCCAGTAGCCCAGTGACATCCCAGTTGTTGCCCAGTGGCAGTGCCCTAATGGGCTCACGGTTGACACGGATCCAGCGCTTGGCAGTGGTCTCCTTCTTCTCGATGATGTAGCCAGTGACGGGGGACCCGCCATCGTACTTGGGTTCTTCCCAGTTGACAGTCATTGACTCCAGACAGACTTCGGTCACAGTGGGCTTCTCACACTGACCGGGGACAGCTGCAAGAGGACAGGGCTGTTATCCACGATCCACCCATAATCAATACATCATTTGTCTATGAATTACCAGACAGACAGATCAGAATCCTCTAGAGCTGTGGGTGTTAGTGACACAGTGTAATATGTAATATTGTCTATGTTTGGCCTGTTAAAGGCCAATTTCTTTTTTTAATATATCCTGATATATAAAACCATAGAACTGACAGTAGTTTTTTTAATATTAGAAAATGATGACGGTAAGTTATGCAGTAAGTGGACCGTAAATAAATAATTTAACATGTAATAGATAATATTAACAAAGTGTAATACAAGTTATTTGTCCTCATTTGTGTAATGAGGGTGAAGACGTGATGGTCTAAACTCACTGAAGAGATTTCTGGCCTTCTCTGGATCACTGACCAGTGGTGGGCCTACTCCAAACTTGTTTTGAGCCATGACTCTGAACTCATACTCATGGTTCTCGGTCAGCCGGGTTACCACATAGGTACACTCTTTGGGATCATTGGAGACATGGACCCACGATTTCCTGTTCTCCTCACGCTTCTCAACCACGTAGTTGGTGATCTTAGATCCACCGTCATCGATGGGAGGGTTCCAGGCGAGGCCTATTCTTTCTGCAAACACCTCCGTGAACTTGACTGGTCCGACTGGGGGACCAGGAGGCCCTACATAGGGAGGGAGGCTGAGTCATATATGTATATCTGAAGAGACCTGGAAATCACTTCAACCAGTGATCAAACCTGCTATCACCTGATAATTAAACTGCTACGAGACTTTTAACCTTGATTTGAGAACATCACACAATTTGAATAAACTGAGTCTCTGTTTCAAAATACAAGTGGACAAAATGACATTCTCATTCTCTCTGAAGATTGCTGTTTTTAATTGAACATTACAAACTTTTTTAGACAAAGAACTTTGGATACTGCAAAGGCTTTGAGTCGGGCATAGCGCTGTTGATTTGAAGGTGACACAGCGCTCTGCCAGGCCAAGCGTCTGGTAATGAAACTTGTACTGCTGTTGCCTTTAAATTAAATTATCTGATGAGATATATGGTTTGCTGTGATTCAGCTTTGTTGAGAAATAAAATCCAAATATTTTTTAAGAGTTGAAAAGACACATGTAACATCTTTAGGTTGAATTTCTTACCAAACACTGAGAGCTTGATGCCCTTGCAAACAGTGCCCAGACTATTAGTGGCGGTCAGGCTGTAGAGTGAGCTGTCATGCCTGCTGGCTTGCTGTATTAGAAGGGTGCACTTATCCTGGGTTACTAGTTTGTTGATGTGTTGGTCATACTGAATGGCAGACTTCTCCTCAGGTTTGTCCAGACTGGCTTTGTGCCAAACGAGGCTGGGGAACGGACAGCCGCTAACTTTTGCGACAATGCTGATGTCACAGCCCTCCTCTCCCTCCATAGCCTCACGTAGTTCAATAGTGGGCGGACCTGCAGAGAGATGATCCGTTTGTTATGATCGACAAAACAAACTGTTTGTTAATCACCATCATAAAGTTAACTGAATGCAACATTCTCAGGCACCCACAGATGTTCGTGAAACAGCCCCTATGAATATTTGACTGAAAAAACAAACATGCTGGTCAAATAGAGTGGAATATGAGTAGCCTGTCATTGGCTGAAGAGGCTGTTGCTCACATGTCTGATCCTTGATGACCATGGGTCCAATGGTGGCAGAGGGTCGGCTGGGTCCAGCAGCATTTACAGCTTTTACTCTGAACTCATATTCTCCTCCCTGTAGATTAACAAGACAGTCAACACAAAGTTTGGGTAAAATTCCAGTAGAAATTCCCAAATCACTGTGGAAAGTGGGCTGAAAGCTCAGGTTTTATCCTCTCCTGTTATTTTTTGTTGTTAGTTTTTTTTGTAAAAAATATAGATGTCCTTCAGAAGCAACTCTCTCTGCAGGATACATTTTGGCTTAATTCTCAAATTTTGTGTTGGAGAAATACAAGTTAAAATGACAGTAACATCGCAAAGAGATAGAGTGGGTTAAAGATTATGCACTAAATATTAATCATCTTAAAAAACTTTAAAGTAAAAGAAGCAATCTTTATTGCATTATATCTTAATGCATCCTTGATCATCCAGCTAAGGAAATCCCAAAAAGCTGATTCTGTTCATCTGGAGGTAACGTTTTCAGTGGGAGAAGAGTTTTGCCAAAAATTGGTCCACCCCAAGGATCGGGTCCCCCGACACAAACAGAGTAACATAGTGTACGCTGTTACATGCCAGGAGGAATGCCAGGATTTATACATCAGGGAAAACAAACAACCTCTGGCTAAGACAGGGGTGGGCAATTCCAGGCCGGTGTCCCTGGAGGTTTTAGATGTGTCCTTGAACCAACACAGCTGATTTAAATGGCTAAATTAGCTCTTCAACATGTCCTGAAGTTCTCCAGAGGCCTGGTAACGAACGAATCATGTGATTCAGGTGTGTTGACCCAAAGTGAGATCTAAAACCTGCAGGACACCGGCCCTTGGGGCCTGGAATTGCCCACCCCTGGGCTAAGTGGATGGCACAACACAGAAGAGCCACCTCGTCAGGCCAGGACTCTGCAGTCTATTTACACCTACAGGCCAGTGGACACTCTTTCAAGGATGAGGATGTTCACATCCTGGACAGGGAGGGACGCTGGTTTGAGGGCGGAGTCAAGGAGGCCATTTACGTGAAAAGGGAAAGACCATCTCTGAATCGAGGAGGGGCCTAAGGGTACATCTGTCACCATCTTACAATGCTGTGATTGCAGCCATTCCCCAACTCTCTGTGAATGGGACTCATGGCCATTGATCAGTGGTCATGAGAATTTGCATATTAATGATCTTGAAACTGACCATTTTTCACTGGTGGTGCTTGTTTCAGTTATTGGGCAAATTTCCTGTTTATAAGGTGGGAAACCTGCAGTCAGCTGAGACTGAAGACGTCAGCTGGATGAGTGACGAAACGTTTCTCCCACTGAAAACGCTACACCCCGATGAACAGAATCAACTTTTATTGCATTACATTTTCATCAGTTATCAGTTTGAGTTTTCTAGAAATCATCTTAAATAACTTCCAGAAAGAAAATGATCAATCTTAAAACTAGGACAAAAAGTGACATTTAAAATATGCCTTTCTCCAGCCATGTATTCATAAATGTGATTCTAATTAATACAGGAAACAAGCAGTACATGGAGGAATACTTTGAAGAGGAAAGCCTGACCTCTTTGAGATCCTCCACCACGAAGGTGAGCTCTTCCACATCTCTCTTGTTGCACTGTTTCCAGGTCTCTTTCTCCTTGCCGGTGGTGTCCCAGCTCAATCGTTCAATGATGTAATGCTTCACAGGAGAGCCACCATTATTTTTGGGAGCCTCCCAGCTCAAGGTGACAGTGTTCTTTGTCACCAGGTTAACCTTCAGCTTGGTGGGGGGGTCAGGTGGGTCTGAGAAAGAGGATGGTTAATGTTAGGGCAATTCATATAAACTTTGGAAGTATGTGCTGCATATCTGGAGCTGAAATTCCAAACAAGTCCTCACAGATGGGGTCTCTGGCCCGGACAGGTTCAGTGGTGACAGTGAACGGGCCGAATCCCAATCGGTTCTCTGCTCGCACTCTGAACAGGTAGTCCTGACCCTCTAGCAGTCCTGGCACCACGTAGGCCTGGCTAGCACAGGCTACATTAACCTGATAACAAAGCAAAAAACGCAGCTAATCAATCACAAACAGCAGAATCTTAAAGTTAAACTTAGCTGTTATATCTAGTGCTTCTGAGTCATGGACATATTAGAATCATAGAAGCAGCTTACTATTTAGCCTGGGAGTCTCTATCCATTCCTGCAACATCTAATCAAAGGGACTATTTCCATACATTACTTTTGAAACTTAGCAAAATAGAATAGAGAAACTGACAACAAGGTGATGTTTACCTTGGTCCAGGCCTTGTCGGTCACAGATTTCTTCTCAATAAAGTAACTCTTGATTCGCTCTCCTCCATCTGTATTGGGGAGCTTCCAGATCAGCCTCATGGTTGATCGGGTGATGTCAGTAATCTTTAAGTCCTTTGGAGGTCCGGGAACATCTGCAGGCACAAGCACAGTAAAACATTTAGGACACAGGAAAAAGATGCCACTCTGCCATTGCTAGTCATCTATAAGTATGCTTCTCTTAAAAAAAAGTCACAAACATACCGAGGACAATGACCCTGATGTTGAGGTGTTTCTGTCCAGACTTGTTCTTGGCTGTGATGGTGTAACGTCCAGAGTGAGTCCTCAGACTGACAGGTATAGTCACAACAGAAGTGGTGTCTGTGGACTCCACCTGAACAAGCAAAACAAAAAAATATTTAAAGAATTGTCTTATGTATTTTGTAAGATATACAAACACAAACATAATAATGCAATGGTTTCATAAAATTGTAACAGACAAGTGAAAAATAAGGGAAAGAAGGGCAAGAACTCTTCACAAAGGTGATTTTTTTTTTTCCTGAAAATGTGGTATTAAGGTCTCACCTCAGAGTCCACAGGCAGTGTGTGGAGTTTGTTTTTCTTGTGCGACTTGGCTTTGCCGTCAAAGTCCCAGGTTACCTTAGGAGTGGGCCGGCCTTTGATGGTGGTGGGGATTCTAATGGGATCTCCAGCACGGATGGAAACCAGGTCATCTGCCATCACATCAAGTGTGATTGAAGGTGGAACTGTTGAGTAGGAATTGATAAACACATCAGTGGATGAAATACACAGTATCTACTTATTGTAGGGAAAATTACTTTAAATTCAGACATACGTTGGACATCCTCAATAAGAACTTCACTAGTGCGGGGGCTGGGATCAGACTCTCCAATGTCATTGACAGCAATGATCCTGAACCGGTAGCGCTTCAGCTCGCGGAGGCTTGGCACTGTAAACTCAGTAGTGGGGTGCAGGGTTTCAGGATCATTTACTCTCACCCACTCTGATGTCCCCTCATCCTGTATCTGGATAATGTAGCCCTTGATGGGACTGCCACCATCACTCTCTGGTGGTTTCCAGGAGAGTGTGACATTGTGTTTTGTCTTATCGGCCACCTCGGGAGCAGCAGGCATGCTTGGAGGAGCTGCAGGGAAAAGCAACAGAATGTGAAAAAAGTATCCAAATTCTATCATTCATCATCCCCCTGAATCTGGTGGCCAACACCAGACTTAAGTAAGCTGGTGGGTTTTAAAAAGACATGCATTGTCCTTTACTTACTGAGAGGGTCAACAGCAAAGGCAGAGTCAGATGGTCCACTGAAAGGTCCGGTTCCTGCTGAATTACAGGCTGCGACCCTAAACTCGTACTCTGTTCCTTCAAACAGACGTGTCACCTGAGAGACACATAATGCAACAGTATTCAATTTCTAAACAAGGAGTTGTACACACCGAGGCAGTGCTTTCCTTAAAATAAATGCTAAAATTACTAGAAAGCCCCACAGCTCACCTGGTACTCCCAGCCTTTCATGCCCCTCTTTGTGATGGGCATCTTATTGACTTTAGCCCAGTAAGCAGTACCTTTCTCTCTTTTTTCCAGCCAGTAACCAATAATCGTGGAGCCTCCATTATCTCTGGGAGGTTCCCAGGTTAGAGTCATGGAGGTCTTGCAGTACTCTGCAATTGTTGGTTTCTCTGGAGGGCCAGGAAGGCCGAAGGGGTCTATAATTTGAACTTCCTCAGTTGTGCAGGGATCAGATTTACCGTAGCGGTTCTCAGCCCGTACCCGGAAAAGGTAGGTCTTTTTGTCTTCCAGGTTCCAGACCTTCAAAAGATGTAGGTGATGTTACCATTGGAAACCAATTGGACTACATTTATTATTATTAATATAACTTGTAGTTGGTGCTACTATTATAAAGACATACCTCATATTTTCTCTCAATTATACTATTTGTAACCTCCTCCCACTGCGGTTCAGGTGGAGCTTCCTGTCCCTCTTCCACCTCAGGCACCTCTGTTACCACTTCCTTCTTCTCAATGATGTAGTTGGTCAGTTCACTTCCGCCATTATCAAGTGGTGCGTGCCAGTTGAGGTAGCAGGACTCACCTCTGATATTGGTTACTGTCACATTCCTTGGTGGAGTTGGTCGGTCTGAAGAGAAGAGCATGAGTTCAGTCAGGACACTGTCAGCTGGTTACTCTGATACAAACAGAACTAGCATAACTAATAACATAACACCATATTTTATGTTATAAAGTACCACCACAGTGACATGATTTCAACTCACCAAGCACCATGACATAGACCGTGTGCGTGGCTGAACCCATGTTGTTGGAGGCAGCCACAGTGTAACTGCCACGGTCCCTCCTGTTGGCTGCTGGGATGGACAGCATGGTCTTGCAATTCATTCTGCCAGTCACATTTGTCTCCATCAGTAGAGTCTCAGTAGGCTTCTCGATCACTACGTCATCCTTAGACCACTCAATCTTAGGGATGGGGAGTCCCAGGACATCAGCTGGGATCTCGATGGATTCACCCTTCTTCACAGTAATGGTGTCCCCTTTGAACTGCTTCAGCATGTGAATCTCAGGAGACACTGAGAAAGGCAAGACAGAAATCAACCAAATCAGAATGCATGAGCCATGAGCCAAGTTATTAGCGTCCACCAGGGTTGACCTCTTTATTTTATATACATTTCTCTGGAGAAAACTCTTCCATCCATTACTTGAACAAGTAGAAGTTTTCAGGCTTTACCTTCATCATCTTGGATAACCACAGTCAGTGGGATGGATGGCTCACTCTCTCCAATAAGGTTGGCACACTTGATTCTGAACTCGTACATCCAGGCATCATCCAGGCCCTCCACAGTCATAGTCATGTTGGGACAGATCTCAGTGTTGCAGGGCTCAAAGGCCTGCTGGTCCTGCCTCTTTTTCTCAACAAAGTAACCAATGATAGGGCTGCCGCCATCATTACGTGGTGGTTTCCAGGCGAACGTGATGGAGTTCTTTGTGCGTTCAGTGTAGTGGAACTTCTCAGGATATGATGGCGGGCCTGCAAAACCACACAAGAAACTTGTTTCAAACACACTTCCACATTTCACACTGCTTCTAAACACAAAATCCCCAACATCCATAGAATGAAAATAAACGTAGCACTCACCCTGTGGGTCTACAGCCTTGATGGGTCCTAGCTCAACAGGTGGGCCCAGGCCGTATTTGTTCTTGGCGATGACACGGAACAGGTATTCTTGTCCCTCCATAATGCCCACACACTCACACTTGGACGAGGCGGTTTCAACAGGTTGCCTCCATGTGTGCATCTTGGGATCTCTTCGCTCCACGAGGAAGCCGGTCAAGTCACTGCCTCCATCGTCTTCAGGGTCATCCCAGTTCAGAAAGATCATCTTACGAGTGACAACAACAGGCTTCAGGTCTGTGACAGGTCCCGGGACATCTGAAAATAAAACAATATTATCCTGTTTGATCATTTGTTCAACTAATTACAAGTTCAGACTGAATTCTAACGTCCTGGACTCACCCATGACCTCCACTCTGGTCCATGCAGACTTGATGCCACTGGGGTTGCAAGCGGAGATTTGATATTTTCCGCAGTCTTTCCTCTGGACATTCTTGACTGAAAAGATGCTGTTGTTGTCCTCAGTGAGGATCTCCGCACGGTCTTTGTCGGGTTTGCCATCATCCTTGGTCCAGGTGATGGCTGGGTAGGGTTTACCTGTGACTGTAGCAGGTATAAGGAGGTTTTCTCCAGCTCTGATCACGACGCCATTCTTGACAGACAGATCCAATTCAATTACTGGGATCTCTGTTAGTGATGACCAGCAAAGAAGCAAAGAATGAAAAACAAACAAATAAAATACAAGAAGAAGAAGATATACATCAATACGAAATTAAACAAGATTTGATCTAATTGAACACTGGTTCAAATTTCTACATTTTTAAAAAAAAATTTCTGAGTTTTTCAGCTAACCTGCAGGATTTCTGACGAATACAGACTCTGTGAATCCTGGTGTTCCCTCTCCAGCAGCATTACAGGCAATGACTCTGACCGTGTACTTTGCTCCCTCTCTGACTCCATAAACAGTGAAGTTCCGAGTCTTCCACGGACGTTCCGTAGATCTTGACCAGTCCTTGGTACCAGCCATAGCCTGAATAACACCACAAAACAAACAAGAACATCCATCAGGACTGAAATCAACTTCTAACATGACAGAATCTCAAAAACAAAGTTAAAAACCTATGAGAAGTAACTTTTTTCACCTTATCCACATGATATCCCAGGATTTCCCCACCTCCATTGTCAGCAGGCGGGTCCCACTCAACTTCGATGGAGTGGTCAGTAGTTGCTGCCACTCGGGCAACTGGAGGACCTGGAGGCACTGTAGGGTCAAAGTAAACACAGATGAATCTCACCCTACGATTGACTATATTTCAGTGAGAATAACTATACCCAGATGAGGTAGGAAGTAATTCAGTTCGAATATTATACTAAAACAAAAAAACACTTGGAAATCATCTAATCTAATGTTTTAGATCATCAAACAAATTGTATTTAACAAAGACAACATAAGTAAATAGAAAATGCTGTTTTTTTCATGATGATTTCATTTAGTACAAGAATCCAAACCTACCTGGCCCTATATGAAAAAGTGAACCTAACAGCTGGTTCTACCACCTCTCGCAGCAAGAACTGCAATCAGGTGTTTGCAATAACTGGCAATGAATCTTTTATATTGGTGTGGAAGAATTTTGGTCTACTCTTCTTTGCAGATATGTTTGAATTCAGCCATATTGCCCTGTTTGAAGTCATGTCAATCCATTTCTATATGTTTTAAGTCTGGAGTTACTCTTGGCTACTCCTAAACCTTCAGTTGGGCTTTTTAGGCCATCCAAACGTGAACTTGCTGGTGTGTTTTGTATCATCGTACTGCTCCATAACCTGGGTGCGCTTGAGCTTCAGGGCACAAAGTGATGGCTGAATATTCTCTTTCAGGATTTTCTAGTAGAGAAGAGAATTCATGGTTCCATTCATTTGCTCATTTTATGCCAGATGCAACAGGACTCTTCAAAATGTTAAACTGTAACCCTTTCCCTCCACGGCGGTGATGTCTCATTCGAATGCTTGCCATATTAACTTTCGATGGCACTTTATCTGCCTGCCATGTTTGACCACAGATAATGGGGAATCAGGGTTCGATTCCGGAGAGAACCTGACAAACGACTACCACATCCAAGGAAGGCAGCACACGCACAAATGATCCCCTCCCGACTCAGGGAGGTAGTGATGAAAAATAACAATACAGGACTCTTTCGAGGCCCTGTAATGTGAATGTGAATGAAATAATCTTTTAAAAAATATTTTCTATTTACTCAGGTTACCAATTTCTAATATTAAAATTTGTTTGAAATTTTATCTGAAACATATAAATGTGACAAGTATTAAAAAAACCCAAAAGAAAATCTTAAAAGGAGCAAATAATTTTACCATAACTTTTTCTTCTTCATACTTCTAAATTCTAAAAATTGCCAGTTGCTCATTTTTCAAATATTAAATAAATGTTATAGATGGATATAACTAAGAATAAAACATTTAGTGACAACTCACAGTTCTGTCGAACAAAGGATTTAGAACAGTTTACGTACAAATTGCTGGCTGGGCAGTCTTGGGTTCAGAGGGAACACTGAACTTTCCAGGGCCGGCCTGGTTTTCGGCAGCAACTCTAAAGATGTAAGTCAGCCCCTCGATCAGACCTTCAACATTTAGCTCAGGGACAGGGATGATGTTCCTGAAGACCAAAGGTACCATGAAGGCTTTGTTATTACCCTCACACAAGCCAATATGCACTTTCATGTGTCTTGTTGCAAATTGGAAAAGAAAGAAAGAAAATGGTTACATTGTATGGTTTTCTCACCTATTTACACGTGCCCAGTGTGAGCTGTTGATCTCACGGCGCTCCACCCAGTATCCCAAGATGGGGCTGCCATTATCATTTGGTTCATTCCATGTGACCAACATGCTATTGGCTGTGATGTCATCAACTTGTGGTTTATCAGGTGCTTCGGGAGGTTCTAAGGACATACCGAGATGAAATAGCAGAACAAAAATAAGTGGTATGTTACTATTGTTTATATACCTTTAAGTTCATTAATAGCACAGTTATCTGTTAATTAATCTACATAATGACATATATTTAATTTCAGCTGACCTTTAATCAGTTACAAACATTTTTGTGCTTTAAAACTTTACAAACCAAGCTGAAAAAAACAACAAACAAATAAAACAAAACCAAAAACTAGCTTACAGCATAGACCAGAATAATAATAAATGCACCCATACCAAAAGGATTCTTGGCAATGACCGGTTTGGAGACACAGGGTGGGCCTGCACCATACTTGTTCTCAGCCACGACCCTAAAGATGTACTCCTTCTTTTCAATGAGTTTGGGCACCAAGTAACGACATCCTTTCAATATTGCGGTAACGGTGCTCCAACCAATCTCCAGCTTGGAGTTGTCTTTCTGTTCCAGGGTGTAGTTGAGAATCTCGCTGCCACCATCATCCAGAGGGGGATCCCACTTGCAGATCACAGAGTTCTTCCTCACCTCCTCGAATCTAAAGTTTACGGGAGGCCCGGGAGTATCTGTAGACAGAATAAATGTTCAGATTTGAACTTTTTGTATCTTTTTTTAACACATGATTAGCTTTAAAGTATAAAGCTTTGGATATAGAAAACACAAAAGAACTCGCACCGAGTATGTTGACCTCGCAGGTTGCCGAGGCAATGCCATGGTCGTTCTCCACCTTCACCATGTAGACACCATGATCAGGGCGAATCGAGTCCCTGATAACGATAGAGGATACACCCTTGTGGCTATTGTCGATGGCCAGGCGTTCATTTATGGTGGGGTAGTCTGGCTCCTCGACCTCTGGTTGTGGAACTTCCTCCTCCTTTTTCACCTCGCCTTCTTTTTTCACCTCGCCTTCTTTTTCCTCAGGTTCTTTCACCTCTCCCTCCTTCTCCTCTTTCTTCTCAGCTGTCCCCTCTTCTTTCTCCTTTTCCTCCTTCTTTTCCTCTTCCTTCTTTTCCACCTTCTTCTTCAGGGGTTTTTCAGGTCTCTTCCGGAGTGGCTCAGGCTGAATTGATTGGTTGTTCCAGTACCAGGTGATCTGAGGGTACGGAGATCCTGAAATGTTGGCATCCAGGCAGATCTCGTAGCCTCGCTTCACGGCGAGACCAGACTGCAAGCTGCCACTCAGGAAAACCTTTGGAGGATCTAAGAGAGAAATAAAATCAGACAAACCGAAATGCGTACCTAGAAATAAAGAAAGTGAGAGATAGATCGAGAGAGAACGAGACCACACAGCTGATACATACCAATGGTATCAGCGGCCTTGATAAATGGCGTGTTGCGTGATGGCTCACTGATCCCAGCAGCATTTTCAGCTCTGACTCTAAAGGTGAAGTTCTTTCCTTCAATCAATCCTCTGACGGTGTAGGATAGTACAGGCACCAGGAAGTCATTGCACCTCTCCCACTTGTCCTCTCCTTTCTGCTGCTTCTCTAGGATGTAGCCCATGATTTTGGAGCCACCATCATACATGGGAGGCTTCCAGGTTAGAGTAACAGTACTGGATGTTGGGTTGTGGGTTTCCACATCCACTGGTGGGTCAGGAGCATCTGGAACAAGATTTTGCATTCAGTTAGATTTCTCTTGGAAGCAAAATGTCAAACATTGAAAACTTAGGAAAACTAAATATTCATTTTCATACCAACACCAACTAGAATCTTGATATAAATGAGTAACAGTAGGTGGACATTAGGTAAGGCTGCACTTTTTGCAGCGATCTCGTATAGAAAACTATTCTGCGCATATATAAAACAGGTCCGTGGCTCCGAACTGTAGTACAGGGACCTCTGGCTGATACGTCGGGTTCGTGTCGGGCTCGTAGCTGAAAACGAGCTTTACTTTGTTGTCTGGGTCAAGTTTCAGACAGAGAGGCGTTGAAAGGCTGCTCCAACAGAACTTATTGTTTCAGAGGAAAACAGGAACACGGTGTACAGTCGAGTCTTAATAGCTTACTTACAGCTGGGCTCGTCAGGCTGCAGTGGTTATTATTATTATTAACGGGCGACCGTGGCTCAGGGGGTTGGGAATCGCATCTGTAACCGGAAGGTCGCCGGTTCGATCCCTGGGCTCTCTGTCCGGGTCGTTGTGTCCTTGGGCAAGACACTTTACCCTACTTGCCTACTGGTGTTGGCCAGAGGGGCCGATGGCGCGATATGGCAGCCTTGCTTCTGTCAGTCTGCCCCAGGGCAGCTGTGGCTACAACTGTAGCTTGCCTCCACCAGTGTGTGAATGTGAGAGTGAATGAATAGTGGAATTGTAAAGCGCTTTGAGGTTCTCGAAAAAGCGCTATATAAATGCAATCCATTATTATTATTATTATTATATTTACATGCTTCCAGCTTCCGTTTCTGCTCGGTGACAAGCTGAAGAGGAGACATGGGCCCATCCTCCCGCAGGCCCACCACCCGCAGGAGGCGCCATAGGGGTCGGGTGCATTGTGTGCCGGGTGGCGGCCAGGAGCGGAGGCCCTGGCGGACTGACCTCCGGCTGCCAAGACTGGCAATAGGGACATGGAATGTCACCTCTCTGGTGGGGAAGGAGCCTGAGTTAGTGCGTGAGGTTGAGAGGTACCGGCTAGATATAGTCGGGCTCACCTCTACACATGGCTTGGGCTCTGGAACCAGTCTCCTGGAGAGGGGCTGGACTCTGTCTCAGTCTGGAGTTGCCCCTGGTGAGAGGCGGCGGGCTGGGGTGGGTATTCTAATATCTCCTCGGCTTGCTGCCGGTACTTTGGGGTTTTTCCCGGTGGATGAGAGGGTTTGTTCCCTGCGCCTTAGGGTCGGGGAACGGGTCCTGACTGTCATCTGCGCTTATGCGCCGAGTGGCAGTTTGGAGTACCCAGCCTTCTTAGAGTCCCTGGGGGGGGGGGGGGGGTGCTGGAAGGTGCTCCATCTGGAGACTCTGTTGTCCTGCTGGGACACTTCAATGCTCACGTGGGTAACGACAGCGAGACCTGGAGGGGCGTGATTGGGAGGAACGGCCTCCCTGATCTGAACCCGAGCGGTGCTTTGTTATTGGACTTCTGTGCTAATCACAGTTTGGCCATAACGAACACCCTGTTCGAACATAAGAGTGTCCATAAGTGCACGTGGCACCAGGACGCTCTAGGCCGTAGGTCGATGATCGATTTTGTAATCGTATCACCAGACCTGCGACCATATGTTCTGGACACTCGGGTAAAGAGAGGGGCTGAGCTGTCAACTGATCACCACCTGGTGGTGAGTTGGATCAGGTGGCGGGGGAGGACGCTGGACAGACCTGGTGCACCTAAACGCGTAGTGAGGGTGTGCTGGGAACGTCTAGCAGAGGCCCCAGTCCACGAGGTCTTCAACGCACACCTCCGGCAGAGCTTCAACAGCATTCCGAGGGAGACTGGGGACATTGAGTCCGAATGGACCATGTTCAGCGTCTCCATTGCCGAAGCTGCTGCATTGAGCTGCGGCCGCAAGGTGGTTGGTGCCTGCCGTGGTGGTAATCCCCGAACCAAATGGTGGACACCTGAGGTGAAGGGAGCCACCAGGCTGAAGAAGGAGTCCTATCGGGCTTGGTTAGCCTGTGGGACTCCGGAGGCAGCTGACAGGTATCGACAGGCCAAGCGGAATGCGGCTCGGGCAGTGGCTGAAGCAAAAACTCGGGTGTGGGAGGAGTTCGGAGAGGCCATGGAAAAAGACTTTCGGACTGTCTTGAAGAGATTCTGGCAAACCGTCAGGCGTCTCAGGAGGGGAAAGCGGTGCTCTACCTGCACTGTGTATAGTGCTGGCGGAGCGCTGCTGACGTCGGCTGAGAAAATTGTCAGGTGGTGGAAGGAATACTTTGAGGACCTCCTTAATCCCACTGACATGTCTTCCGAGGAGGAAGCAGAGTCTGGGGATGAGGGGAATGACCCGCCAATTTCCGGGGGCGAGGTCACTGAGGCAGTTAAACAACTCCTTGGTGGCAGAGCCCCTGGTGTTGATGAGGTCCGCCCCGAGTTCCTGAAGGCTCTGGATGTTGTAGGGCTGTCCTGGTTGACACACCTCTGCAATGTTGCGTGGAGATCAGGGGCAGTACCTGTGGACTGGCAGACTGGGGTGGTGGTCCCCATCTTTAAGAAGGGGGACCGGAGGGTGTGTTCCAACTACAGGGGGATCACACTCCTCAGCCTCCCTGGGAAAGTCTATGCCAGGGTGCTGGAAAGGAGAGTTCGTCCGCTAGTCGAACCTCGGATACAGGAGGAACAATGCGGTTTTCGTCCTGGTCGCGGAACACTGGACCAGCTCTTTATCCTCTCGAGGATACTTGAGGGTGCATGGGAGTTTGCCCAACCAGTCTACATGTGTTTTGTGGACTTGGAGAAGGCATTCGACCGTGTCCCTCGGGGTGTCCTGTGGGAGGTGTTGCGGGAGTATGGGGTGTCTGGCCCATTGCTACGGGCCATTCGATCCCTATACAACCGTTGCAAGAGCTTGGTTCGCATTGCCGGCAATAAGTCGGACTCGTTCCCGGTGGGTGATGGGCTCCGCCAGGGCTGCCCTTTGTCTCCGGTTCTGTTCATAATTTTTATTGACAGGATTTCTAGGCGCAGCCAAGTGGCGGAGGGCTTTCGCTTTGGTGGCCTCAGAATCTCATCTCTGATTTTTGCGGATGATGTGGTTCTGTTGGCTTCATCGGGGGCAGGCCTCCAGCTCGCACTGGAACGGTTCGCAGCCGAGTGTGAAGCAGCGGGAGTGAGGATCAGCACCTCCAAATCTGAGGCCATGGTTCTCAGCCGGAAAAGGGTGGAGTGCCCACTCCGGGTCGGGGATGAGTTCCTGCCCCAAGTGGAGGAGTTCAAGTATCTCGGGGTCTTGTTCGCGAGTGATGGGAGAAGGGAGCCAGAGATCAACAGACGGATTGGGGCTGCAGCTGCAGTAATGCAGACGCTGCACCGGTCCGTCGTGGTGAAGAGGGAGCTCAGTGTAAAAGCGAAGCTCTCAATTTACCGGTCGATCTATGTCCCTACCCTCACCTATGGCCACGAGCTGTGGGTAGTGACCGAAAGAACGAGATCGTGGATACAAGCGGCAGAAATGAGCTTCCTCCGAAGGGTGGCTGGCCTCTCCCTTAGAGATAGGGTGAGAAGTTCGGCCATCCGGGAGGGGCTCAGAGTAGAGCAGCTGCTGCTCCACATCAAAAGGAGCCAGCTGAGGTGGTTCAGGCATCTGACAAGGATGCCCCCTGGGCGCCTCCTGGGTGAGGTGTTCCAGGCATGTCCCATCGGGAGGAGGCCCCAGGGCAGACCCAGGACACGCTGGAGAGATTATATCTCTCGGCTGGCCTGGGAACGCCTTGGTATTCCCCCGGATAAGCTGGAGGAGGTGGCTGGGGAGAGGGAGGTCTGTGCCTCTTTGCTTAGTCTGCTGCCCCCGCGACCCGGCCTCGGATAAAGCGGATGAAGATGGATGGATGGATGGATGGTAATAATTTAAAAAAATATTTCTTCATGTCATTATGCAACTAGGGGTGACATGGGCCGCGAGATTGAGACAAAGACATTAGAGCCTCCTAATGCGTGTTTTGTTTGGGTTTCCATCGGCGTGGAATCACCAAAATAGAGAGGGCATAGCCTAACATATGAAACAGGAAAAAAACGCTGTGTAATCCCTTTACTTCAACAAAGTAACTGTATTCTAAATACCACCTTTTTAAACAGTAACTGTAATGGAATACAGTTACTCATATTTTGTATTTTAAATACGTAACGCTGGTACATGTACTCCGTTACTCCCCAACACTGAGTACAAGTGCTATAAAACTTTAAGAAATAATAATCAATCTTAAACTGGGAAAATCACACAGTATCATCTGTGCTGACTCCTGCTGCTATCCCTCGAATGGTTAAGGGTGAATGCTTTAGCTAATCTCCATCTCCATCCCAAGTGATCATATTCTCTACTGGCATTCTCACAGCAGGAAGTATAATCCTTGTATGACATCACCAGATTCGATTTCCTTACGTTTCTGGTCCTCGGCGATGACTGGGTTGCGGAGCTCGATGAACTCTCCTCCTCCAATCTTGTTAACGGCCTGGACCCTGAAGTAGTACTCTCCATTGTGGATGAGATCTTTGACCACCCAGCTCACCTTGCACTCTCCTGACATTATGTTGACGTATGTCCTCCTGCCGGCCTCACGCCGCTGTGCGGCACCACAAAAGGAACAAATGAAAAAACACATGAGCATTTTATTTTCACTGTCAGATTTCTAACGTGATCAGTAAAAACACGCTGCCATCTCAGACCTGCAAGACATAGTGAAGAATTGGACTACCACCATCATAATCTGGTGGATCCCATGAAACTTTACAGGAGCTCTTTGTGATCTCAGAAGCCACAATTTCCTTGCAAGGACCAGGAAGCCCTGAACACAAAGACATAGAGACATGAAAAAACATCAGCTCCAGGTTCAGTGTGTCTCTCCAGTGATGTACAAACTGGCCATGTGTGTTTAAATACCGATGACTTTGACATTGATGGTGGCACTGGCACTTCCCAGCTTGTTTTCTAGTGTCACTTTGTACACTCCAGCATCGGCATGAAGACTGATGTCAATCTCCAGGTGACAGGAGGTATACTCCTTCCTGTTGAGCACCAACCAAGAAAGAAAAGACACAAAGCCATTTTAATGGAGCTCATGTTGGGCTTTTTCCCAGCAAAAAAAGATCAGTTTTCTACTGTTTGTTTGAAGAGTAATTTCAATATAGTATTTTTTAAAGAATATGTTCTTCTATTATATCAGTCATTCCATCTCAAATCAGTACATCCATGAGGGTCTGAAAGGCGTCTATAAATAAAATGTATTATTATTATTATTTTATTACATGTTTGGTAACATTTCTACTTAAACAACTCCAATTTTCTTAAATGTTTTATGGTCCAAAGTTTACCCATATATAGTGAGTGCTGTGAAATTTTAGTTTTATACATTAGAATTAGTGCTGTCAGAGTTACTCTCGTTATAATGACGTTAACGTCATAACCGCATTCACGCGGCAGATCTCTGTTAGCACGGATTGGCCCATGTTAGGGGCTGCACGGCACTAACGCGCTAACAGGCTAACCGTGCTAACACTTTGACGCTGTGCAACCCTAAAACATGAAATTTTAGTTTTTGACATTAAAATTAAAAAAGAAATATTTTTTAAATGGTCACTTTCAGACCATTGTTTTGCTAACTGAAATATAAATATATGTGTCAAAAACTAATAAAAACTGGTCTTTCTAACAGCTGAAATAGATCAATTTGGGACAGATACGCACATAAAAAAATTGCCTACTAACCCCTCTGACCCTAAATCCCTAATCTATCCCTAACCCAACCCTAAACCTGGCATGACTTCTACAGGTAAGCAGAGATCAGGCATGTAAATACATATAAATTCCCCATTCTTTATATTCCCAGATCGGGTGCTAGTAGAGGCTGGGAGTTTGAGGGTCCTGCTCAGTTTCTTGGACAGCACTCTTCTACCTCTTAGTATATTTTAAACTTAATTTTAAATATCAGACTGAATGCATTAAGTCTCAAACTGTTGGGTAGAGCAAGTGTCAAAAATGAAAACTATGAATATGTTTTAACAACATTATTTTTCAGTTATCACAAAAAGCAATACCTAGATACGCTAGAATTTTTTTCTATATTTTTCTTACCTTAACTTGCCACTACTCAGACATTTACACATCGGTCCCAAATTAAGGATCTTGATGCATTTTGATGGTAAGAAAAATGAAAATTTTAGACTCAAATATTCATGTTCAAACTTTTCCTCACATTTAAATGTGTGAAAAATGGCTTGAAAGTGGGTGGATTGTAGATTTTTATTTATTTTTTTGTTTGTTATATTAGGATTAAATTTCACAGCAAGCATAAAGTTTTTATGCAAATCAGAGATGGATGAGTGTAAGGCCTGTGCTGGTGTGAAATGAAATAACCGATATGACAAAAGTTCTAGATGAAAGGATTCGCACAGAACACTCACCTAAAGCCAAGGCGTTCATCCGCCTTCAGCTCTTTGCCATCTTTGTGCCAGGTGATTTTAGGTAAGGGGACTGCTCTAAAGGGAACTGGGATGTGCAGCTTTTCTGTTTCCACAACAACTAGATCCAGAGTCTGGAATTCCAGAGTTGGGTTGCCTGAAAACACAGAAAAACAAAATCTTTCTCAGCCACAAATGAAGGGCACCGGTGACTCTCAGAAACAAATATGAAGATTCTTACAGTCAGAGTCTTTGGCAAAGACATTTTCAGAGATGTCCGACGGTTCGCTCTCTCCGATAGCATTAACGGCCCTCACTCTCAGAATGTACTCCTTTTCAGGGGTCACACCCTCCTCTACACGGTACTTGAGCTCCTTCACTGGACGGGAGTTCACCCTCATCCACTTCTCAGTTCCAGCCTCGCACATCTCAATGTGGTATCCTCTGACAGGGGCACCGCCATCTGTTTGTGGAGGTTTCCAGGCAATTGCCAGGAAGTCTCGGCTGGCTCCAGTCACGTGTAATTCAATGGGTGGTGATGGGATGCCTGGAGGGGAGAATATAAACTCAGACTCTCCGCACTTTAAATTGTTTTTACTGTTACAATATAATTATTAATGAATTGAAAGCCTTTATTGTCATTATACATAGTATAACGAGATTAGAAACAGCTCTATAAAAGTGCACACATGCTTATAGCATTTTATAAAAACTATACAATAATTTAACTATACACTTACTGTAAATATATGAAGCTTATTTATTTATTTTTTTATCTATTTCCTGAGCTGACCTGTTGGATCTTCTATGGTGAGAATCTCGGTGGGTTCACTTGGGTGTCCACTGCCAGCCTCGTTCTCAGCTCGGACCTGGAACTGAACCTCTGTTCCCTCAATGACGTCTGTTACCCTGTACTTACAGTCTGGACCCGAGGTCTTCCCACATTTCACCCAGCGAGTTCCAAGCTTCTCTTTTTTCTCAATGGAATACCTGAACAGCCAATGGAATACAAGGGAAATAGACCTTTATACATACTAGGTTGAGGAAACAAATCTGCTGCTTCTGCTGCAGGTGCCATTTACATGGTGATCTACTAAGTGCCTATCCTGCATGAGAAACGTAAGGAAATCAGTTTTGCAGAAATGTTTAAGTTGCACGGGACTTAAGTTGTGCAATGTCACATACAGGGTACAAGATAAAATGTGATAAAATGGTAAAATGTAACCTGAGGATGGGTCTTCCACCATCGTTTTTCGGTGCCTCCCACTGCAAGTCCACATATCTTTTGGTCACAGCACTGACAGCGAGAGCGTAGGGTGGGCCAGGAGTACCTGGAAATGAGGAAACATTATCGTCGTTCTTTGACAGATCAGCAGTGAGGATTTTCATTGCCTTCAAATTGAAATGATTTGTGCGACTGCGCATCCTTTCTAACTTACTGAAAGTGTCTTTTGCCAGCACAGAGTCCTCCATCTCACAGAAGGGTCCGACACCCACAGCGTTCTCAGCAGCAACACGGAACACATAAAGCGACCCTTCATTGAGCGGTTTCACGTCGCACTTCAGCTCTTTGACTGTGGTGTCCACAGTCTGCCAACCTTTACGCCTCACATCACGTTTCTCCACAATGTAGTTGGTGATGGCTGAACCTCCATTGCGCTCAGGAACCGCCCATTTCAGCTCAGCACTGTTCCTGCTGATGTTGACAACCTCTAACCAGCGTGGAGCTGAGGGAGGGTCTGGGGAAAGGAAGACAAACCACAGTTTTAATCTGTCGGTGTGACCTGGCCAGCTTCAGAGCACCAGCTGTCGGATGTGTCGCCCATATACCATAGTGTACCACGCTTATTCTCTACCAGTTTGTCTTACAGGGAAATGTTTTGACTGTTTAAAACTTCAAATATTCCAACAATTAAAACTAAATTTAAACAATTAAACTCAATTTAAGAAAATGTGAAACTGTGCTTTACATGTCACATCATTCGTCTTTTCCAGATGAAAAACACATTTCATCTAAAAAACCTGTTTAATTCAGGGTGAACGTACTCAGAGTTTGAACACTGATCAGCTGTCCTACAACAGTAAATGCTGAGCTGCCAGTCTGAGAGGTCAGCTGTTGAACGGCCCTCCTGTCTTGTACTCCCCACATAGACGTTTTCCCGAGGGCGTTCCATTTTTACCAATTATCCAAGCGTGCATTTAAGTTTTGGTTTTCAGTTTTGGTACTGAAGCAATGATATATCCCACTGTACTGATGCTCATGATTGGACATAGATTTAAAAAACAAAAAAACCCACCCTGAATAAATGCAAAATTTTAACCTTATTTTGAACATAAAAAATAATAATCAACCCACCTCTGTGTATTTTTATGGCAGTTTTATTAGCACTCTGAGAGGCTTATGTGGGAACCTTTCTCAGAGAACCCCACGTATGCTTATTGTACTGTTAACCGTTTGTGTTCTGGACATTTGTTTTTATTTCATGTTTGTCTAAATTGTCTGACAGCACCTGTGTTATAGAACCACACACACTAAATATCTATGTTTATTTGTGTGTGTGTTATAAATTGCACATTTTTTTAAGCTCACCCCTCTTGTATTATGTGGCAGTCAGTGCAGAACAGATCATTGATCTATGTTTTACTCCAGTATGTTTTTCTGTTTTTAGATCATGAGTTATTCTTACTGAGTCTCTCTTTGCAGAGCACTGGGTCACTGGGTTCACTGGGTTCGCTCTCTCCAGCCACGTTAACAGCTCGCACTCTGAACGAGTACTCCTGCTTCTCCATCAGGCCCTTTAGGAAATATTCCAGCATGGGGATGTTCTCTGCCACACGGATCCAGTCCGTGGTGCCGGTCTTTAGCATCTCAATGACATAGCTATCAATCTTTGCTCCGCCATCATGCTCTGGTTTGGTCCACATTAGGAAGCATGACGTCTTAGCTACGTCCTTCACTGTGGGTTTGCCAGGGGGCCATGGAGGGTCTGGTAGGAAAAACAACCGTGACATATTTATCTATTCTAAACAGATTTAAAGTGCTTATAGAAGTAAGGGAAATTTAGTACCAATAGGATCTTTAACAAGGATTGGATCTGTCTCCTTGCTGGGTTTCCCAGTTCCGGCCAGATTCTCAGCAAGGACTCGGAACTTATACTTCTTCCTGGTTGGAAGACCTTTGACCCTAATGAAGAAAAGTACACTGTAATCTACCAAAGAAGCTTAATGCAAGAGTCAGTTTTGAAATTCGACAGCAGAGTAGCTAGGCTAACCTTTTTTGTGTCTTTGACTGGTCAAAAAAGTTATAGCATATGAAAGTTCTCTTTTTACCTGCATTTTAATGCAAATATAAAAAACTTCAATAACGTTTTGTTTTTCAGTTTATACTGTTGCCTCATTTCCATTGTCAGATGTTGAATAATAGAGATGATGCATAATCTTAGTTTCCCATATGCTTTTACACAAATCAATTGTTTTTAACTTTGGGAACCATCACAAGGTGCAGTGCATTTCGGATGAAGACTCAGTGGCCAGTATCAACACTGCTGTGTTGCTGCTGTAGTGTTGCAAATGTGAACGATGGAGATTGTTGTGGAAGTTTTCCATTAAGTAAAGCCTGCAGACGAGCGGTGAGCGGTAGCTAACATTCTTTAAAAAAAAAAAAGCTAACATTCTTTAATCACAAACAAAGAACAGAAAACCAAGCTTGGTGGAGCCTGCATGATCGTGGGGCAGACTCAGCTAAATACCGTCTCCAGGAACTAAAGGCAGTACACAGCTGTTTCACAGCTTAAGGTTCGCACTCCCTTGCTACCTCCCAGAGTCCTCGAAGAGACAAAAGACTCTTCCTGTGGAGTTGTCTGCTTGTCTGCTTCCCCCCAACTTCCTTACCAGACCCCCACCATTTGTCTAAGTAAGTAAGTAAAATTTATTTATATAGCACATTTCACAGATAAAAATCACAAAGTGCTTTACAATAAGATCAGACATACAAGTTTAAATTAATTAAAAGCCCGTTTGTATAAAAATGTCTTCAGCTGCTTTTTAAAGGAGTCAGTAGAGTCTAGACAGCGTAAAGACAACGGCAGAGAGTTCCACAGCCTCGGTGCCTGAAAAGCCCGATCCCCACGTGTTTTAAACCTAGTACGTGGGACCACCAGTAGCCTCTGACTTGAAGACCTAAGTGCTCGGGATGAAACATGAGGTTTCAACAGGTCAGAGATATACTGGGGAGCTTCACCGTGCAGAGCTCTAAAAGTTACACCTAAATTTTTAAAATGAACCCTAAACTGCATGCTAAAGAGACATGCTAAAATCCAGGGATTTAATTCATCAGATCTATTTGCCAGACAATTTTTCAGCTCGGTGTAAGAGACTGAAGCACAGCTGTGACGGCTGTATGAATTGATTGCTTCAGTCAGCCTTTGTCTGTTGGAATCAAAATCACTGAATTAACTTTTTTTCTAATAGGTTAACTTATGGGACAGGTGCTTTGTGAAAACAACAAAAGTAACCAGATCAGTTCAGTCAGTTTCAGTCTGGTGTTACTAAACCACACATTTGTCCGTGTACAGGGGTCGCTCATAAATTAAGTCTAAAGTTCTTATCTCCAAAAATGGATTTGATCCAGAGAGTCCTGGATAGAAGGTGAACCTGGTAACAGTGAAAACCTTTTAGATGCTATAACTTGTTTTGACCAGCCACCTATCCCACGTAGTTGTACTGTGTTTTTATAGTTAAGAACACATTTCATTTCAGTGAAGTATCAGAGAAAACAGAAAACATCAGGAGCACCAGTACTTTTTCTAATATTCCTGAGTTTAAACTTTTCTGTTGGAAATGTACATCAGCACACTAATCTACCAAAGAAGCTCAATGTGTAAACATCAGTTCTGAAATGTGACAGCTAGGCTCACCTGTAGTTTGTGTCTTTGACTGGCAGCTTGTTGCATCTTATCCACTTGTCATGGTCAGCTTCGTATCTCTCCACCCAGTATCCAGTAATTGGGCTTCCTCCATCCTCATCGGGCTCATACCAGTTCAGATTCAGAGAGTCCTTTGCAATATCTGAAGCCTCCAGCTTGTAAGGAGCCCCGGGAGTATCTGAGGACAAGATCAGATGCATCAGGTTAGTCCAAGTCATGAAGACTTGATGTACTTGACCAACTAGGGACCTGAAAGTAAAAAAGCCTGATTATGATAAATGTTCCACACTAAACTCTTCAGTTAGCTGAGAATCAACAAGAACAAGAATCTCTCACAGGATCTTATAAAAAAAAACCTGTACGATTAAGCTGTTTTTCCATCTTAACCTCCTAAGACCCGAACTCTTCCACGGCAGCATTTTTAATTTCTCTTTGATATTTGGGCTGATTGGGACCTGATGAATGTAAAAACAAAGAATTACCAGATTTTTTTTTTACCTGATTTTTGTTTCTAAGAAAAATGAGAGCCACAAATGAGGATATTCGTTTAAAATTTCATTAGAACAGTAGCAGGATAATGTCCTCGTAAGTGGATATCAGGCCCTTGTAGAGCAAAATTGAAATAACCCAAAATGTGATGTCCACATATGTGGACGCAGGTCCTAGGAGGTTAATGCTGCATCAGACATTTCAATCCAAACAAACAGAAAAAATACTACTGTATATGAATCTATACATAAAAGAAAACTGGAAATGGACTCATCTACAAATGGAAATTTCTGTTTCTAAGATATTAGATGTAAGGTAGCCTACCAAAGGGGTATTTAGCAGTGATTGATGGGTGTTCAGCAGCTGGACCAACACCAAACTGGTTTTCAGCAAATACTCTGAAGATATAGTCTTTGAACTTGATCAGACTGGTAGCTTTGTATGTGGTCAGCTTCACAGTGGAGGACAGTCTGTGCCAGATCTCACTATCAGCAGCTCGCCGTTCAACAATATAGTTGGTAACTTTGGAGCCACCATCATCACGTGGAGGGTTCCAAGCCAGAAAGCAGGACTCATTGGTGATTTCAGAAATGTCAAAAGCAGCAGGGGGACCAGGCTTATCTGTTTTGAAGAGCAGATTTAAAATTGTAATCAGCAGAAACGGAGAATCTGTACCTTTCTCGGTCGTTAATTGATCTTACCAAGGATGTTGACATCCACAGTGGCAGTGGCACGACCGCTGCTGTTGGTGGCTTCGATGATATAAGTGGAACTGTCATCTCTCTTTGTCTTGGCGATGGTAACCATGGAGTGTCCTGGCTTGGTGTCGATGGACACCCTGTCGTCTGGTTTGAGGACCAGGTCGGCTTTGGTCCACTTGACTCGTGGCTCAGGCTTACCTGTCACATCAGCAGGAAGTTCAATCTTGCTGCCAGCCTTAGCAGTCAGACCAGCCAGAAGCTTGGCATCCAGCTGGATCTCTGGAGGCTCTGCATAGAAATTAAGGACAAGAAGTCAGTCAGTAGGTGGGCATTGAGATGCCATAGTCACAATAGAGTAAAGAGGACAGCAAGCTCAGTGTGACCACATAAAACTAATGGCTTGCTTATACGGAGTTTATACGAGGGAATAACTTGTAACGTTGGATTACACCATATGAAATTTCATGGTCCTAAGAGGACTACATCACAAGTACCTTTAGGATCAACAGCCTGGATCTCATCAGTGGCTTTGCAGGGCCGGCTGGCTCCAAGTCGGTTCAGGGCTCTGATTCTGTAAGAGTACCACTGACCCTCAATAAGATTCGTCACCTGGCACTTCAGCTCAGGTACCAAGTCCCCACAGGGCTCCCACTTATCCGTTCCTCTCTGACAGCGTTCAACATTGTAGCCCCGGATGCCGCTTCCGCCATCATACTTTGGCGGCTCCCAGGTCAGGAAGATGCCACTGGCTGACTTGTCCCTCCACCTCAGGTTTTCTGGAGGGTCGGGGACAGCTGGAGAAAAAAAACAGTTGGAGCGCTTAGAAAGTTTCTCAGAAGCAGTTTAATCGAAAGGAAGTCTCGTGTTGTTCTGACTCTACGTGTACGAAGAATGTGTTTAAGTATTTTGATTAATAGAGACAGCCAGTATTGTCATTAACATCAATGTTACACATTGAACACTGCCTTTACTCACTTGCAGGAGAGGAGACGTTAACTGGCTCGTCAATATACGCTGGCTCTCCCGGTCCACATTTGTTGCAGGCGGTGACTCTGAACAAATACTCCTTCCCTTCAACCACGTCAGTAACGGTGAACTCCAGATCCTGGATCCCTGTGGTCACCTTAGAGAAAGAAGAATTAACATCAGGCTTAACTGGTCCTTCATCACCATGTGCAGTCCAGCTAAACATTTCTTCATGACAGGCTGGGGCCATGGAAATAGTATGAGGGGAGATATTATTGAGTGGGTGATAATACTGGAAATGCACTATACGAGTGCCAGTCAGCAGGTGTTGTTACGATTCGGCTGTTACTTGTTCATGAATACCCAGAGCCAGCTAATTACAGAGCACTCTCTCTCTTACACGTGTGTGTGTTTTAAAATATAAAATTACACTTTTTTAATTTAAATATTAGATGACACATTATGTAGTGATCAGCTGGTTCAGCACACTCTGAAAGCCGATGTCACTGTTGTACCTTGACCCAGGTCTTGCGGGACACGTCTCGTTTCTCCACCTGGTAGCCAATCAGAGGACTTCCTCCATCATGCTCTGGAGCCTCCCAGCTCAGGTGGACATGCTGCCGAGTCACCTCAAGGACCTTGAAGTCCTTTGGAGCACTGGGTGCAGCTGGAGACACAAACAGAAATCCGATGACACAATTTTAACAAAAATGTAACATTTGTCAAGGCTCTGCTCAGTTTTTTTAGGGAAGATTTTTAAGGTGTACCAATAACATTGACTTCAATCTCTCCAGAGACCGATGTGACATCATTCTCCAGATGTAGCGTGTAGATGCCTTTGTCTGGACGGACACTCGGAGTGACCATTAGTTCTGTAAATGTTGACTTTGTCATGAGGAAAACCCGCTCATCATGCACGCTGGATAGCTCCTTCTCTCCGAAGGTCCACTTAGCAACAGGTATTGGATATCCAGTTATGGGGACTCTGATGGTGAGAGGCTGGGGAACAATCACTTCCAGGCCATCTTTAAAAGCACTCAGGTCAAAGCTTGGACCAACTGGAGAAGAGACAGAGGTTTTAACGTGCCTGCCTTTGCCAAGGATTTTACTATGAAGGAATAGCATATGAATAAAATAACTATGAACTAATTCATTAATCTCACCATGTGGGTCGTCAGCTAGCAGAGGTCCGATGATGTTTGAAGGCTCAGAGACTCCGGCAGCGTTTTCAGCAAACACTCTGTAGTTGTACTTAGTCCCATATTTCAGACCTGACACCTGAGGCAAACGTCAGTGAGGGATTACAACAAAGAAATGTCAAACTTTTAAAAAACCTTTTATTTAAAAGACTTTAAAAGACAGTTTTGGGAGGTTTTTACTTTGAAATAACTGGTATGCCTTTTTTAAATGACAGGTTTTTTTAAACCCTCGCTGGAAGGCTTGTTTTGTCAATTATCTAATGACACGCTTTTAGCCCGAAGCAGCTGATAAAGGGCTTTTACTCAAAGGTTGTTTTTGGTCACAAGACACTGAACATCAACGAAACAGCTACTCAGGTTTGCAGATGATTTTCTTTGATTTGTACCTTGTAGAAGAGGTCAGGGCAGAGACGGGCGTTGCAGCGGAGCCACTTGTCAGAACCGTCCTCACAGCGTTCAATGATGTATCCGGTGATCATGCTGCCTCCGTTCTTCAGTGGAGTCTCCCAGGTGAGCTGCACTGAGCTCTTGTTCTGGTCCTCCCAGGACAGGTTCAGAGGGGGGCTGGGACGCTCTGCAGGTGATCAGAAAACACCAATTTTAAACCTGTTAAGTTAGAAGTATCCTAGGGTAAACCAGTGTGTGTGTTACGTTTTACCAGGCAAGAAAGGTTGACACTGAACTAGTTAAGTTGCTTTGGAGTGCTAGCTTCTTTCTGTTCAATATTGATTTTCCCTGATTTTGAGGGACAGACTAACCTTATCTAACCATTAGATAATCATTTTCTTACTTGAAAGGGTAACCAATCATCTTTCCATGAGCCAAACTCACCGATTGGATCCATGATTTTGACGGGCTGTGAGGCAGCACTGGGTTTGCCGACACCGGCTCTGTTCTCAGCTTTCACTCTAAAAATGTACTCTTTATTCTCAATGACATCATTAATGATGGCACTGAGGTCATCAGGTTTGGCCACCAGGACAGGAGACCACTTCACTGACGTCCTGTCGCGGAGCTCAATGATATAAGAGGTAATGGGAGAGCCTCCATCTGATGTGGGAGGCTCCCAAGACAGAGTGCAGCCAAACTTGGTGACGTTTCCCACGATCACATTCAGAGGAGCTTCAGGAACATCTACAGAGATAAACAAAATATATTTTAGTGAACATGTGTTCAAGCATCCAAGTATTAAAGTATATATCAAGTTAAATTTGCACCTCAAAGATCTTGAACTTGGAAGTTTGGGCTACTTTTGTCCACTTAACTAGACTGTTTAATTTCCTTTCATCAAAATATCAATGCTTCTGTTTAATCTGAAACATCCTGTGGCTCATAAAGAAGCTAAGAGAAAGTTGGTGGCTGTGTAAAGGAACAGTTTAAAATAAAATATCATGGGTTATTTTGAACTCTAACAGAGTAAAGATTTTAAAAAAGAAACAAGGATATGAGCAGAACAGGTCAACTTAACTTCAAAGATTTGGCATGTTTGTTATATTAACACCATACTCACCATATTCAGATAATTTGATTTAGCCTCCGTCTAATTCAGTTACGAGAACAATAAGCTAACATTACCAAGATATCAGTTCATGCACTACAAATTTTTATCAGTATTTTGCAATATAAAGTCTCTATATTTATAAAGTTAAACTATTGTTTGTTTTTATTTTACCTAAAAAAGTAACATCTCTTCAACTTAGTTTTATATCTTTTTTGTTACCTTAAAGTGAAGCTTACTGTCTAACATCAGAACTACTTTACATCATTATTTAAATGTGTGCAAAAGATAAATACAGTAAATCTCACCAAACTTGTTCTTAGCTTGCACAGCTTCGTCAGTCTCCACAGTGGGTCCGCTGCCAACCCGGTTTCGGGCACAGACTCTGAATAGGTACTTGGACTCCTTCTGGAGGCCGGTCACTGTGTACTCAGGACTTTCGGCATGGTCGGTGGCCAGTGTCCAGGTCTTACGTTTCTCATCACGTCTCTCCACTATGTAGCCGATGACTTTACTGCCGCCATCGCTCTCAGGCTCCTCCCATGCGAGGCTGATCTCACCATCTGCAGTGTCAGTCACCTGGAGGTTCTTCACAGGTCCTGGGACATCTGGAAAAAGAAAATCACATTATAGGATAAGATAAGCAGCCTATGGACATCTACACTACAGTATCAGCTCTGAATGAAGAGAAACCCGTTCTAAAGTTTATTCTTAATCACAGAAACAGCAGATGTGAAAATACCACACGACACCCATTATTTTGTTGTTTTAAGTATGACTGGTGCTTTTAAAGTTCACTCGTTATTATGGGATTTGAGAATTTTTATGCTTTTCTTTTTGACAATTAAAAATAATGTTTTGCACCTTTTCATGCTGCTTCAGCTACTTTTGAAGGAAACAACCTGCAGATTTAAGTAACATTCATTATGTATGGGGTGAGAAATACTGAGGCACTATGTATCATCTGAATTAGATTAATATAGCAGAACACAGCTTTTGACGACGTGTTGTCCAGATTTGGCTTCACATTTAACATTAATGATCCCAATAGTGGTCAGACTATTTAAAAAAACTAGCTTGTACTAGTAACTATTTTATCTCTAATATCACACGTAATTACTATAAAATCCTTGTGGAAGCTGCAGTTCAGTGTAATTTTAATTGTAAACTGTCTTAACAATAATTTAGTATAATTTTGTTTACTTGTAGTTAACCAGCTGCTTCTACATAACAAAGGAGACCTTACCAATGACATTCAGGTTGATGAAAGCTTCTCCCGCTCCATGTTTGTTTTTGATGATGATCTTGTAGGAGCCCTCGTCGACCTTCTTGGGGTTCTTTAATCGGTACTCTGTGTGCTCAGCTGAGGTGTAGATGTTGTCTTTTTGCAGACTCAGGTTGTTGTACAGCCAGTCAGCTTCAGCTTGTGGATAGGCACTGTAGGGGACGACCATGATAACAGGCTTTCCAACATCTGTGACGTAGTTCTGGTCAGTGGTCTTTATCTGAGGCACAGCTGCAAGAGGTGAGGAATATCATCAGTAGCACATGTAGCAGGTACAATAACTACTGAACACAACACTGATTTTTCTAAGTAACCCATGGCTCACTGGACAACGCCTTGGACTTGGACTGCAGTAGCAGTGACTGCAGTGACAGTTATTGTATTTTTTGTGTCTGCACTCTCACCTGCCAGTTCCAGCCTGGCCTTTGCATCTTTATCCTTGGCAATGACTCTGTACTCTCCCTGGTCCCGAGGTCTGATCTCACAGACCTGCAATCTGTGGACTTTACCCTCGCTCATCATCTGGTATTTGTCTCCCTGGACAACGGTCATATTGTTCCTCAACCACTTCACCTCCACTCTGTCTTTGTTGAGCTCCACCTCAAATACAACGTCCGAGCCTGGAGGTTCAAACACGTTCTGCGGGGGTCTGATGATTTCCACTGGGGTCTCTGCAGGACAAAATAACATTTTTAAAGCGGTCACACCAAGCAGGAACAGAAGAGGAACTACATTCTACTGAAAACTCTTGGAGGCAACGCTGAGGATTTCACCTTCAACAAAAAGCCTGGCCCTGGATTTCTTCTCCTCCACACCACAGGCATATTCGCATTCATCATCAGGTCTGCATTCCTTGATGCGCAAAGTGCAAATCTTTCCATCTCGTTCAAATATGTATCTGAGACAAAATAGTGAATTGTTTAAAAGTAAAGAAGGAGACAGATTCCAAAACAGTAAAGTGTAAAAACGGAGGACACTGTTCATCAGGAAGAATTCTGTGTGGATACAAAAATAAACTTTTGTTTTTTCTCCTTTGTAAATGTGTAAAGTCATTAAGTCTGGGAGTTACTGCAGTTTGTGATTTGGGGGTGCAGTGTAGCTGGCCATGCTAATTTGTCCTGCTCCGATTACGGCTGCTAACTGAGAGTAATTGTGCAGGAACGTGTGTTCAAAAACAGTGAAATTACTGAGGGCAACTTCTCCCTTTGTTTTTGTTGATTAATTTGTATTTATACAGTACCATGCAAAAGACTCAGCCACCCCTCATTTCTTTATCTTTTGTTATGACAGTGGGAAACAGGTGTGGTGATTTATTAAAACACGTGCACACATGTATGGATTACAGTATGAGGAAAAAAGCTTCCCTAAGGACTGGAGGTCCCTACATATGTATGTCTAAAAGTTCACTGAACTTGGATCTGCACAGAACGTTTTCCTTCATTGTGTGGTTGAACCTGGCATAGCTGTAGGCTTCATTTCTATTGGCTGAGCAAAGGCAAGTCACAGGGTGCAGCGGTCAACTGGTTTGAACTGGGTTTTTTTGGCCTTTTTATTGGCTAGACGGAGAGGCTGAAGGGAAAGCAGATTGAAAGAGGGAACATACAGTAAAGGGCGGCAGGTTGGACTCAAACCCGGGCCAGCCACACAGCATATGGTTGCCTGCTCATCCCAGTGAGCTAAACCAGCATCCAACTTGCTTAAACTTTGGCCGTGGCATGCAGGAGTACTCCTTGATGGCGTGCATGTGCTTTGCCTTTCTCTGCAAAGTGGTAAACCGTTATTGTGTGGTGCAAGTAATAGAAATGATTGCAGCACTAAATGGGACGTGCTGTAAAGGATGCCCCCCTGGGTGAAGTGTTTCGGGCATGTCCGACTAGAACGAGGCCTGGTGAAGACCCAGCACACGCCAGAGAGGTGACATCTCTGTGAACTCCTTGACATTCCACTTATTCAGGGTTTACCCGGCCCCGGATAAGCAGAAGAAAATGGATAGATGGACAGATGGAAAATGGACTGGGCTGAAAGTGAGTAAAAAAAAGCAGCCAGTGCTCAAACACAAACAATAAAAAACCTTCAGAAGGCCTGGAGATCTATTGCTCAGGACTACTTCGAACAATAGGACATAGTATGGCTCCTTGGAACCAAAGTATGAAGAAATAAGGGGCGGCTCGAGACCTTTGCACAGTACAGTATATATTTAGTACTCTGTATTTACTTATAATATAAATATAATAAGGTTCTATAATGAAATATATTAACAGTGAAATCAGTTTGGTCTTTGTTGTGTTGGTCACAGTTTAAAATTAAATGAACAGAGTGTGTTCACATCATTCACAGAGAAAAAGAAACGTTTCACACACCTGGGTCCTTCTCTGATCTCTCGGCCATTTCTGTACCACTTGACTTCAGCTTTCTCTTTGGTCAACTTGCATGTAAATTCTGCGTCCTCGAACTCGGTGATTGTTTGGTCTTTTAGGTGCACGTTGAAATCCGTCGGTGCCTCGCTGATGATGAGCTCTGCTGTGGCTTTGTCATCTCCGGCTACAGCTGTGTATTCACCCTCATCGGCCAGGGTGCAGTCTTTGATGGTAAGAGTATGCTTGTCTTTGTCAACTCTGTAGACAATGCGTTTGCTGAGGGTAATCTCCTCACCGGCCTTCATCCACTTCAGAGTAGCATTGGGCCTGTTGACCTTACAAGAGAAGCTGATGGTCTTCTTCTCCTGAGTGTCAATGTCCTCCGGGGGAACCACTATTCTTAGACTCTCCTCTGAAAAACACAAAGTACAGTCATATTTCAGACATTAATACTGTAGGTACTTTGGTACTTTGCATTTATATACTTTGCTAATAATACATTGGACATCCTACAATTCTCCTTCTCATGCCAAAGGTGATCTACTGGACCAAGTCTGAGGACTGTTGTTTGGTGAACCCATCATCATGTTAGAGATGATGTGAGTCTTATAATGTGATACATTAAGTGCTCAAAGTAGAAATCATCAAGTGATGTACATGTTCAGCAACAATACTCGGTGATGTTTCACTTTATGTGACAGTGGGACTGCAAACACAACAAAACATGCAGCCATGCTGCTGCCAGGAACCACTCACCCCTGATGGTCAGGCTGCAGTTGCTCTTGGCATGCTCTCCTCTCTGATTGGTCAAGTTGATGCTGTAGTTGGATTCGTCTCCCTTCTGGACATCTTTGATTCTCAGGGAGAAGACATTGTCTCTCTGGGTTATTACGTACTTGCTGCTCTCAAATATGGTGTCGTCGTTCTTCAGCCACTTGGCCTTTGCTCCCTCTGTGTTGACCTCACAGTTCAGGACGACCTCCTGACCTTCTTTGCCCTCTGTGTCTTTTAGAGGAGTGATGATTTTCAGTCTCTCTGCAGAAAATAATAGAGCAGACACCAATGAGAATATTTCTGGGTCATCTGGACAAAAGACTTTAATTTCAAACGGCTGAACTCCCTGAGCCGGGGAAGAAACAAAACCCAAAAATGACACCTTCCTGCACTGCAAGTACTTCTAGCTAATATTACGTTTCAGAATGTGTTGCCAAAAATATTATTAATAAAAAAAGATATACATTCAATATGAAAAAGAAATTTTACTTCAATAAATTCCTATATTTTGCTTCATGCTGCCAATGTTGAACAAGACTGATCTTGAATGTAAATTGTTAAATACAGATTCAGGGAAAATGCTTAGTGTACTTGAAAAACAAACTAATTTAAAACTTCATTTGGTCTCCCGGGAGCAGGTTTTCTTCCCATTAACTGAGATAAACTTAAAGTGGGCAGGGCTTACCGAGCACAGTAAGGTCGGCGCTGGCTCTAGTTGGTCCAATCATAACTATGTATCCACCCTCATCTTTAAGTTCACAGTCCTTGATTTCAAGGATTCGTTTCTTGCCATCGGTGACTATCTGGTATTTCTCTCCGGCCTCGAGCTCCACGTCATCCTTCATCCATTTGACTTCATAGGTCTCCTTGGATACGGAGCACGTGAACGCTGCCTTCTCTCCTTCCACCACTTCTAGGCTTTGTGGCCTTGAGATGAATTCAGCAGCTAATTCTGCAACACAGGAAGCATTTCAGAGCTTAGAGATGGGTTTATTTCAGTGAGACTAAGGCTTAGAATCGGGTTTCTTTTAGCCACATGCTAAAAACGAACATTTCCTAGAGGCTGTCACATTTCAAATCAAGTCAAATCAATCAAGTTATCTGAGAAAAGGTTTGTATTTAGGTGCTTTAAATTGTAAAATATCCTATAACAATGGCCTGAAATTAACCAAAACCTAACCTTTACCCAAGATGGGTTGCAAATGGAGTGATAGATGTTGAAAGGTAAGGGTTTAAAATAATAAATCCTGATTTTAGATTTATTTCTCTGCATTTTCTTTGTTGTGTGTGTTACTGCTCTCGCTGTTACTTTGTTCCAAGTGCCTTTAACATTTTTTGCGTACCATTAATCTTGAGGTTTCCTGAAGTTTTGTTGCTGGAACTTAGCCTGCAGTTGTACTCTCCAGCATCAGACATGTTCAGATCCTTGATCAGGAGTATCCTTCTCTTCCCATCTACAATTTGCTCATAGCGGCCACCCTCTGGCAGCTCCGTGTCTCCTTTGTACCAGATAACGTCTGCGCTGGGTTTGGAGACTTCACAAATAAGTTTTACACTGTCAGTCTCAGTTCCCTCCACATTGAACAGGTTCTTGGTGAACCTTGTCTCCTCCTCTGCAATGAAAGGAATCCTCCATTAGTTGCTTAAAACCTTTTAATACATTTTTAACAACATATATTTTAGCAGTAAACTGCCATAACTGCTATCATGCTCACATCATTTATATCTAATTCATAAAACTCATTCAGCTTCAGCAAAATTATGTTAAATTATCAAATCAATCTGTCCACTTCTGCTTATCCAACTCATATTCTAATTTCACTGACTGATCTCCAAATCACAAACATTTATTGGTCACACAAATGTAAAATGTGCTGTTTTCCTTGATTTATTTAATTTAATCCAACTAAACCAAACTGAAGAAAATTGTAATTTTCTGTTCTTGTGATGGTTCAAATATCTGAGAAAAACTTTACTTTGAGCATCAGAAATTGTCTAATATTATCTTTAGCTTTGAAGAACTGAACAATTACATCTAACGTTAAATAATAAAATCAAGTAACCAAACACATTAATACGTGTATGAAGAAAGAGGCTGTGATCGAAGAAGAACTTCTTGATTCTTACCAACGACAGTGAGCATGCCAGAGGACTTTGAGGTCTTTGCATCACATTCGTATTCAGCCTCATCGTCAAACACAGACTTGTGGATGATGAGGATGTGCTGGCGACCTTGTGCAATAATTTCGTATTTCTTTCCCTTTCTGATTTCATTTCCGTCCTTAAACCAGCGGACCTGTGAGATGTGAAGGAAGAGGTCACTGAGAGCAAGATCAGTCCAAAGAAAACATGAAATGTAACCTTTACTGTAAGCTCATCTGGCAAAAGCGTGTGTTCTCACTTTGACGTCTTCTCTGGACACTTCACATTCAAACCTGGCTGATTCCTTCTCTACAACCTCGACGTCGTGGAGTGGCTTTGAGAACTCAATGTGTGGAGCTATTCAGACAAAGAGAAGAGACTCGTTAATACACTCAGTTTACCACCTCCTGGAGGGGAGGTTACCTTAATAGAAGAGCAAGGCCAATGTATCCTCTGGGCTTCATGTGGAAGTTTCTTTACTGTTTTAAAAGGCACTTTAACTTTTGTGGGGAGTTTGTGATTTGTGATTTGACAAATGAGTATGTATACAGGCATGTTAAAAGTAATTTGATTTTAATTTGGAGCTTAAAATCACAAATCTCAGAGTGCCATCTATCTCTTAAAAAGGGTTCCTTAACAAAAACAGAGACTGTTTCCTTAATGACCAACACTACTGGGCCACACCTCTTAATCTTTGAAATCCGGTGCTTTCAGTCCCATTGCCACAGCTGTATAAAATCAAGGACCCACCTTTACCAACATTTGTGAAACAATGGGTTGTTTTGACGCACCCACAGATTTCAAGTCAAAGGCTCTCACTGACTGAAACTATAAATGGTATTTTTGCAAAGTGGAAGAAACACTGCAACTCAGCCATAAAGTGACAGAATGGGGCTGCTCAGTGCTGAGATTCAAATTTATGAGCATTCAGCTCAAAACCTGCGGCTTTCCAAATCTCTGCCAGGATTAATATCAGCACAGATCTGGAGAGTCATAGGATGGGTTTTTATGACGAAACAGTTCCTTGAAGGCATAGAGACAGTCGGCAGCTGGCCCAGTACTTCTGTCCCATTTTGGGCCCATTAGTTACCGTGGGGACCCCTTCTCATTGAGAGGGTTGTTTTAGGCCAATAAGGGGTGAGTCACAGTCTAATTGGGGTTCCTTTTCATGCCTAATAACTTCTAACTTAATTTTCTTCCCATTTCACAACTATACTTACGTTCAACATTGAGGAAGCATGAGGTTTTGAAGTCTTTAGCATCACAAGCATATGTTTTTGAGTCGTCCAAAGTGCAGTCGTGGATGACCAGCGCTCGCTTGCAGCCGTCAACGATCATCTCATATTTCTTTGTCTTGCGGATCTCCTGTCCATCCCTGAACCATCGCACTTCTGCATTTTCCCTGGAAACTTCACATTCGAGTGTGGCCGTGGCCTCCTCTTCCACTGTCTGGTCCTCCAGAGGCTTAGTGAACTCCACTGGTGGTTCTGGATGAACAAAGAAACAGAGAAGACAGCAGTTTGAATTTCAGTGAAGTAGAAACTGAACACTAAAGATCAGTTTATTTTTCGTGGGATTTCATCCTGGCCAATAAAATAAGGCTGCAGTGATAGTCACATATTGTGGTTGATTTATCAGTGCAACGTTTCACCTCTTCTAGTCTTAAAATGCCCACAGAAAAATGTAAGTTAACAATGTAAAGTCTCAGTAAGCTGCAGTAAGAGAGTAGCTGCGGTCCAAGCCAATTGTGTTTTGGGGATTTGATAATACACCTGTGCAGCCTCCACAAGTAAAGTTTATACATTCATAATGACCTTTTTAAATAACCTTTTTTTTCATATCTCACAGTATAAAGTTTTCTTTTTTCTGTGAGATATGTACCTACCCAAATTACAGACCTAAGTAAAACAATCAGCAATACAAATGATAAGGACCTGTGCCAGTGAGCTGTCTGTGATCCTGAGTCATGTTTACAATCTGAAACAGAAAACTTACCATTGTAGTGGAAACTACTTGGACCATGCACTGACAAAGTCCCTCCCTGAGCCTGGTTCTGCCGGAGGTTTCTTCCTGTTAAAAGGGAGTTTTTCCTTCCCACTGTCTCCAAACTGCTTGCTCGTAGGATCATAGGGTCATATGATTGTTGGGTTTTTCTCTCTATATATCATTGTAGGGTCTACCCTACAATATAAAGCACCTTGAGGTGACTGTTGTTGTGATTTTGCGCTATATGAATTAAATTGAATTGAATATCTTAAGTGCATTTAACAGTATCCATCCACATTGACAAACAAACAAATTGAACTGGAAGACCAACCAACACAACCACTGCATGCTCGATTTTATAAAGACACCAAGATATATCAACTTGCAGAGTAAAATGCTGGAGATTTTCTATCAGTCAGCTGTGGCAAGTGCAGTGTTCATTGCTGTTGTCTTCTAGAAGGACACTAAAAAAGCTGGTGACATCAATTCAATTTAATTCAATTCCATTTTGTTTATATAGCGCCAAATCACAACAACAGTCGTCTCAAGCGGCTTAACATTGTGAGGTAAAGAGCCAACCATAATACAGAGAATCCCCAACAATCATATGACCCCTGTGAGCAAGCGCTTTGGCAACAGTGGGAAGGAAAACCTCCCTTTTAGCGACGAGGAACCAGCAGAACCAGGCTCAGGGAGGGGCGGGGCCATCTGCTGCCACCAGTTGGAGGTGAGGGGAGGGAAACAAGATAAAAGACATGCTGTGGAAGTGAGCCAGAGATTAATAATAACTCATAATTAAATCTGGAGTGGCCTATGAACACAAAAGGGATGAGAGGAGAAACAGTCAGTGCATCAATGGAAGGCACCAGCAGCCTAAGTCTATTGCAGCATAACCAGGGTGGATTCAGGGTCACCTGATCCAGTCCTGACTATAAGTTTTAAGCCTAATCTTAAAAGTAGAGCGGGTGTCTGGAATTAAGTTAAAAATCCTGAAATAGTGTTGTTGGGTTACCTTTGACAGTAAGACTGGCCTCAGTCTGGAAGTCTTTGGCTGCGAGTTTGATTTGTCCGGCTTCGTTTTGCTCGACATTGCGTAGAGTCAGGGTGTGGACTTTACCCTCCGCCTTCAACACCACCTGCAACAGAGTCGATAATCACAGGGTTTAATCTGTCCTGTATACTTCCTGTCAGGTTGATAGATTCATTCATATTTAGTATTTTCCTGCCCTGAATGTCACAACATGTGTCATGGTCCTGGGCCATGTTGGCCCAGTGTTCTTAGTTTCCTTGTATGTTTGTATTTTATTCCATGCTTCCCCTGCCCATTATGTCTAAGTTCTCCCCGTGCTCTCTCTTCCCCCTGTGTGCCCTCTATGTATTTATGAGCCCTCGTCCCCTTTCGTGTTTATTCCATGTCTCCCCTGCCTGTTACGTTGGGGTTCTACTCGTGCTCTCTCTCCTCCTGTACTTCCTGTTTCACCTCTCCGTCAGTGTTCAGTTCACCCCGCCCTGTCTCGTTATGATTATCAGTGTCACCTGTGTTCCCCGTGTGTTCCCACTTCCCTCGTTAACCCTCTGTGTATTTCTGTCTGCGTCTCCCTCTGTTCAGTGTGACGTCGTCCCTCATGCTGCGTGGATTTCCCTGTGTCTCTCTCTCCGAGTGTTAGTTTACGTTTCCCAGTTTAGTTTTGTATTTCCTATGTTCTGCCTCTTCAGCAATAAAGCTGCCTTTTGAGTTCATCCCCGTGTGTGTGAGTTTTGCATTTTGGGTCCTACTCCTGCCTGCCGCACAGCGTTCCATGACAGTACGACGTCACCAGTAATGGACCCAGCAACTCACAACCCCTCCGCTGAGCTCCGGGAGGATTTGATCTATACGGTGGAGTACCACTGTCAGGAGTGGGAGGCGCTGCCAGGAGACGAACACCGGGAGGTCGTAGCCGCCCGTCTACAGCGGATGGTGTCCGGACTCCCGTGGCTGTTCGGCGCGCTGCACCCCCACATCCGGGACTTCCTTGTTTCCACCGTAGGCGTCCGCCCGGAGCTGCCTCTCCAGTGTGAGGGGTCGGAGGACGTTCAGTCCGGTCCGCTGGAGGATTCGCGGCCCGGCTCATCTCCTCCCCCTCTCGGCGAAAACGGCGCTCACGCCGCCGCCGCCCTAACGTTTCTGAGCAAACTCCGGTGGTGAGTGACACTGACTGTTTCTTCCATACCACTTCCAAGTCGGACCAACTCGGACAATATTCTGCTCCTGAGTCCGCTGTTTTTCAGGTCCGTAACACATCAGAAATGAATAGCGAGTTTGAATATGACTGTGTTTCCAGGGCTCATAATGTTTCTAAGTTCACCTCCGCACCTTTTAAGCACGAGACTGAGTTTATTACCCCCCCAGAGACTGCTGTTCATGCTGAATTAAAGAATCCTGGCACTGTAAGCTCCATGCGCGTCATCCCAGAGGCCATTAACTCCGTGTCTGGTAATTCTGGGTCGGTTAATCCTGAACCTGCATTGCCTACCCTCACGCCCATGTTTCAGTGTGACTATTTTTCCTGTGCTCCTCCCAGGTCAGCAGCAATTAACACACAGACTGATAATCTCACCTTAGAGAAGCAAAAGACTATTGTCGAGCTGCATACTCATGAACAACACCGTGAAGTTAACAGTTCTGAGGTCCCTGTACCTGCTGAGTATAAGACTGTGAATGATGTTTCTTCACTCCTGGACTATGCTGCTCTCCAACCTATATATTTAGAAACCGTTGGTGTGAATGCTCCTGTGTCCGCAACGGATCCCTTTGTGCTCGGTGTTACTGACTCTGCTAAACCTGGATCTTCCTGTGCTGTGACTGTTTTAGAGACTGCTACTCCTAACATGGACAGCTTAAGGCCTACAGAGTTGCCAGGAGTGACTCGCCATGAATCTCTGTTAGCCGCCCGGCCCGAAGCTCAGTCGCCACCTCCACCACATTCAGCCTCGCTTCCCATAGCACAGTCACATCCACAGCCTGACTTACTACAAACCTTATTTCAATCCTTAGCCCAGTCGATAGCTCAGTTGGTAGAGGAATCATCGGCCTTATCGTCAGCTCGGTTTCCAACTTTACAACCATCAGTGCAGTCTCCAGTGTCCCCAGTGCAGCCTCCAGTGTCCCCAGTGCAGTCTCCAGTGTCCCCAGTGCAGTCTCCAGTGTCCCCAGTGCAGTCTCCTTTAGCACAGTCACCCACTCAACCACCAGCACCACAACCGTCACTACCTCTAGTTCATTCCCCTGTGGAGTCATTAACTCCACCACCTACTCCACTCTCACCACCACCGTTACTACAGACATCAGTTCAGGTCCCCGTGTGTCCGGCAGCTCAGGTCCCCGTGTGTCCGGCAGCTCAGGTCCCCGTGTGTCCGGCAGCTCAGGTCCCCGTGTGTCCGGCAGCTCAGCTCGCACCTGAACCTTTGGCCCAGTTCCCCGTAGCAGTGCGGTTTTTTAGCCAGCTTAACATTGAGCCCGGGGTCCCAATCCTCTCTGGCTCTACATCAGCTCCTGCTGGAAGCTCGGATGAACTCATCCAGGACTCCGTGGCTCCCATGCCGCCATCTACCTCGTCCGCTGGGGGTTCCAATGAGCCCGGCCAGCACCTCCCTGTCTCCGCTGGAGGGTCCGAGGGGCCCGTTCAGCCTCCTGTCTCCGCTGGAGGGTCCGAGGGGCCCGTTCAGCCTCCTGTCTCCGCTGGAGGGTCCGAGGGGCCCGTTCAGCCTCCTGTCTCCGCTGGAGGGTCCGAGGGGCCCGTTCAGCCTCACGCCGCATCAGCTGGAGGGCCCGAGGAGCCTGTCCAGCCGCCATCTGCGACCGCCTCGTCATCGCCTGGCCCGGCTACATCTGCCTGTGCTTCTGCCTCGCCTGGCCCGGCCTCAGCCTCTGCGTCCTCGCCTGGCCCGGCCTCAGCCTCTGCGTCCTCGCCTGGCCCGGCCTCAGCCTCTGCGTCCTCGCCTGGCCCGGCCTCAGCCTCTGCGTCCTCGCCTGGCCCGGCCTCAGCCTCTGCGTCCTCGCCTGGCCCGGCCTCAGCCTCTTCGCTCGCCTGGTCCGGCCTCCGAGTCTTCGTCCTCGCCTGGTCCGGCCTCCGAGTCTTCGTCCTCGCCTGGTCCGGCCTCCGAGTCTTCGTCCTCGCCTGGTCCGGCCTCCGAGTCTTCGTCTGCTGCGGCCTCCTCAGAGCCTTCGTCTGCTGCGGCCTCCTCAGAGCCTTCGTCTGCTGCGGCCTCCTCAGAGCCTTCGTCTGCTGCGGCCTCCTCAGAGCCTTCGTCTGCTGCAGCCTCAGCCTGTGCTTCGCCTGGTCCCGCCTTGACTGGTCCCGTCTCGACTGGTCCTGTGCCCACCGGGCCTCGGCCAGTACGCCTGACACTGGAGAGCCGCCGCCTTCCGCGCGGCCGGCCCCCGGACCAGCGCTGTCATCGTCGCCGCCGCCTCCCGCGCGGTCGGCCTCCTGAACTGCTCCGTCTCCTTCACCGCCGCCGTTGCCTCGCGCACGGCCGGCCTCCTGAACTGTTTCCACGTCGCCGCCGTTGCCTCGCGCACGGCCGGCCTCCTGAACTGTTTCCACGTCTCCGCCGTTGCCTTCCGCACGGTCGGCCCCTGAACTGCTCTGTTTGGGTTATTTTCTTGGGCTCCGGTGTTTGCTGTGCTCTTCTTTTGTTTTCTGTTCCGGGCCCTCCGTCCTGGGCCCCCGCCGCCCGCCCTGGGTTGTTTTCTGTTTGGTTTTGTTTTTCTGTGTTTGGACTGTCTGGAGCCAGCCCTTGAGGGGGGGTACTGTCATGGTCCTGGGCCATGTTGGCCCAGTGTTCTTAGTTTCCTTGTATGTTTGTATTTTATTCCATGCTTCCCCTGCCCATTATGTCTAAGTTCTCCCCGTGCTCTCTCTTCCCCTGTGTGCCCTCTATGTATTTATGAGCCCTCGTCCCCTTTCGTGTTTATTCCATGTCTCCCCTGCCTGTTACGTTGGGGTTCTACTCGTGCTCTCTCTCCTCCTGTACTTCCTGTTTCACCTCTCCCGTCAGTGTTCAGTTCACCCCGCCCTGTCTCGTTATGATTATCAGTGTCACCTGTGTTCCCCGTGTGTTCCCACTTCCTCGTTAACCCTCTGTGTATTTCTGTCTGCGTCTCCCTCTGTTCAGTGTGACGTCGTCCCTCATGCTGCGTGGATTTCCCTGTGTCTCTCTCTCCGAGTGTTAGTTTACGTTTCCCAGTTTAGTTTTGTACTTCCTATGTTCTGCCTCTTCAGCAATAAAGCTGCCTTTTGAGTTCATCCCCGTGTGTGTGAGTTTTGCATTTTGGGTCCTCCTCCTGCCTGCCGCACGGCGATTCATCACAACATGTCACAGGTTTTAACTTCTCTGAAGATCTTATATCAAGTTTAGAGATTCAGTTTTTGTCTGTATAAATCTTATCTCACTAAACCAACTCACTAATTTCCAATCTAATTTGGATTTTTCTGTTTTTTTCCCAGACTATGAATGAATATATGACATTAAACCTCATTGCTGCAAGGATTAGGTATTGCAGTGTCACTGAACATTGCCCGTGAGGTTCAAACCCTGGTCCTCCTCCTCCTGTTAGCAAAGCAATAATTGCTAATGGTAAGACAGGTTTATATGTGATCAACAGTCTTTGTTCTTTGGAGGTTCCTTTGTTTCTCCACATCTACAGAATGTGAAGCACAGAGATTTTCTCGGTTAAGCCTGGACGGCCAAAATGAATATAGGCACCCCTCCCCCTCCACCCCTCCCCATTTTCCCAATTTAAACTACACGACCTATAACACCCAACAGCTGCTTTTACCACTGTGTCCTGCATGTGACAGAGCTGCCTCACAACACACTCACAAATGAAACGTGCAGCATTTCTTTATCAGACTAACAAAATAAGCACAACTGAAATTTATGTGACATCAAATGAACTTGGTTCGATTTTTCATTCCTAACAATGATATTTGTCAGAACCGTTTAAGATGAAGGTACAATGATATTTTTCTGTGCTGTGTGCATGAAAAGACACATCAGCTGTCAACAAGTAGACAGTACATTCATGTGTGGAGGATAAAGTGGCCTATTAGTGTCATAGTTAAAATGCTGCTTGATCAGAAAAATACTTTTGCTGATAAGCAGAAATGTGACAGAAAAAGTAAAAACAAGACAAACTGATAATAAAGTTTATTTAGCTCTATAAAAAAAACTTTATTTGTAACATCTTCAGCTGAAAACCTGCATATTTTTTCTTTAACATAAAAGATAAGATTAGATTAATTGGGTTGTCATGTGAGGCCTGAAGCACTTTTCTATAAGAAGAAAGACAAACTGCTGCTTTTTTATCAATTTTACTTTAAACTCTTTGTGAGTTTATATCTGCCATAACGCTGTAACATTTGCTTTGACCAACTCTAAACCTAGATTTTTTGGGGGGTGTTTCTTCCTTTGGTTTTAATTTAGAAAGTTACATGTTTGCCCTTCATACTGACACTTTTATGAATCTTAACTGAACTTGAGGAAGTGCAGTTCTTCATAATCTGCTACCACATGTACCAACGACACTCTTCTGTTTGTTTGTATTTAAATGCGCTGCTGAACAAATCAGCCACTTTTGGTATTACCCAAGAAAAACACGCGCTGAGATGGAAAAGCTATTCATTGAGCCCAAGGAAACATTCAGCTTTACATTCTTCTGTGCTTCAGCTACTACTGTGGCTGAAACCTCCACCTATGCTAAACATGCAACATGCAGTGCAACCGAGAAGGAGGGAACGATTCATAAGGACCACGCCGTTCTCGGGTTACTTCAAACTTTAAACACTTGGATCTGGATATGACTCGATTTCATTTCAGGGCCTGGACTATTCACTGTTCAACTCTGAATTACAATGTGGAAACAGCAAGTGCATCAGCTCAAGCAAAACACTTATAGCAGTCCATGTGTTTTGTAGCTGTAGCTGTCATAGCTCTGCTGCCACTTGCCCTGCACCTCAGCCTCCTTCAGCTGTTAAAAATAACCCTGCAGAAACGCTTGTGGGGCAGAAAAGCCTTCCTGCCTATGTTATCTCAAAACCAGGAATCCCAAACCCACACCAGCAGAGCCTTATATGAAGCCGGAGCAGTTCATTGGACACAAAAAACAAACATTGTGTACAAATGGAAAGGGAAATTCTGGCTGTGGGACACAATCATGAGGCCTGGACTTCTGTAGTGGTTTGTAACTGAATGTTAATGGGTCTTGTGTTTCAGGAAGCGAATCTCCTAGTGATCCTGTCCGCAGTAAAGAAACATTGCGTGGGCTCAGTCAGATGTGTTGAGACTTACTCTATCGCTTGGCTCCAGCTTTGTACCCCCCAGGAACCACTCGACAGCGATGCCTTCGTATGACAGCTCGCACTCAAAGGTGGCAGTCTCCCCAGCAGTCACGGTGACATCCTTCAGAGGCCTCTGGAGGCCAATCACTCGGGCTTTAGATTGGGAAGAAAACATGGTTAGCGCCCCTGACCGAAAAACAGGTCAATGAAAACCAAAAAACGCCCAGAGAGACATGGCTAATCCTCAGTGGCTATTCCTCATGGTGTTTTGAGCTGAAGGCTGCTGGTGCAAGACCTTGGACAACTGAAACAAGCTGCCCTGAGACTTGGCATTAGGTGTCCAAGCTCATTAGCATGAATCCTACTGTCAGATGTAAACGGCAGGCAGAGCCAGTGAGAGTTGGGGTTCTACCCTTCCCCCCTGCCAATCACTGCAACCCTTCTCTAGATAAGGAATGTGGCTTCAAAAATAACTAAGGAGCCTGATAGGCTGAGAGCCCACATCTGCCAAATCCATTGAGGGAAGCCGGTCTGCTCCTGTCAATCACAAGATTGCAATTTCCCAGGAAAAGGAGAATGTGAATGTCCTCACAGGAGTTACCCAACGTCACACTACTGGGGAGTTTGGTAACACGGGACATACAGAGCTCTAGGAAGTCAGTGTGGATTAACAAGCCACATCAATTATTTATAACAGGCTTCTTCACATGCCTGAATTAAGGCCCCTTTACAGCCTGTTGAAATGCACTCTGGCAGCATGACAGCTCATGCAATCAGAAAGCTGTCAGTCTGAAGAGTTTGCAGTCTCACCATCAAAATGACTCATCTATTAAAGTTAATTCACATTTAAATCCCTACACTCTGAACAAGAATGACTGTTTATGATTGTGTAGCTGGACTGCTGAACTTTCTTTTATTTCTGAACATTTACTGATTTGATAAATCTAAAAGTGAGAGAGAAGCAAAATATGAAATAGTTTTTAATTCTAGAAACTTGTAAGCCTGCGCCATTATAGGAGCTTTCAATCAGTCGCTGAGTTATTTAAATATTGCACTGAATTAAATTCTAGTTCAGAGACAAGTTGGAACAAGATCAATCAAAATGAATCATGTGAAGGGAAATATTATTAAAACAACTGCATCACTAACTTTTAATTATTTATTGAATTATTAAAAACAACAAATTATCATCTGATCAAATAGTGCTCCTTGTGTTAATTCTATTACTGAAGAGGATCACGGGATGGGTTGATAACTCAAATCAAGAGGAGGAATTTCAGGAAATTTTAGGCTACGTTCACACTGCAGGCGAACGCGCATCAAATCCGACTTTTCTGACCCTATGCGACCATCTATCTGATCATGGTGTGACAGTGTGAACGGCACAAATCCGATATTTTCAAATCCGATCTGGGTCACTTTCGTATGTGGTCCTGAATCTGATACATATCTGATGTTTCAGAAAGCGACTGCTGTTTGATGGTCAGGTCGCATTAAATCCGCCTTTTACGTCACTGACACAAGACAGACGCCAATTATCAGCGCCGCAGAAGACATCGCGAACACTTCCTGACCATCCAGTGTAGATGTCAGTGAAACTGTTGGGAAGACAACGTGAACATTTTATTTGTCCTGTATAATCTGCAGATTCTGACAGAAATCTGCTGCTATCCTCTAAAACAGCAATAAGGATCATTATTACATTATTATGTAAATAACAAATAACAAAATAACTTAAAGCAAAAATTGGGAAACGTAAAGTCTGAAGTCTTTATATTAAGGGCCATCAGTCAAACAATAGTTTGGTCTGGGTCTAAACAGAGCGCGTTGTGTCTGACATCTTCTTTTGCGCATGCAGGCCGATTTGAGCGTTCACACTAGAGCGCGTTTGCTGTCGCATTTTATTTGTAGTGTGAACGAGCAGACAAAAAAATCGGAATTGAGCATCAAGACCTGCAGTGTGAACGTAGCCTTAGTTTCATACTAGCAGATGTTATCACAGACATTTCAAAAATCGCTGTGATTGACTTGAGACTTGTTTCAGTCACCTTTGACCCTGAGCTGAGCTGAGGATTTGGCATTCGCTGCTGCAAAGTCAACACTTCCAGCCATGTCCATTTTGCAGTTATAGAGGATCAATAAGTGCCGGGTTCCTTCCTCCTTGATCTCCACATTCTGAGAACAAACAATGTGCAAACCAACAAGAGATGAATGTGCCAGTTCAAAACATTTTCATGGAATTTCCAACAAATGTGTTGAAATTATATTTTATAGGTGTAAAATCTTACAGCAGACGGATGAAGTGTCTCGCCCTTCAGTTTCCAGGTGGCATGAAGGTCCTCCTCAGAAATCTCTGTCTCAAACTTCGCCGTCTCGGTCTCTGTAACTTCCACGCTGTACAGTGGGCGGACGACCTTGATGTCACGTTCTGTAAAGTTTGTTAAAATATGTTAGCGAGACTTACAAGTGAAGGGAAGCGAACGGAAACGTATTAGACGACATCTGTGAAAAGAGTTTCCCATTGTCAGATACAGTGTAACAGATGAACTAAACATAGGACAAGACGGGAGAGTTAAAATCAGAAGACAAGCTTACAATTTGTGTAAAAACAGAAGTTGAGGAACGCTTGAGAATAATTAACCCCATAAAACATTTCAAAGTATATCCACATCTACACATCTACAGATCCATAATACCATGCACTGTAAGATGTGCAAGGTTGAATTATTCTCAAGTATTATAATGATAACTTTTACAAGCATTTAGAAATAAAGTGGAAGCTGCAGTAGTGCAGGACAAATGGAGATAACAGGAGGCGGGGTTTGGTGAATGCTGGTGGGCGGGGCCTGTCTCTGCAGTCCCGGTGGAGTCTGAGGGGCTGGATCACCACAGGTATTACCTTCGATGTTAAGGTCAGCGGTAGTTTTGTCAGTTCCACAGTCGCAGCTGTAAGCGCCCATGTTGCTCTTTGCTGCCTTCTTGATGACCAGCATATGTTTCTTGCCATCAGATTTGAAGGAAATGTTCTTGGAGGGAAAGATTTCTTCGCCATCTTTGAACCATTTGACCTCAGCAGCGGCCTTACTCAACTCGCAGGACAAAATCACCTCATCTTTCTCAACAGCGGTGTAATTCTGGAGCTTCACTGTGAAGTACAGGTCGCCCTCTGTGGGCAGACACCAGGATTATATCAGCTGAAAACATTCACTGGCTAAAGTCATGGCAAGTGCAGCGTATACATTCATCCAAAAATGTCACACGTTAATTCCATTTTAATACAGTAAGGGGAAGATGCAGTTTTTTCATGGCAACAAGTACACGAGTCCTGCACTCAGTACATTCTTTATAGAAATCTGGATGCATCCCTCTGCGGGACGATACTAACCGAGAACGGTGAGCATGGCCTCTGAAGTCTTGGCCATCGCCTCCACTTTGATCATAGACGTGTCATCAATTGTGACCTCCTTGAAGGCCAGCGTGTGCACTTTTCCTTCCTCGGACATGTGCACCACTTTGCTGGGGTGCAAACGGACGTCATTTTTGTACCAGACGACTGGGATTTTTTCATGAGAGAGTTCAACGCTGAACTCTGCAGTTTCACGTTCCTTTACGGTCACATCTCTTATTGGCTTGATAAATGCAAGGCGAATACCTGACAAGAAATGTGGCGTTTGTCGTTAAAAAGCTTTTGGCATACAAAGTTTAGCGAGCACGCAAAAGAAGAATTCAGCCACGTACCCAAACAAATCTTCTCCTAAAAACACTAAAGAGATCCAACTTTGTTTACCTTTGATAATCAACTTTCCGGATGTCCTCTTATCTTCAGCCTCGAACATGTATTTACCTTCATCTTCATATCTGGCAGATTTTACAAAAAGACTGTGTCTCTTTCCTTCCACGTGGAGTTCAAACTTGTCATCTGTTGACAACTCTTGAGATCCCTTCAGCCAACGGAAGCTTTTGGGCTCCCGGGAAATTTCTAGTTCAAATTTCGCTTCATCCTTTTCATACACATGTACATCAGCCAGAGGTGTAATGAATGACACTGGGACCTCTGTTGATTCAGACAGATAGTTAATAAAAAAATCAAAATATCTGAGTGGGCAGAGACTTTCCACGCTGACTCAAAAAAAGGAAGGTGGAAAGCTCACCCTTCACTTTCAGGTTAGCAGAACATTTGGCATTAGCAGCAGTGAACATGACCTCGCCGGTCTGAGGTACTCTGCAGTTGTACAAGACCAGAGTATGTTTGGCACCGTCCTCCACGATTTCAACATCCTGCAGATGGCCAACAAACGTTTTCAGCAAAATTGTGAGAGTGAAAGAAACGTGATGAGGACACAACTACGGTTTATCTCTACTAGTGTATCGACATCTAGATTTAAGTAAAAGAATGAAACCACAGATAAATGAATATCTGCTGAGATGCAGTGACATACAGTGGATGGACTGAGGAGTTCCCCATTCAGTTTCCACTGGCCATGGACATCGTCTTCACTGAGCTCAACCTCAAATCGAGCTGTCTCTCCGTCAAACACCTCAGCGCCATACATCGGCCGAACCACCTTTATATGACGAGCTGACGTTTTGAAGAGGGGACAAAGAAATCATAAACATATAAACATATACAAACATGTACACACAATGTACACACAAAAACAAGTCAACATCAGACAGACACACATACAGAAACCAGTGCCTCGTGGTCCCGGTAATAAAATGTTGTGATGATTTGATCCAGTTTGAAACTGTGTGATTACTAAAGTGACAAAGTGCTTCAAAAGACAATAAGTGATGTGTTTTGAAAAGGAAATCTCATAACCAGAAGTCAGCGACATGACAACGACACCACAGGACTGACACATAGATTCGAATACAGTTTAGCTTCTTGGAAACTTTAAATCTTTTAGTTTTTAGTCTTCCAGTTTCTGCTGTTAATGGAGAGAGACGGAAAAAAAACCAGTAAACGCTGATTGGAAAGTGAAGTGCTTCAAGTAAAAAATTGCAAAAAAGAGTGAGCGATAGGACGCGATGCACGGGCTGTGCAAGTGAAGACGAGTATCAAGAAGGGAAGGAAGCTGCCTCAAAATGACCGAATATCAAAATCAAGAGATTTCTGGGTCTTTACCTTCAATGTGAAGAGTCGCTGTCGTCTTGTCTGTTCCACAGTCACATAGGTACTGTCCTTTGTCTTTGTCCCCAACTCTCTTGATTATGAGGACTCTGCGTTTGCCTTCAGCTTTAATGTTCACCGTCTTAGAAGCTTTGATCTCGGCCTCATTGTGGTACCACATGACATCGACATCTTTGCTGAGCTCGCAATCTAGAACCACCTCATCTTTCTCCACTGCAGTATAGTCCTGCAGCTTAACTGTGAAGTACGGATCTCCCTCTAGAATGGGAATATTTTTGGGTAATTCCACAATACACCACAAATATACAGTGCACAAAACACGACAGTGAAGACACACGAGAAACACAAATGAAAACCACAAAAAATGATTTCGTATATATCACAGAGACAAGGATACAGTACTTTTGTAGACCCAGACAGACACAACAATGGACAAAGTGTACACAAAGCTGTGGGAAGGACAACACACTTGACAATAAGGACAGAAAGGACAGGTCGTTATTCTTGGATTACCTATAACTGTCAGGTTGGCCATGGAAAGAATTCCTTTGGCCTCAGCCTTAATTTGGCAGATATCATCTAGAGTCACTTCTCTCATTTCTAGTGCATGCTTCTTTCCATCCACGTGAATGACAACAGTTCTGCTCGGATGAATTTTGTTGTCGTTCTTGTACCAGGTGATGGGGATGTTCTCGTGAGAAAGCTCCAGCTCAAAGCGAGCTGTTTTGCCTTCCTTTACAGTTTGATCCTTTATTGGTGAGATAAATTTCAGCCTGATACCTACAATTACATTAATAAAACAGGGTCATATGAGTTAGCTCATATGATGGTGGGGTAACCAAGACAATGAATGCAGTGAAAACAATCGTGTTCTGGCCTTTTTTCCAGTAAACGTGGACCATTACTTACCCTCCACTGTGAGTCTAGCTTTTGAGGTTTTGCCTAAAACTTCAATCATGTATTCGTCCTCGTCATCAAACTCACAGCAGTTTATAATCAGCATGTGCTTCTTTCCGTCGTCGATGATGTCATATTTTTGGTCTTGGGTGATGATGTCAGCCCCTTTATACCACATGACTTTAAAAACATCTTTTGTGATGGTGCATTCAAACTTAGCTTGTTTCTTTTCTGGCACAGAAACATCCTTCAGCGGGACAACAAAGTCCATTTCGACTTCTGAGATAAAAAGTGACATAGGCACAATATGTCAACAACAGAACACAACAACAGGACTGGAGTCTACAGCCTGAGGTCGCTGTACCTTCTGTATCTCTTTAAATGTCCCTCTAGCTGTATAATTACCCCGAATCAGGAAGCACGTAGTATCAGGGACTATTAAAACACTAAGTTACTTCTTGCTATTGACTAAACTGAAGATCACTCCAAAGTGCTTAAAATGGTCAGTAAGACAACAAAGGTGCTGTTGCCAGCTCACAGTGTTCTTCCCATCTTGAACTACATCAGTCCTCTTTCTCACAAGGTGTTGAAGGACCTCCTATATTGAAGTTATTATTAAGGAACACCATGTTGTTAGTAACAAGAATTCAAAATATTCACATTCAAGTTTTGCCACAGGGTAGAAAAAACATCTTCTGAACATAGTTCCCAGAGAAGGCAAATAAGAGGTGTCTTCTGTCCACTTCTTAAAGTCTGCACTCCAGCAGATGTTTGCCAGGGAAAATCAATGATTTGTTGCAGAACTCCACTGCTGTTGTTAAAACCAAGTCCCTTTCAAATTGAGTCCCGTAACACATTCACTAACATGTGCTAACTAATAAACTGTCCATGTCCACAGATTTAACATAGAACATTTAACCATAAAAGATACAAATAAACTTTAGAGGGAGACAAAATCTGACACATTTATACTTTATATTTTCCAGTACAAGACTTTACAACAACAACAGATACAGCACACCAATTCAACCAGTGAAAATAGCTAAGATCCCACACCAGACTGATATAGTGGCACAAATGATCAAGTTGAGTTGTCGATCCTTTTCAGTAAAGGTGTAAGGTCCACTCTCACAGGACGCCTCGGTTAAGACCTCACACCTTTATTTTTACAGGACACTTTTACAGCACACAGAATTTGCAGTTCTTGGTTACAGGAGTTCCCCTTACCTTTGACATTAAGCATGGCGCTGGTTATGGCGTTCAGAGCCGTGTAGGTCACTTCTCCCGCCTGGTCCAGCTGGCAGTTTTTTAGCTTGAGTCTACGCACTGTACCCTCCATTTGGATGTCGCATGTCTAGTGAAAACATTACAATATACTCGCGAATAAAGAGTGAACATACAAATTAAAGACTACATGTGCAGCAATATAAGACAAGCCCTTTGTGCCTCACCGGGGATCTGGTCAAAACCTCTCCTTTGAGCTTCCATTCCCCAGGAATGTCGTCCTCAGAAATCTCAGTCTCAAACATGGCATCTTCCTTCTCAACCACCTCGACGCTGACCAAAGGCTTTAGGATCTCAGCCTCCCGCTCTGTGAACACATTATTAGAAATTAGTACTCAATATTAAATCTTATGCATCAGCAACAGAAAACTATTGCAATGATTTAAATGATTACAGTTACTATGGATATAAGTAAGTAAATGGATGAACCTCCAAGTGTTAGCTTGGCAGTGTAGATGCGTCCTTCCACCTCCAGCGCATATTCTGCTACGTCATCAGGCTGGCAGTTCTTAATGACGAGCGTCAGCTCCTTTCCTTCCTTCTTGATCTCAATCTTGTCAGATGGCTGGACTTCATTCTCTCCTTTGAGCCACTTCCAGTTGGGAGTTTCCTTGAAAAGCTCGCATTTAAATGTTGCAGCAGCCTTTGGTTTTACATGCTGATCTCTCAGTGGTTTCACTATCCAGTCTTTGACAATTTCTGTTGAATTTTGAGAGTCAATGACAATCATATGTTTCAGAATTTGCACAAATAAAACATTGCATGACAAAATCAGCTCAGTCTTAACGTGGTTAAAATTTTAAGCGATACTCAGTTTGAAAATTCCAAGGATCTCTATTTAATGTCCAAGCTGTGGAAATAAATCACATTTAGCTGCAGGACACTTTGCGGCAATCTTTTTCAATAGGATATAAAGATGCATAATAATGTTATGATATTTATGTTTGTTTAGGCAAACTACAAAAAAGCCACAAAATTTGATAAAAATGTGTACTGAGACATGTAGGAGCGTGCAGCACGTCTCATTCTGCTTACCAATCACTTTGACGTTTGTTGTAGTCTTAACGTCTTCCTGTCCAGCCACTTCACATGAGAAAACACCGGCGTCCTCCTCCGTGGAGTTCTGGATGGTCACCGCGTGCTGCATACCAATGATATTGATCTGAATCTTGCCCTCCTTTTTCTTGAGGACCTCACCATTCTTCTTCCATATCACATCCCTCTCTTTGTTCAGCTCGCAGGTCATATACAGAGGCTGACCCTTGATTGCTGATGTCTCCTCTCCCAGTTCTTTGATCCATTTCACAGGTAGCTCTTTAACATGACAAAATAGCAGAGACATCACACATTATTTGAGGGGATTCCAATGGTTACATTTTGTGCATCTCAGGACTGCCAAAACATTATTATACCTTCAACGATAAGCTTGGCGGTGCAAGATATCTCTTTGCCAGCGTTCTTGGCCACGCACGTATATTCCCCAGTGTCAGACAGCTGGACATCAATGATGTTCAATTTGCGATCTTTGCCATCCGAAGTGAACTTGTGCTTGGGGCTCTCACGGAGATTGCTATCATCTTTCATCCAAGAAGTAACAGCAGTGGAAGGTGAGACCTCACATTCAAAGACAGCAGATGAGCCGATAGACTCGGCTTCCTGCAGAACAATGTTCTGAAGCTTTTTGATAAACTTCAGCGGGACAGCTTTGAGCTTGAACCCTGCAAAAGGTTCCTCTGGTGGTGGTGGTCCTTTCCCACCAGGCCTCAGCCCCCGACCCCTGCCCTCTCCAGGAGATGGGGTCTGCTTAGCTGAATAAACAAATTGAAGACCATCAATTCACATTTCATTTGAAAATAGAATGGCATGCTCACGTCATCATATCAGTATCTGCATCAGTAAAGTATTCACAGCGCTTTACTTGTCCCACATTTTGTGATGTTACAGCAAAATGGATCCATTTTTTTTTCACCTCAAGGTTTGACAAAGAATAACCCACAAAACTGGCAAACTGACAAAAGCTAGAAACTTTTCTCAAGTTTCTTAAAAGCCCCCAACAATTTACATCAAAGTATTTATGCTCAGTACTTTGTTGAAGCACCTTTAACAGCAAATACAGGCTCAAGGTTTTTTGAGTATGATGCTACAAGCTTGGTACACCGATTTTTGGGCAGTTTCTCCCATTCTTCAGGTTACTTGGGTGGTTCACAGCCATTTTCAGATCTCTCCAGGTGTGTTGTCCTGTTGGAACATGAACCTTTGCTGCAGAGGTCCGGAGCGCTCTGCAGCAAACTGTCATCAAGGATGTCTCTGTACTGTCTTTCCTGACTAGGCTCCTGCTGCTGAAAAACATCCCCCAGCATGATGCTACCACCACCATGCTTTACTGTAGTGATGGCATTGGCCAGGTGATGAGGGATACCTAGCTTCCTCTAGACATGACACTTGGCATTCAGGCCAAATAGTTTAAAGTCTGGTTCACCAGACCAGAGAATTTTGTTTCTCGTGGTCTGACAGCACTTCAGGTGGCTTTTAGCAAACTCCAGGTGGGCTGTCATGTGCTACCATCTACCATGCAGGCCCAGTTGTTCTTCTGGAAGTGGTAAGAAACATCTGGGAGGTGGTCAGGATGCACCTAAGCTCAAGTCTGAGTGCCATGGCAAAGGCTCTGAATACTTATGTACATGTTTTTGTTTTTCAATCTGAATCAAATGGGAATAATTCAAAGCAACCTTTTTTACTTTGTCACTATTGGGTACTATGTGTCAAATTTTAAGGTAACAAATTAATTTAATTTATTTTGACAAAGGCAAAACAAGAGCACAAAGACATTCTTCTCAAAGAAAACACTGAAAATGTAACAGTGCATTTAGCAGGGCTAAATACCGATTATTTATGCACAACTCATTAAGTTTAGCTTCACGAATTGAATCAATTTCTCTTTCAAAAAGTTTGCTGTGCATACAGATGTCTAAAACGACACATAACGTCTCACGTGCTCACTTACCAAACCTTAACTTTGAGTGCATGAATAGCTTGATGCACACAGATTACCTTGCATGTCCACGTGAGGTTTTGAGACAAATTGCAGGCTGCCAGCAGTGTTTCAATGTCCCAGTGTAAAGCTGGGACATCTGGGCTTTGTCATTAAAGTGTACTGGGTTCAGATTTTTAAGTGAACAATGAATTTAATCCATTTTTGAATAATGCTGTCATGTGACAAATTGTGAACAAATGAAGCGCTGTGAATCCTTTCTGGATAAACGGTAACATTGGTTTTGCTGGAACACCATTGTTTTATCAAGGTAAAACTTACGTTTCAGCCCTCTACCTCTACCTCTTCCTGCTTCCTCTGTTGGTTGTCCCTCTGTTCAGGAAGAATATAAATTATTTTATGCTCACAGGCTAATCATACATACTTATCATGCTAAACATGCCAGGGTAAGGAAATCCAGTGTAGTGAATGGACTGGGGATTATGAAATGGTTCTGATGGTAAGTTTATGAAGTATTGACACTCACATGGGGGTCGACAAAAACACGATGAGGAAGACGATACATTAAAATTAAAATAAATGGAAGAACAAAGACGAATGCAATGAGTGGGGACAATACATAATGGAGAATGGTCAAATAGCAGAAACATAAACGACATAACAAAAATGAAACAAAGCGGTAAACGTGACCGGGAGTCGGACACGGAATGATTACACAAGTCTAAGGAAAAGATGAAGAAATCGCATCACACTTAAAATACGATGGAGGGAAAATGAGGTTATGGAAGCGAAGATGAGTGGATATTATTGATGGCAGGGAGGCAGGGTTTTTTCTTTTTTTGGTTGTCACCGAAGATGCCACCATCTCACCTCTCCTGGCCACCCCTGGAACCTTCACAGCACCTTCCTCTGCTTCACCTTCCCAGTCCTCTAGCTCGTAACTCTCCTCTGGAACCAGCTCCCAGCCCCATGCCTCCTCTCCCTCTGGCACAGCCTCATTCTCAGCTTCAAACTCCTCTTCAAATACTTCCTCCTCTGCCTGAGTGGCAACCTTCTTCATCTCCACGGCTCCAGGAGAGACTTCCTTTACCAAGGGAAGCTTTCCTTCATCAGGCTTTGCCGGTTCCTTAACCTTGGCTTCCTCTTGCAAAGGCTTCTTTGGGACTTTTTTTAGAATCACATCCTCAATAGATTCTTTGGGTGAAACAGTTTTAGGAAGCTTTTTGAGTTTGTCAAGACTTGGCCTTCTCTCAGCTGCAACTGTCTCTGCTTCTTTAAGTTTCTCAACTTTCGGGGAGGGAGTCTTTTTGAGCTCTACCTTCTTGAGCTGCTCTACAGGTTTTAGAGATACTTCCTCTTTTTCCTTTGATAACACTTTTTTCTTCACTTGCAGAGGTTTTTTCTCCTCGAGAACCTTTTCAGGTTTCTCAGCGGGGGCTGGAACAGGAAGTATGGTCTTTTCCAACGGAGCTACATCTACCTTCTCCGGTTTCACCGGCTTCTTCTCTGGAGCTTCTGGGATCTCAGGTTTCTTTGGTTTAGCCTGTTGTTTCCGTTCTTCAGGGGTCTCAGCTGGACTTGTGTGACGTTTTGGCAGATCATCAGTTGGCCTCCTTTCTTTCTCCTCTGCGGGTTTCTTCTCAGGCTCTGTAGCCTGTTTGGCCAGCCTGTCAAAGGGCTTCAACTTGACTGTTTCTATCTCTGGTTCCACTGTTGGAATCTTCTTCACCTTTTTTGGCCTTTTGTCCTCTTCAGGCTCCTTCTCTGGAGATTTCTTTTGGTCTCCTGGTTTTGGCACCTTGGCTGGTGGCTCTTTTACTTCAACAGGTTCTTTCTCAGATTGCTTTGGAGGTTCTGTGGTTTCCACCTGTCTGGGAAGCCTTTCCCCCTTCTGAAAAGGTGACGTGTCCTTCTCTGGCCTCTCCTTCTTGTCTTTCTCTGGATCCTCTGCTGGTTTAAGAGGCTTCTCGAAGGGTTTCAGTTTGACTACTTCTGGTTCCACTTCATCCAAAGGCAATTTTTTAACTTTCTTTAGGGCTGTACTGGGTGGGGCACTTTCCTCCTCCTTAGGTGTCTTGGGAGTTTTCTTCAGAGAAATGGTATCTTTGGGTTTCTCATCTTTTGGGCCAGGCTTCTGCCGGGTCCACGCATCTTTAGGAGTCTCTTTTTGTTCCTTTGCTTCTTTAGGTTGAATAACTTTTGGCTTTTTCACCACATCTGCTTTCTCTTTTAGCTTCTTCTCCTCCTCATATCTCGTGGTGACAAACATAATCTCAGCAGCTTCTTCTTTATGTACCATCTCCTCAACATTAACAACTGTGGTCTTGGTGACCAGAGGTAATTCCTCTTGTTCAGGCTCTTTTTGTGGAACTGATGGGATCTTCTTCAATATGATAATCTCTTGTTCTTCTTCCACCTCTCTCATGACCCTGGTTGTCTTTCTCAACGTGGGGATCTCAAACGTCACATCCTCTTCCAATTTGACCTTTTGACCTTTTTTGTGTAGAACTGTTTCTGAGGCATCAAACGTTTCATATTACTTGGTTAAACATCGGCTGTATGTATAATACAGTTTAGTGTCAGTAAACTAAACTCATATCACAATTTGTACAAACAAAGAAAATAGCAACTCGTGAAAAAGAGTATAAATAAATAAATAAATATTAATATACAAGGGATAAAAATGTAATCAGGGATTTTAGGAAGATAACTTTGAATGATTTAAGAACAACAAACAAAAGATGACAGGGACATTTCCAGTTTCTCCAACAAAGGACAGAAAGTTTAATGTTGCATTTAGTAGAGCTAATAGGAAATTTGCAAATTAGTGATCAGCTTAATTAAAAAAAACAGTGTTGGACTGATGACTGAAAAGTTACAGATATAGGAGGTATACATGCATGGTTATATACGTGCATTTGGAGACAGGTTTCAAAAAAGGCTACAAATGCTAACTTTTGAGACCTCATGCGAGCATGCTTCAATCCACAAATACAAAGCAATTTGACCACACCTCCAACTATTTTACAAATGCCTGCACCCAAACCTGAATAAATACTGATCATTTACGTTGTGATTACGTTTTGCTTCACAAATTGGATCATTTTCTCTTTCAAAAGCTCTCTGTGCACACAAACATCTAAAACTAGACATATCCTCTCACTTGCGCACTTACCAAACCTTAAATTTGAGTGCATGAATCGCCTGATACGCAAAGATCATGTTGCATGCCCACGTGAGGTTTTGAGATAAATTTCAGGCTGCCAGCTTCTCACAGATCGTTCAGACGTCCCAGTGCAAAACTGGGACGTCTGGGTTTCCTCTGTATTACTTGAAGTGGGTGTTTCTTTTCTAAATAAACAGAACAACTCATCACTAATTACAGACACAACGCAGTAACCTATAAAAGGTAATATATCACTTAAATAAGCTGCTGCTACATCCTGAAAAGTTAAGAATTAGTCATTAAGCTAACATTAATGTTAACCTACTGTTATTAGAGAATGGTAGGATTAACATGAAAGTGTTATTCCACATTACCTGGATTATATGATTATTTAAAATATACAGAGATTATTTAGCACATACTCACTCCAGAGAATGATCCACAGTGATGTACAACCATGATGTCCCCCCATCTGCAGCTGAGCACTGAATGAGTCTTCCCAGCAGATTGTCCAGCATGTAGCAGCAGCTTATTTAAACTATTAATATTTACAGGCTACGCTGTGTTATCTGTAATCTATGTTTGCTAGCAGAGGGGTGACAAGTTGTTCTGTTTATTTAGAAGAACAATGACCACTCCATTTGAAAAAAAGAACAAAAAGGACTATAGAGGATGTCCCTGTTTTACACCAGCACGTTGACAGCGCTTGTGTTTGTGGATCCATGTGAAGCTGGCAGCCCACATAGGCATGCGGCGTGATCTGTGCATATCAGGTGATTCGTGCACTCCTACTTAAGGTTTTGTACGAGTGGGAGCTTTATGAAAGACAAACGTATCCAATTTATGAAGCTGAACTTAATAAACTGCATGCAGATCATTACATTTATCCAGGCTTGTGTATTTGAATTTGTGTTTTTGATGTGTGTTCAAATTGTTTTGTACGTGTGTGGACTGAAGCACACGCTTGTGAGTCCTAAAGAGTTACACACAAATAATTGTACACATTTATACATTTAAGTGTAAGCTTGTGGATCACACCATTTGTAACCCTTTTGAGACATGTTTACTCCATACATGCTAGTAGCTCTATACTGAGTGTACTCCCACCTTTCTTGACTCCTCCTGGTGCTTGGACTGGCCCCTTGGATTCATCTAATATAAAAACATAGTTCAAAAAGTTGTAACTTAATGTGGAGGAGACACAAACACAGATGTGACTCACGTGGAGAGCAAAGAATTCACTGTGCTATCATTTAGATGAAGAGCAACAGAAAAGAAATAACACCGTAAATAAACACAAAGAATGAAATGAAGTTAGGCTGAGTACAAGGACACAGTAGCTTATGTTGAATTCAATCACCAACAGACACAAACACTGCAACAACAGACAGAGAGGCTTTACTTTGGCTAAGGGTCCTATCCTCCAACATAAGAAAGACTCATAGCAACACCAGTACACATACACAGTGGAGTATAAATAAAATTGCTGTTATCAAACAAGAAGTTTAAAAAAAGAAACTGGAACAGACTAAAAGACCTTAAACAAAGAGAACATTTCCATCTCAGTCCTCTACCTGTTCCAGGTGATATCTTTTTTGTTAGTGGTTTTTCCTCCTCTGCAATCATCTTAGTTGGTTCTTCAGCCGCCATAACGGGCTTTGTCACGACCACTTTAAGTATAAAAAAGAAAGAATTGATGTATAATCACCAAAGCACGTAATATTTCTCAAAGCTGGAATCACTGTCTGAATACCTGGCTTTTCTTCTGGTGGAGTAATTGTCTTTTTCAACTTGGCATTATCAGTGACTTCAGGCTTTTTGGCAGCTTCTTGATCTTTAACAGCAGCTTGTGGTTTGCTCACTTAAAGTAAAAAGTATACAGGAATTTCAGCAACAGTGCTCTATCTAATCTACATCATCCTACACAAAGAGAACCAGAAGTTCATGTTGCATTTTTTCTATAAACACCTTGTTTTTGTCTATTTTGTTTCAAGACACAGTCAAAGATTTATATCTGCATAAGAGTGGCATTCTTTTCTGAATGCCTTAATAAACCCTCCACAGAAACACAGAAAGAGCTTTAAAGAAGTGGCTGGGTACCTTTTTGTGGAGCAGCTGGCTTTACCAGTGATTCTTTGATTTCTGGCACCAACTCCTTCTCCTTTACAAGTACTTGAAAATGAAATCACAAGACAATTAGCGCCTCACAAAGACAGATGTGGGAAGCATGAGACCATTTAAAGACTAAAACCACGTGACACTGCATAGAAAGCTGGATGACTGAGTTTCAACTCCATATGACAGCTGGACATTTGACCTCACCGTCCAAAACTATTGATAAAGAAATATTCACTTCAAATACAGAACTAGAAGTAACAGAAACAGCATTCAGTAGAAACCTTTTGTGATTTAACTGTAGTGATAAGAAAGCAAACAGCATGACGAGCAGTTTGTGCCCAGATGAAATGGCTAATATGATGAAGACGAGGAGTTATGAGTTCAAAGTCTTTTAAGAATCAAAACAATGACTGGCTCTCATATCAAGAGTGTTTCTTTTTGCCTCGATACCTCTGGAAATTTCCTGAAGGAAGAGTTTCTTTTCTCTCTTCTATTTCCAGTGTCAAATCCATTTGTCTGTAATGGAGTGAATCATTCGAGCTTCTCCCTTCTTTCTGGTGATGGCTTGAAGTTCATGAGGAGACATGCGTCTAGCAAGCGGGACTTCCTGCTTACATTCTGCTTACATCTTCTTCACGTCTTTTTTAGCTGACATACTTGTTTGCAATGACTTTTTCTTTGAGTGATTCCATTTTCACATATTTTTCAGGCCTGTCATCTGCTACATGTGATTGCTAAGACAACACCGGCTTTGCTTTCAGTGTCTTCTTCACTTTGACTGAATTTCTCCTATTATTACCTTTGATTTATCATTTTCACCAGATTTCTGCTGCTCATCTTCTGCAGATTTGCCTTTCATATAAAACTCACTTTTACAGTATCATCTGGGAAAATATATTTTACTAGAGGCTCTAATAAAAACTCGTGCTCCTCTGCAGTTAATTGTTTTGCAGATCCATTGCAGGGATCATTGAACCCTTTCTTTCCGTTTGTTGCTGCTTTGTATTAATGGTGATAAAATTGTCTTTTCACATTCAGTTTAGACTGGATGTCTTTGCTGTCCTCGGTCTTTCAAAGAATCTGGTTTCTTTGAAGATGTATTGAACTTCATTCTTAGACTTCGTCTTCCATTAAAGGCCTAAACATGAGGTTTCTCTCAGTGTGTTTCTTTGTTGAACTGGTCTTCTTCAAGTTTAATTCCTCTAATTCTGTCCTGTTTTTCATTGAAAACATAGAAAAAATATCTTCTGTTGTTTCAGTTTATTGAGATTTTGCAGATGTTTCACTAATTCCAGCCTGTAACGTTTTCTCTCCTTGGTCATGTGATCTTTTCTGGAGATGGACTTTTTATTAACTGACAATTTTCTTGTATTTTTCACCTTTTCCTTAGTTTTAAGAATAACTTAATTTGTCTTCAAACCATTAGTGACAGAAATGTTACCATGACATTTATTTTATTACCCTGACACTTTGTTGGGTTCTTGTATAGTTCTTAAAATCTCCTCTTGCCGTACAGAAACAATATCCTTGCCTACAGTGTCGTCATTATCTTTGTGGTTTGTTGCTTCCTCTTCTCTTCTTTGTAGAAGATGTTTTCTCGCATTGACATTGAGAAATTTAAATGGCGTGAAGTGTAGTGGTGCAAAGAGATCACAGTAAAAAATACAGACACAAACATTTTTAGTTAAGTAAGACAGACGCTGCTGTAAAAAGATGTGAAATGTGCTGCGACTTTACCTCTCTCTATTCTTTCTGTTTTAGCTGCAACTTGTGTTTCAGGCGACAAAGCATCAGGAGCAGCAGTGAGAATCGTGTCTTCTGTTTCTTTAAAAAAGAATCAGTTCTTATTCAAAGGAAGGCACGAGTAGATTTTAGTAGAATAACAGAGGGCAGGAAAAAAGATTTTAAGAGGAATGAAAAAGACCAACTATGAACATGTGACATGAAGAGAGGTTTACAAACTGAGGTTGATGATGGACTCAGTCTGAACACACACCAGAACAAAGACTGCAAACATGGAGTCGAATGACACAGGTACAGATTAACAATGCAATAAGAACGGTACGTTTGGTACCTCTGGAAGACTTTTTTGAAGGAATCCTTTTCTCGTCTGGCTTTAATGGCACTGAAGGAGCTGTCTGAAGAGGATCCTCGGATAAAGATTCTTTTGTTTCCTTTGTCATCTTGTATTTGAGTTCAGTTTTTGCAGAAACAGATTCAAATTCCAACCCCTGTTTGATCATTTTTGTCACGTCAGTATCTGTTACTGAGGGTTTTACTGCAACAATCTCTGTTTCTGCATAAAACATTTCCTCAGATTTCATCTTTTTCTCCGTTTTCTTTTCAAACACTTTGTGTGCACTTTGCTCACGTTCAGGGGTGACAAGTGCTTCCTGTTTTCTCTTTTCTTCCATTTTCACTGCAGTGGGAACGATTGTTGCTTCTTTACCTTTAACTGTGTCTTCCCTCAGCGCTCTTGTCATCTCTGAAACTTCATTGCTGTGTTTTTCATGTGGAGTCACTGATACGTCACGATCAACTGCTTCCTTAAAGGTGACTTCAGCTAAAGCCTTTGTTTCAGCTTCCAGGTTTTCAGTCAGTTTTCTTGCTTCTGTGGTGATCACAACCGAGGAAGGTTTGGTTTCATCTGCCTTTGTCACCACCGTGACATCTTTCAGTGTTTCCTTCTCTTTGAATGAAGTAGGCTCCTCGGATTTTTCTTTCGCGCGTCTCTCTTTGCTTTCTGTTTCAGTGCTCTTCGCTCTCTTTTTAGGTTCAAAGCTGGCTTCGTGTATGGCGATAGCTTTTTTGTCTTGTTGGTGGCTAACTGATGCACTGTCTTTCCTTTCATCTGTAATTTCTTTGCTTGGTGACTCAACTGCCTTGACAAAATACTCTGTTTTTTCTTTTGAAGGTTTATCTTGTAGTATTGTGAGCTTCGATTCAGAGTCCTGGGCTAAAACTACAGCTTGGGGTTTTTTCAGGCTGATTCTTTGTTTAGCCACGCTGCTTTCCTTCCTCTTTGAAGTATCAGTAGCAGATAGCTCACCTCTCACTTCAGACCTGTTATCTTGTTGGCTCTGTGTTTCTGTTGTACTTAAGACATCTGTTTCTACCAATACCACCACTGCCCTGTCCAGTGGAGCCACATCTTCATACCAGACTTCAGCATGTTCTTCTACTACTTGTTCACGCTCCCAGACAGCTTCTGTAAAAGGTACTTGTTCTGTCACATAATACATTTCCTGTATCTCCTGAGCTCCTTTCCTTTCCCATTGTTCTTCTTCAGTCTTCTCAAAACTTGCAGCTGTGAGATGATTTAAGAGGTGTAGAAGAAGAGGCGTCATGTGGCGGCGCCAAGATTTGACAGCAAAACACAAAGACAATCATCAGTGTTAGGAGACAACACAGAAATGAAGAACCACATGCTTTAGGTGACAATCCACTTGTTTCAAGCATTAAAGAATAAGATGTGTTTAAGATCCATGTAGTACCTTTTTTAGTAGCATAAATTTTTATATCCTCTTCAATCTCTGTGTGCAGAATCCTCTCAGTCTTCTTAGCTTCGGTTTCTTTTAAGCAATGAATCAAAATTGATTCCAAGATGGTGTGTGGTGAAGAAAACAATTTGGAAAGAGAAAAATGTAGACAGTCAACAAACACATGTCAAATAACACAAACAAGCCAAGAGATGGAAGATGTTGACAAAACCTTGTGGCAGCAGTTCAGTCTGAACTCAATGCACACATTTAGTCAGCTGGAATTTCTTACCACCAATATTTGATGACACATCGATAGATGTCACATTTACTGATTCTCCTCACCACTGAGGCCAAATGAATTCAGCTCTGATAGCATTTTGTTATCTTGTTGCATTAAAGACGGAAATGTAACAAAGAAAAAATAATTTCTTTGCACTGAAAACTTTAAGTGATAATTAAGAACAATAAAGAGATTTCTTTTTACGTGATCAAAAGTTTTTGAATATTAAACACTCAAATAAAAGAGCATCATTTGATAACATTTAAGTGATTGTTGAGATTCTGGCTTCAGTTCAAATCTTGGCAGTCCTCATGCTCAAACATGCATGATGAAGATACAAAGAAAGACAAAAACAGCTGAAGTCTGCTGTACCTTTAGGAAGAATTTCTTCTACCTCTTGTTTAGGCTTGGCCTTAGATACAATATCAGGTATTGCATCAGGGGCCTTTACGTGAACTGTTTTCTCTACAGAGATCTTCTCTGTTTGCTTCTTTGAAATGAGCTCAACTTTGATTTCCTCAGTGCTTACAGATGTCTGCTTCTCAGTAATCAAAGCTTCTTCAACCACCTTCTGAGGAACCTTTACAGGCTTCCTCTTAGGAAGAGCCTCCTCTGGGACTTTTTCCTCACGTGGTTTTTCTGGTACTTTCTCAGGTAATTTTTCTGGCTCCAGCTTTGGAATTTCCTTCATGGCTTTCTCGGGTTTCAGCACTTTCTCCAAGCGTCTCTCGGGTACTGATTCAGATATTTTCTCAGGAAGCTTCACAGGTTCAGGCTCCAACACAGCAACCTCATCAAACACCTTCTGATAGCTTTTTTCAGGTACAGGTTTAGGTTCGAGCTTCAAAGCTTTAAGAGGGTGTGACACAAGAACATGCAAAAGACATGACAATAAAGAACACAAATGTGCTTTCACACAAGAAACAAATCCTTTATAAGTTCATGAAGTCATTTAGACACAAAAGGGTCACCCTGTGGAGAATAATATATGACTATGTGTTAAAAAGGAAATCTCATAGAGTAAAGACATTGAAAGGCACCTCTAAATGTACATTTTCGATATAAAATGAATAATTTGAGCTGGGTATGAGTATATATCATCATAGCATTTCTTTACTTAAAGAGACTCAAAAGACAGTGAATGAAGTCTGCCCCTGTATTAAAGAAACTTCATATGTGAAATAGAAATGTACCTTTCTCTTTCCTTGTTGGTTCTTCCTTTGGTGGAACGACAGCAGGCTCTGCTTTCTTGGCTGCTTTTGGAAGCTCAGTTATTTTTTCCTCCACAGGAACTTTAAAGAGTATTATTGGCATATATTAAAAGTCTTTTAGCAAATTCAAGTTGAAGAGTTTCATTAGAGAACAATGAAACACTCTATCGAGTGCAAGACAAGAACAATCACAACATGCAGCAACAAAATGAGAGAGGTTAGCCATTATAAAATAATATGCCACAGAACCTGAAGAGTTTAGGGTTAGTATGAGAGTTTTGGTTTTAGTTAGAAGTTTCCGGATGACTGAATTAGCTTCAGGTACCTTTAACTGCCACAGGTTTCTTCTGTGGCGCTTGCTCCTCTGTCTCAAACTTTTCTGGTTGTGCAAGTGAAGGTTGGGGTGGTTGGATTGGAGCTGAAACCTCCTTCTTTGCTGGTTCTTCTGATGCTTCAAAATAAAATTCCGTTTACTATCATTATTATAATAATAATAATAATTATTATTATTATAGTTAGGTAAATATGCAGTCGGCAGATATCAACATCAAAATGTACTCACAGATAAATCCCTGAAAAGAATCTGTGGTACTCAAAGGTTAATACGAGATTTGTTCGCACTACCATCAAAAACACTAATGTGAAGACACCTCAGATGAGTTAAGGTTGGACAGTGGAGTTAAGAAGATTAAAGAAAAAACACCACATTAAGAAAAACTCCACAGCCATTTACCTTTTTTTGCAGGTTCCTTTGGTGCAGGAGTTGGTTCTGGTTTGGTCACTGGGGGTTCCGGTTTTGGCACCACAGGCTTTGGTGCTGTTATTTCTGCTGATTTTTTCACCACAGGTTCAGGCTTGGGAACCACTGCAGGTTCTTTTGGTTCTGGTTTTGTTAGAGAAGGCTCGGGTTTATGAGCTTCTGGTTTAGGTTTGTCTGGTTCTAGCCTGGTTTCAGCTGGCTTGCGCCTGGTCTTTGATGGATCTGGTTTTGCAGCTTCTTCAGGGACTAGCAACATTTAGATTTGTTTAGATAAACAAAGACAAAGACTTCGCTTCCACTCTTGAAGCTAAATGAACAGTTTGAAGATCTTAATACTAAAGACAGAAGCATACACAGTAGACTACAAACTCAACACAAACATCCAAACAAAACAGGAAATACCTTTGGATGGTGGCGTCACCATTTTCTTTACTGGTACTGGTTTAGCTTCAGGCTCCTGCTCGGGGATTTGTTCAGGTTTAACCTTGGGTTCTGCTTTGGGTGTAGGCACTGGCTTTGCTTCTGGTTCCGCTTTGGGTGTAGGCACTGGCTTTGCTTCTGGTTCTGCTTTGGGTTTGGGCTTGGGCTCAGCTTCAGGCTTAGCTTCAGGGGCCACTACTTTGGAGTCTGCTGGCACCTGAGGCTTGGGTTCATCTTTAAATGGGTAAAAACATTCTTTGCTAGGATTACGCAGCAGGAGAATCTATAATTTTGCAAGAAGTGCTTCAGAGAATGAGAAAATCACCAGAATCGTATATAGAAACAGCATGACATATAAAACAGATAAAGGTTTCAATGAAGCCAGACTGACTCAGCGTGGTGGGAAACTGTATAGTGTGGCACACAGTTGATAAGACATCAAAGAAACATTAAGCAACATGAAGTACCTTTCTTTGGCACTCCAGGCTTCTCAGTAGGTGGAGGTGGGGAAGCAGTCGGCCTTTTAACTTCCTCTGTTTCTTTTAAGGAAATATTCAAACATATAATAATCAAATGAGACAACAGATTGCCCTTAGCAAAGATGTTCTAAAGACATTTGTAGGAATCCCTACCTCTGGGAACAGGAACATCCTTTTCTGGGACTGAAACCACAGCAATCTTTTCCTCCACTTGCTTTCTGGCTTCAGGCTCTTCAAATGTGCAGTTAAATTAAGTGAAGGTCAAGCAACATTAAAGAGGTTTAGGAAGTAAAAGATCAAACAAACACAAAGTATAGTTGAGATAACAGTAAAAACAAAAGAAGCTAGAAATGTAATTAATAAATTTACGTGTCAACATCAACAGTTTGTCAGTACCTCTCTGTGGTGATGCTGGTGTTGGTTTCTCTTCAGGCCTTTCCTCAACTTTGGGAAATTAAAAAAAAACACAATTAGGTGAAGAAGAGAAGTGCAGCAGAATACACGGCGCCATTTTAAAAACTGAAAACGCCACTACAGTAGATAATGTAATAAAAGAACAAAAAGACACAGTTGTAGGATGAGGGAAAGCAGAATATGCTCAGCTCTGCTGTACCTTTTGTTGGGATTTCCTCTCTCATTTGAACTTGTTTGGTCTCCATTGTCTCCTCAATGGCAACTCTTACAACTGCTGGAAAAACACATGCACAAAGGAACACATCCAAGATCGAAGGTAAGTGTCATAAAACATAAACATTCTTAAGTCTTCATAAGTCAAACATGGAATCCAACACTTTTAATTATTTTTTTTTCTTTTAAGCTCAGAATTTCTAGATAAGCTTTTTAAGCATTTGGACATAAGTCAGTACAATCTAAAGCATTTGGTCATTAGTGTGTGGTGTGTTTTAGACAGGACAAGAGAGGTCAAAAGATCAGTGCAAACCTAAACTGTGCAAAGCACTCTGATAGGAGCCAGAATGATAATGCAGAACAATGTATTTGTGATAAGAAACTAAAAGATTCAGAAGCTTGACAGTAAGCAAAACCAGATCATCAGATATTAGGCTGTTACTGAACCAAAAGTGGTTATTAAAAAAACAAGCACACAAAGGCTGGTAGTGAAATGAGGGATAAAAAAGAGAGACGTATGCAAGCACAAATATATAAGATAAGAAAAAACATACATTTAAAAAAAGACAAATGTCAAGATAGACATGAGTAATGTGGCTCAAACGCACACAGGTATTGCTGTGCATGCTCTCGACATTGTGCTGACAAGAGCATGATGAGCACATCATACAAAACTGCTGGCCAGTCAAAGGCCTCAAGCCCGGGCCAATCAATACCCTAACACCTGTACAGTCTGATGTTAAAGAAAAAAAGAGATAAAGCCGCACATCTTTGAGATGCAGGACAAAAATCTACATTTTATTTGTCCTCGTTTAAAAACAGAAGTTGAACTTCTTAAAATCTTCAAACTGGAACGACTTTTTTAAAAAGCTCTATTCTTAGTGATCCATTACACACCAAACACCATTTACAGGCATAGAAAAAGCTAATACAAATGTGTGTGTGGAGAGGGTCCATATATACTTGTTGTTGTTCAGCTGGTGGAGATAGAACTCTTACCTAATATTGTACTTTTCTTACTAAGCCTAGCCAAAATCCAAAAAGTGCAAAAGCAAGAGTGCAAAATGTATTTTAGTGTGCTTAAACCTAATGGAACAGAACTGAACACAACGTATTTTATGTAATAAATCTCATCCCTAAAACCAGACTCACACACTTTTAATGTTAAATGTTGGTCAGAGGGCCCGGACACTGGTCCGGTGGCGCCAGTGTCCGGCAGCCTCGCCTCTGTCAGTGCGCTCCAGGGTGGCTGTGGCTACAATGTAGCTGCCATCACCAGTGTGTGAATGGGTGGATGACTGGATATGTAAAGCGCTTTGGGGTCCTTAGGGACTAGTAAAGCGCTATATAAATACAGGCCATTTACCATTAAATGGCAAAACATAACTAAAAGTTAGTGAGTGTGGCATCAAGATGGAAAACTGGATTAAAGTTACAAAGTGACAACAAAACACATTCAGAACATTAGGCACAAAGAAAGAAAGAAGAACAGATACAAATTAACAGGAAAAAAGACAAAACGCAGGAGCATAAAAACAAATAGTAAATACCTTCAATCTCTTCTTCATAATGATAGAATTCATAAGATTCTTTAAAAGACAAAAAACATTTTTATTCCATTTCATTGTTAAATTCAGGTAAACATTGTCTTAATTCTATGTGGGCCACAAAACTACTGTGAAATTTCTATAACAGAAACTGCTCTGTAAATTCCCTGATGTAATAAATGGAACAAAGTGAGCTGCTTATGATGCCTTACCTTGAATTGCAACTGACGTAGGCACTTCAGGCCTCTGAACAGAGGAATCTGGCATATCTACAGAGTATGGTACCAAAAGTTCTGTTTTGGTTAAGTGGTTAACTATTGGTTAACTATTAAAAACAAAACAAAACCACTGTGTGAGTAGAAGTGTAGGACATTTTGGAAAATCCTCTTGCTTGGTAGCATTTGCCAGTTACAAGATAAAAAGTATAGATAGGCACATTTCAACCATAACATCAATTAAGTACAACCAGCTTGCGTAGTCCTGTAGTAACACAGGCTAGTGGGTACCATACCTAACCACCTAACTTGAAACTAGTAACTCCATATCCGGCCCTTTAGGCCTGGAGCTTAAGTTCAACATTTTAACAGCTTCCCAAAAATAAGCTAATTGGTTTCACTTTTATAAAATCATAGATAATAGTGTTATAGGTAATGGAAAAATGCATCTGGTCCTAGAAGGTCTTAAATTTGGTCAAATACAACCTCAGATGAACAACAATATACATTGTGTCATTACATATTTAACAAACACTGAGCAAAAAGGCAGACACAGTATGAAATACCCCTACTTCCTTTATAGGAATAAAGCATGTAAGTAACAGAAAGTTGCTGCTGCTCACATTCAATAGATTAAATGATGATCGACACAAGTGTGTCTACAACTGTAAAAGCAGAAGTGTTAGCAGTTTGCTAATCTGATGCATTGAGGTGGAATTGGAAAGCAAGTGGAAAATCCCATGAGTGGACATCAAATTCCCCTCAAGGACAAATGACAAATGGCAATGACATCCACCCACTGATCCATCCATGCCCAGACAAGCCCAGAGCCTCCTTAGCCACCACCTCCAACTCTTCGGGTGGGTGACTGAGGCGTCTTAAAGACAGGCAATTTGTCCTTGGTCTTCCCCAAGGTCTCCTTCCTGTGGTAAATGGCCAGGAGACCTAATATAGCAGGCAGGAGGTATCCTACTCACATGCCTGAGCCACCTCGCCTGGTTCCTGTGTGCAGAAGTTGCCACAGCTTCTCTGAGCAGAGCTGCTCTTTTGAGTCCCTCACCCTGTCTCTAAAGAAGGGCCGAGCTACCCTTTGAAGAAAGCTCATTACCATCATTCGTTATTTAAGTCACTACTCAGAACTGCAATAGGTGAGGGCAGTAACATAAATTACTAGTCAACACCTTCAGCTCTCAGTTCACCACAACAAATTGGTAATGACTCCTAATAACTGCTGCCACGCCACTCGTTTCTCGGTTACTGTAGGAACACGACCCTGAGACAGACCCTTTCTACTTGGGACAGGAACTCACAGTTTTCCAGATAAGAAAAACCTGTAGGTTGTAATTCTCATTCCCACATCTTCAGACTCTCCTGTAAAACAGCTCAGTGCAGGCTGGAAACAACCATGTGATGAAGCCAAGAGAATCTCATCATGCAGAGAAACATAGATGAGTCCCTGAGGCCACTGAAGTCAAAATTTGCTTCTTAGCTATGTCTACAAATTTTGTCCACAAACATTATGTACAAAATCACTGAAAAACCACTAACAGAGTCCAACAGCCAGTGGGGACAGGTCTGACTCATTACTGACAATACAGACCTTATGTCATGGTCCCCGTGTCTCGCCGGCTGACTCCGTGTCAGGGGACATGTTTATTTTTGTTTTGCTCTCTCTCCCTCTTCCCTCCGCCGGGGTGGTGCTCACTGCAGGCTCCCGCCCTGGGCCCACGCACCTGCACTTGTCATCACACCTGCTGCCACGCACCTGCACTTGTCATCACACCTGCTGCCGATTCCAGTGGATTAAAGCAGTACTTAAGATGGCGGACCTTTGCTATTCTTGGTTCGTTGGGCTATCGGCATCATCCCTGAACCCGTTTGTGACTGTGTTTGGACGAGTGAGATAGAGGAGCGGCGAAAGAGAGGTGTTGGACTTTCTGGAGAGAGAGAGGAGCGTTTTTGACTCATCCTCTGTGTCCCTGTGGACCCTGGAGCCCCGGACTCCTTTCCCCTGGCACTCTGTATATATATATTCACCTGGTGTTTCCTTCACTGTAAATAAACGCACTGTTTTCTTGCCAAAGAAATCCCTGGTCTGCGCCTGAGTCCGTTTAAGGAACCTTGCTCAGGGAACCATCGCTCTAGTCTTCTAATCTAGAGGCATCACCCCACAGTGCCATGCAAAGTTGCAGAAGCGTGTCAATCAGTGTAGTCCCACAACATCCAAAGCCTTAAGGAACAAGGCAAATCTCCACCCTGGGGGTCTTACCACTTACAAGAAGCTGTCTTATCCCAGTAAACTCACCTCTAGTGATTGCAAATCATCCACCTCATCCCCAGACTCTGCTTCCTCTATGAGGAGTATTTGTGACGCCACAGGCTAACCAAGTCCACTAGGAGTCCCTCTAACAGCTCTCTTTAGCTCCAGTGTCCACCATCTGCTATGCTTGCCCCAATGGCTCAATGCCCTCAGTCTCTCTCGGAATGTATTCAAAGTTATGCCAGAAGTGGAAATTGACCAGGGCTTCGGCTAGATGCTCCCAATGCACCTTCCCCATATATCTGGGCGTGCATGGCCAGCATCCTTTGCTCTCACCTCATCCAACTCACTACCAGGTGGTGATCAGTTGACAGCTAAACTCATGACACAGATATGAAATTAATCACCAACCTGCAACCTAGCGTGTCCTGGTGTCACCTCCACCTAGGAACACCCTTATACTTGAACATGTGTTCGTTGTGGACACACTGTGATTATCATAGAAGTCCAATAACAGAACACCACTTTAGATTGGGCAGCCTTTTCCTCCTAGTCAAACCACACCCGGTCTACCAAATCAAAGCCAAACACATCATATCAGAAGCCGTGATCATTGTTTGGCGCTAACAGGACTTGGGCACCTGGCAGCCATGTGAGTTTAACATAGACTCCATGATTAATGGTGGCTCAAATGAACACAGGCATTGCACACAGATATTGTCAAATGTAAAGCCATTTGGCTAAAATTGGGTCATGCAACAGGAGATTCACCCAGAACAATGTGAGAAAATAGTTCAAAAAAGTGGTTCTACACGCTAGTGAATCACAGTGTGGGCTTATTTTTTCACACATTGGTCCTAAATTTTGCCTTAAATCTTTTAAATACATTATGACATGATGTAATATGTCATGTGATGCTATTCCTCTGAGGTTGCATTTGCCTAGTTTTAGAACCTGGTAAGAGTCAGATCATTTTTGATTGTGTCTGAAGTCGTAAAAACCTGCAGTGGTGAACTAGAGTGGTGGACTGTGTCCATATCTGACTGTGATAAAGAGGGCAGAAAGAGGTTTTCCAAAGATGTTCCTGAATGATTAAAGTCATCGAGGGTCTTGAAAATAAAATACCTACCAATGGGGACCATTGCTAATTCAATTTCTGTAAAAAAAGAAAAGAAAAAGAAAATATAGAATAAACAGAGTGTTAAACACTTCGATAAAAGGTGAGCAGAAGCATAAAAAGTGTTGCCTGACTGAACTGTACCTTTGCCAGACAAATAAAGCTCAGCTGTGCTCTTAGCCTCTCCCCTGGGTTCCAACCTCACAATTACTGAGTACACGCCTATAAGGAATTAGTAATGAAGATCTTTTACACTCAGGTCTCAACAAACAACGAGGAAAAAAATCTACAGGACTTTGTGACGAGCCTTTGTAGCTTGATGGCACACTACACACCTTCGTCTTCAACGGTCACGTTTTGAATGACCATGAAATGTCTTCGGCCCTCGCTTCTGAAGTTGTACTTAGGGCTCTCTTTCAGTTCCCAGGTGTCTTTGTACCATGAAACAATGGCATTGTCAAAGGACACTTCACACTCAAAGGTGGCTGACTGTCGCTCATTGACTTCGATGTTGTGGATGCGTTTGGTGAAATGAATTTGTTCAGCTAAAAAAAAGATAAAGACGGGAATGGGTAAATGGCATCACAATTGGGAGTGTATGACAATAGCTAAATGGTCATTTTTCATCAAAATATCATCTAGATGGTTAAAAATGATGATCATCGTTTATGGGACAGTTATCAAAATGCATGTAAAAATACAACAAGTGGGACAATGGGGCATGCTTTTGGAACACGATCATGAAGAAAGTTACGAAAGAGAAGGACAAAATCAAAGAGGAAAAAAGAGGGCAATCTTCAAATTGCCAACATTATTTTAAGAGTTTGATAATGGAAGTCAAAGAGGTTAGTAACTGGGAACTACGTAAAACATGTCTATAAGTTTGCAGGATGGGTTCCAGGTACAAACCTTCCACCCAGAGGTCTGCTGAAGACTCCAGCTGTTGGTACTTGCAGGTGTATCTTCCTTGGTCTTCAGGCTTCAGGTCTCTGATCAGTAGCTTCTGAACCTTGTGTTTCACCTCAGATGTGTACCTGTCCTTCATTTCTAACTGCTTTCCATTTTTAAACCACTGAGCCTCTACATTAGGGATGGACATCTGACAAGACATAGTACATGACTGGCCTTCCTTACCCATTGTGTCCTGTAGATGTTTCTCAACCTCCACCTCTAAAGGACAAAACACATAAAAACAAAAATGAAGTCAAAAGAAAATAGTTTATTTAAGATAATCGAGTTTTTACTGTAAGGAGGCTTTGTTCTCAATCAGCCAAGAAGACAGAACATTTACAACCACTTAAAAGCTAAAGCCTCTAAGCTAAACTAGACAACTGCCGAGGTGAAATGCTAATTACCCTTTATCAAACAACAGATACTTTTTAACAGATGCAGTAAAGCTGTCAGTACTGACCCATGACACTGAGCTTGGCACTGGATATGTGGGGCCCGCACACCACCCTGTAGTTGCCCTGGTCAGATGACTGGCAGTTCTTGATCCTGAGCAGATGGCGGTCGCCGCTGATGGTGATATTGTACTTGTCGCTAGTATCAAGTTTCTGTGTGCCTTTGTACCAGGACAGCGTGATCTCTAGGTAGTTGATCTTGATCTCACACTCGAACACTGCTTCTTCATTAATGAAGACAGATTGATTGGAAATGTCCTTCACCACAGTGACAGGCTGCAATAATGACAAAGAGCATTATGAAGTACATGCCAGACAAACAGTTTTTCATCCTTGTGATTATTTCTATTAAGTGTACACTGCAGTAAAGGAAAGATTCTCTGATGGCTCAACAGCTTTTTCTAATAATGTTTATGTGCACAACATATGTTAAGGACCAAAGAAAATAAACTGGGTCTATGGCTACAACGTAATTGATCACTTGCAATGTTGACCCTGTACCAACATTAGTTTTGTTAATTCAGCAAAAAAGACCATTGCAACGATTTCAGAATAAAGTTGGACTGATATAAATGCTGATGCATCCTATAACTGTTGACTGACAAAAACACATCAACGGCACATCAACCACTGGTCTTATCATTAATAACAAAGCCAATTATCCTTTAAATATGCTTTGAGGATTTTTAGCCTTCAGCTGTAAAAGGCTTATAAGGTATTGTCGCCCCACCCGCACACCCTGCCGGGCATGTGGGTGTGTCACGTGGATACCCAAGTTTGTCAATGCAAAACCTGAGAACAAAACAAGGCGTAGGATTTACAAATTAATACCACAGGTGTATCTACTATCGCTGATGAGTTCAAAACTCAGTGACCTTGACTTCAAGGTCTGAGGTCATAGGTGAAGTTTTCTGAAAATCTTGTGCTTGTGATAATTCTAGAAGGAAGTCCATTGATTTTCTTCCGCTTATCTAGGACTGGGTTGCTGGGGCTTCAGCCTAAGCAGAAAAGCCCAGACCTCCCTCACCCTAGCCAGCCAAGATATATAATGTCCTTAGCTTGTCCTGGGTCTGTCCCGGGGCTTCTTCCTGGTGGGACTTGTCTAGAACACTTCACCCGGATGGCTGAACTCCTTCCGTCGCTTGTATCCATGATTTCAGCCACTACCCAGAGGTCATGACCGTTGGTAAGGGTAAGGGTGTACATTGGCCGGTAAATTAAGAGTTTTGCTTTTACGCTTAGCTCTCTCTTTACCACAACGGACTGGTACAGCGACGAGATTCTGAGACCATCAAAGTGGAAACCTTCCACCACTTGGTTACTCCTAGAAATCCTTGGTGGCAGGTCCTCTAGGGCAGCGGTCCCCAACCCCCGGGCCTCGGACCGGTACCGGTCCGTGAGTCGTTTGGTACCGGGCCGCGAGAGTTGAGGCTCAGGTACGAAATGTATGGTTTTCAGAGTTTTTATCGGTTTTCAGCGTTATTTTGTTATCGTTTTTATCGTTAACTCGGTTTTCCTGGGTCTTTTCACGTGTGTTATGAATAAATCTTCTCTTTTTCGGTACCGGTACTAGTTTTATTTTGTTCTATTTATCCGCAACACCTTAAAGGCCGGTCCATGAAAATATTGTCAGGCATAAACCGGTCCGAGGCGCAAAAAAGGTTGGAGACCTCTGCTCTAGGGTGTGTGAGGTTCACCATGAGTTCTTGAAGGCTCTGGAAGTTGTAGGGCTGTCTTGGTTGACCTGAACGTCAGAGGTCAGGTTTTCTGAAAATTGTGTGGCTGTAATAACTTGAGATGGAAGTCACCTTTGAAATTGGTGAATATGCTAAAAATATCAGATGAGTTTAAATGGGGCGTTCGTGGCTCAAGAGTTGGGCGTTCGTCTTGTAATCGGAAGGTTGCCGGTTCGAGCCCCGGCTCCGACAGTCTCGGTCGTTGTGTCCTTGGGCAAGACACTTCACCCGTTGCCTACTGGTGGTGGTCAGAGGGCCCGGTGGCGCCAGTGTCCGGCAGCCTCGCCTCTGTCAGTGCGCCCCAGGGTGGCTGTGGCTACAATGTAGCTGCCATCACCAGTGTGTGAATGTGTGTGTGAATGGGTGGATGATTGTGTATAGTGTAAAGCGCTTTGGGGTACTTGGGACCAAGTAAAGCGCTATACAAATACAGACCATTTATCAAATCTCAGTGACCTTGACCTCAAGGTCAAAGGTCAGAAGTCAAGTTTTCTGAAAAACTTGTAAATGTGATCATTTGAGAACAAGGCAACGTAGGATTTTGAAATCGATACCATAGGTGTATCTACTAAAAGGCTCAGGGGAGTAAAAAGAAGTTAGCTGACTAACAAAGAAATCAGTGAGAGATTTCTAATTGCTGCTGGAAAACACTTTAGAGAGCTGTAGACACCCAGTTCACGATCACGATTAAATAAGCAACTCTTTCCGACCGTTGCAAGTAAAAGCTTTACTCAATAAAGTTAAATATTAATTGTACTGTGATTCAACTAAAACAAAATGTAAAACTTTGGATTCTACTGTGGGCCTAAGAGTATTACGGTGGCCCAAGGAGGGCAAACGGATTTAAGAAAACACCAGCAAATAGGAAAACGCTGCAAAAGCACACAATACACAATGGAAACAGAAAAAAGACAACGGGAATGAAAGAAACATGACAAAAACTACAAAAACAAAATCAGAAAGGAAAACAGAAGTGTTTCAGGGGACACAATAACTTGACGGAAACATTTCCGTTTTCTTTCTGATTGTTTTCTGTATTTTCTTTATTGTCTTTTTGTCTGTTTGTGTTTTGTGTGTGCTTTTGCAGATGCTTTCAGTCCGTTTGGCCTCTCAGGGCCACCGTAAGATTCAGCTTCAGAAAGATTTTGTAAATTGATGTTATTGGTGAATAAATCTCCTTTATTTTTATTTTTATACTGATGACCTGCACAAACAAAAGTTATATTTACCTTACTGCATCTTCCTCTCTGAAATCCATTTCTAAATTCTTTACAAACATTATGAAACGATGAATTTCAAGTTGCATTAACAGTAAAGCTTTGGTTTTCAAAACGGACTTTGCACATGTCCTGACCTCAGTCCGTTCCATCCTCTTCTGCAGGTCAGCCACCAGCCTGGCCATGTCCTCATCAGACTCTCTGTCTCCACGGTCTACCTCCTGTCAGCAACACAAACAAGTGCATTAGACATCCACAGATTCAAAATCATCGGACCAAGTGATTGTGGAGACCCTTACTTGTCTTCCACTTTCTTCAGCTCTCTCTTTTTTGAGCTGCTCAATTGCATGCAGTAGACCTCGGTAGTCAGTGATACCGTACATCCGGGCGTATTTCTCATACTCTTTCGGGTCCACGTTTCTCAACAGCTCAACTATGTCAATGTCTTTTTCCTCCTGTGGGCTCTTTTGCTTTGATGGAGTTCTGAGAACAAGGAGATGTCATACATTTTTAAAGATAAACAAAATGACAATGACAAATTGAACGACATTTAAACGACATTTCAGTCTGAATGATTCTGTGTTGTCAGATTCTAAACTCACTTCTTCAGTTTAGCGCGGAGGTCTCCCTCAAGCATCACTACGTCCTTCTTTTCCTCTACGTGCATGTCAGTACTGCACTCGATCTCGCCATGTTTGTTGGAGGCGACACACCTGTACTGACCAGAGTCCGATTTCGTCACTTCTTTGATCTCCAGTTTGGCCTCTTGGCCCTTCTGTTCAATGGAGATCCGGCCACCATGGGTCACTTGCCTCCACTTCCCTTTCATCCACTTCACACTGGGAATGGGGTCACCACCCACCTTTGCGATGAAGGTGGCGGTTCCCTCTGTGAGCAACAGGTAGAGGAGTTAGATCAGAAATGCCTACGTTTTTACACATTTGGATTGTGCATTGTGCAAATGTTGAGACCCTCACTCTCGGTAACGTGTGCAGTTTTAGGCTCTTCAATGAAGAACAGATTGTCCAGTTTTTTGGATGGAGAAGCTGCTGGAGCTTCAGCAGGAGACAGAGCTGCTCCAGGTTTCTCTGCAAGATGACAAACTACAAATGAAAGATTCTCAAAAGCAACAAAAATCTGAATTTTTCAACTTTTGAGAAATAAAAACGATTACAAATAAATAAAATCTTAGAGTACAGATCTGAGGGGATTTAACCTTTTTTTTTTTTTTTTACCTTTGACAGTGACTTTGGCTTTGCAGAATTCGCTGCCAGCCTCATTGGTAGCCTTGCAGAGGTAGTCACCAGCATTGAGTTTAGAGACTGTGCTGATCTCCAGACATGCTGTGCCATCAGAAAAGCTGATTCTAGTGCTGCTGGATGGTGTCAACTCCTTCCTGTCCTTCATCCACTGGATCTTCAGAGGGGAAGATCCACAGACATGGCACCTGAGAATTAGCTTTTCGCCGTCATCCACAGTTGCTGGTTTGAGAGGTACGTCAAACACTGGGGGCTTCTTGGCCTCTGAAAGAGAGATAAGCCAGTCTGATTTATCTGACTGTACTGCTGTCAGTGCTCAGATTCAGATTCATAAACACATCTGAAGACCTTTAAACAAAGACTTCAAAGTAAATTCGAATAACAGGGTTAAAAAGCAAATATACATGAGGAGAAAAAGTCTGACTTGAAGCCTTCATTAGTTAACAATTTAAGCAAGATGTTTAACCAACAGTCCAAATCATCAAAGATTATAACAATGGAATAAAGAAAACCAGAGACTTCGATAAACATACCAAACCACTAAATAAGCTCCGTCATTTTTTAATCATTCCTGCTAGCTGTCATTCTGTGAGCATCAATTATGCTTCGACTTTAAATCAAACATACCTGAGATGCCAACAGTGACATCACAGGAGGCTTTCCCAGCTTCATTAGAGGCCTGGCACGAGTACCTTCCGCTGTCAATCACTTGGCTGTTTTTAATGCACAGCACTGCCACATTACTCTTAAAGCTGATGTCATACTTGTCAGAACTCTGTATCTCCATGTCATCTTTGAACCAGCTGACTGAAATGGGCTGCGACCCGGAGACTCGGCCCTCAATCTTCACCAGTTTGCCCTCCATGTCCTCGATGTGCTCTGAGGGCTTTTTGGTGAACACTGGAGGATTTTTGCGCTCTGAAATCAAGACAAGAAAGTAAGAATGATGAGAAGGGGAGCAGCTTTCAAAGACAAAACAATGTCCTTCGAGAGACGTGAATGCTTTAGAAGAGAGAGCCGAGATGGCATGAGTGTGCCCCAGGTTCAAATACCTTTGACAGTGATATCAGAGGAACAAGAGTCCTTCCCCATGTCATTAGAGGCGTGGCAGAAGTACCTCCCTGTATCTGATTTATCTGCCTTCAGAATGGTCAGGTGAGGTGTATTATCCACACAGCTAATCTTATAATTCCCCCCAGAGCGAATATCTTTGTGGTCTTTGGACCAAGTGACTTTAATGGGGGTAGAACCAGTCATGTGACATTCCAGCTCAATGCTGTCACCCACTGTCACCTCCTGTAGTGACAATTTCCTGTCAAATACCGGAGGGTATCTGGGTTCTGCAGAGTGGGGAATGAATGAAAGGAAGATAAAATAACAAATCTTTAGATGGACACGATTAAACAGTTTGGGGCCTTAAACAGCCCAGCACCATCTGACCAAAGTGCTGTCAAAAATAATAAACAAAAGACATTTAGAACGTCTAGAACGTGAAAGAGAAAGGTGGTTAAGTACAACAGAGTGGGGCATTTTCAGAAACGTGAGGAGCAGTGACCAGAAGTCATGAGGTCTCCTAACACAGTTTCACAATAAATAGAAGACTCGTTTTTGTCTAGCCAGAATCAGTAGGTGACGGTGAGATATCTAAACGTTACACTGTTTGCTTCATAAGCATCCAGTATTAATGAATCAACCATCCAATCATGCGTCACACACCTTGCAGAGTGAGCTTGGCTCTGCATGAAGCTGAGCCCACACTGTTGGTGGCCACGCAAGTGTACTCCCCAGAGTGCCTCATCTCACTGTTGTTGATCTGCAGAACAGCTGTGTTATCATCGTACAGCATGGAAAACTCCTCCCCCTGACTCAGAGGTTTGCCGTCTTTCAGCCAGGACACCTCGATGGGCAATGAGCCAGCCACGCGGCACTCAAAGCGCACTGGCTGGCCCTCAGTTTGCTGCAGGCTGGTGATCTTCTTTGGGAATGATGGTGGCGTTTTAGCTTCTGTAAAAGATAAACACATGGCAGACATTAGTCTGAAAAGCCAGTGATTTTTACAAAGGTATAAATTCAGTAATCTGGAAAACTAGGTTTTACCTTGCACATTGAGTCTGCAGCTGGAGGAAGCAGAGCCAATCCTGTTCTCTGCCTTGCAGGTGTACTCTCCGATATCGGACTTGGTGGCTTTACTTAGCTTCAAACAGGCAACACCCTTTGTGTACTCCAGCTTGCAGGTGGGGCTAGACCTGACTTTGCCATCAGCCTTGAACCAGGACACCTTGATCTCAGGTGTGCCTGCAACCTGACATTTCAGACAGACAGCATCTCCAGCTGTCACCTCCATGGGCTCCAGTGACTCAGTAAAATATGGTGGCTCTGTGTGTGCAAACGCCAGAAAACATAGGGACACACTGTAAATTAAATCAGATCTGCAGGCTTTGGGACAGCTACACATATAATAAGTCTTGCTTTGAGTGTGGTTGTATGTATTATTGCTTATAGATTAACCTATCAGGCTTTTCCTCATCATATAGTCTTATATGCAATTTTACTGAATAAAAGTGGGCGACTGTAACATCCATAATGCAAAACCTCTGGCTTCTGTATGTTTGAGGTTTCCATATTTTTATACCTTTGCAATGTGCTGATATCAGTTTGTTACTTATTACTGCAGGTTTACAACCACTGCACACTGCTTCTAAGTAGAGTCTCCTGATTTGCCTAATCAGAAGGAAAGACTTTGTTGAGGTGGTCGGCTCTGAAGAGAGTATAAAGTTTGACTCTCGATTATTACCTAATAAGGGGCATTTTTCATTCTTTTAACTATTCAGTTTGTGTTGCTCTTTCTATCTAACATTCACACACATTTGTACTCTGGTGGATGCATCGGACGCTTGCCCAAGAATATTTTGCAGGAACAAATCAACAAATGAACCCAAACAGAGTGGGTTCAGTGATCTTGTACTAACCGAGGATAGAAACCACTGCCTCACACGTGTCTTTCCCAGCATCGTTGCACACTTGGCAGCAGTATTTTCCTGCAGCCTCCTTGTCATCAGTGCTCAGACACTCTAAGATACAGGAGCTTTCTGTTGTGGTAATGTTGTATTTGTATGAAGCAAAGATCTGCTGGCCATCTTTGTACCAGCTCACAGTGATCATGGGAGTGCCCGTGTATGTACACTCCAGGGTTAATGGTTTGCCCTTCTCAACTGATATGTCCTTCAGCTTCTTTGAGAAAGTTGCTGGCTCTGAAAAACACAATATGTTATTAAAATGATTGCGTTAGAAGAAATTTATAGACAAGAAAAACCTAAAGTCGATTGCATTTAACTAATTAATGTTGCTAGCAGAAAGGTGTGTGGTGCCACTGAAAAGATATTTGCCCCTTTCCTGATCTTAAAATATCTGTCACATGTACGTGTTTTAATATTAACCAAAGGTAACAAAGTTACCCAAACCTTACCTGGGATTAACCACATTTTAAAAATATATATTTTTTAGTGAAATAAGAAATAAGTTCTTTCTGGCCAACCTTTGACAGTGAGATTCACTGGATAGCTTTCTTTTCCTGCGTCATTAATGATCTGACAGGTGTACTCTCCAGCATGAGATTTGTCCACGTTGTAAAGCTCTAACAGAACTTTGTTATCATCCAGGGAGAAATCGTAGCCATGTCCAGCTACGATCTCTTTCGTCCCTCTGAACCACTTGAGTTTGAGAGGGGCGCTGCCTTTCACCATGGCTGAGAACATCACATTAGAGCCTGGCATGGCCTCCACTGGCTGCGGTGGCACCACAAACGTTGGAGGTTCTGGGTCCAAACAGAAATATCAAACATTTCTATCAGACATAGAATTGTCAGGGCAATAACAGAACAGGCTTAAACGATAAGATGACTGCATTACAATCTGAATTGTTGCCAAAAACTGTGATTTTTGCCTCAGTGAATAATAAAGGATTCTGATTCTACTTCTATCTTAACTGTTTAATAAAGGTATTGGGGGGCAGGAGGTGGGGCCCGTCACATGTGTGGGCACCACAGAGGACAGGTGGTCTCCTGTGGGGTGCTTGTATCTTTTCCCAACCTGGTTGGTACAGTGGTCCAGACAAGTCAAACACCTTGCAACCAAAGAAAACATCAGCAAGTAGAAAACTGCAAATTAATGTTCACAGTGGAATAAAACAAAACCTCACAAAAACAATATTGATTTAAAGGAGACAATAATGTGACGGAACAGCTGAGAAGGTGACTGATAGCAAATGTGTATCTACAGGATTGCATGAATCATGTGTTGAGCACACACATTACTCCAACACTTCTTTCAATCCACAGCTCTTGTCTCGCCTAAATAATTTTTAATGTAATTATATTTCCGTTTGTTTTGTGTGCTTTTGCTGCAATTGTCTATTTGCTGGTGTTTTCTTAGGTTGCAGTGCATTTGAACCTGCAGAGCCACTGGAAGTGGGGTCTGCCAGTAGTGAACACTATATTTTAGGGTCTTTACCTTACAATATAAAGCACCTTGAGGCAACTGTTGTTATAATTTGGTGCTTTATGAATAAATAAAATTTTATTGAATTCTGTTATTGTGAATTTTGATATAAAACACCACCTGTTACGCCTGAAACCGTTTTCTAACATTCTAACAACAGTCAAAATCCAAGAATATATCAGATACATTCTGCATAAATATTGATTTTTACAAGTTTATCAGTTCACTATTTTTAACACATTTTTTATGATTAGTTGTCATAAGTACAAAGACAGTAATCAAAGAACATTGTCACTTTAGATTTGATTTGTGATGTTGCAGAGCTCTGTGTGCATACTCTGATGAGAACAGACACAGATGGTTTTGTGCATGGACTGTAGGATTTATTTGTCACAGAACTGTTTTTCATTGTAAATGGTAAATGGCCTGTATTTGTATAGTGCTTTATTTAGTCCCTGTGGACCCCAAAGCGCTTTACAGTCAGTCATTCACACACTGGTGATGGCAGCTACATTGTAGCCACAGCTGCCCAGGGGCGCACTGACAGAGGCGAGGCTGCCGGACACTGGCGCCACCGGGCCCTCTGACCCGTAGGTAACGGGTGAAGTGTCTTGCCCAGGGACACAATGACCGAGACTGTCGGTAAAGTGTGTTGGAGATAACCTCACAGGTGACACACTTGGCGTTTTTTTTGCTGGCTTGTCGGTAGCAGCTCCTGAAACGCAAGTCAGCCACACATCTGTTCGACCAAATCCAGTTAATCTAAGCGCCAGTTAATCTGGAACAGCGGCCGCCGGTCCGAGTGTCAGGTGAACTGAACTTCAGGTAAGAAGTTATGACCTGCAGTCTATCTGGGTCAGATATCAACTAAGTTTAGGTGGAGTTTATTTTCCTTGTGCTGACTCTTTACAGTCAGTTACAATAACTCGTACTGCGTGCTAGCTAGCATGACAAACTTTTTATACAGCTGGGTGGGTGCTATGATGTTACTGATAGTGAACTTTATTCATAAGGTTAGTTAGTAGAGTTGCCAACCGTCCCGTAAAAATGAAATAGTCCCGCATTCAGAGAAAATGTTACGCGTTTCGTATTGAGCTGAGAAGAGACACAGTTTTTTTCAGCTATAATGAAAAAAAGACACAAAGTTGGATTTATTCTGTCTTTACGCTGCAGCTGCCTCTTCTTCTCTCATTCTCTCCCCCGCCCTCTCCTGTTCCTACTTCAATCATGAAACTGATCAATGATCAGCTGATCGGCTTTTCTCTCTTGTTTGTTTATCGCCCACTTTGCGCCAGAAAGAGGAAACCAGCAGATGTCGCGCTAAACAACAGCAGCACGTTTAAGCTTGATCAGCTGTTGTTAGAATGTGTTTAATATTAATTTCTAGTATCAGCTGATGTTTGCTGGAGCCACAGCTGTAAAAGCTGCTGGTCATGATGTCGGTTTGGATATCCTAAATGGTCCGTATTTGTATAGCACTTTACTAGTCCCTAAGGACCCCAAAGCGCTTTACACATCCAGTCATCCACCCATTCACACACACATTCACACACTGGTGATGGCAGCTACATTGTAGCCACAGCCACCCTAATGAGAGGGAAACATGAAGGTGAAACCAGGAGATGTCCTTACTGAATCATCAGAGCTGAGCAGGTGATGGTTTACCTTTTAGGTGACAGGAATGAGTTGAAGGGAAGTTATGAACTGTTTCTGAGAGACAAAATAACACCAGGATCCTTTTCTAAGCAGCTGACAGCTGGTAACTGCGCAGGGGCGGGTCTAGCAAAGTTTTGCCAGGGGGGCAGGTAGGGCATTAACAGGGAGAGGGGGGCACAAAGAAATACCTTTCTATCTTATTCTCATTTAAAATGTCTAGCTTTTATTAAATAATTATCTGAATCTTGTGAACAAAGTTTTTATCTGACGTAAAATGTATAGAAATCATACATATACCAAAAAGATATCAAGTGTACATCACTGTCACCACAGCGTTTGTTTTCATTCAAAGGCTTTATGGCTTTAATACCTGGTGGGCCGGTCTTTAGTCAAAATGCCCGATTTTCTGTCCCAGTCCAGCCCTGCAGGTTAATACTGGCAGTGTCACCATGCCAGCTGACTGTATTTCATCATCAGCCAGTGTTGTTCTTGATCAATATTACCACAGTTTACCATAAGGCAGCATAGAAAGTATTTACTTGCTTTCAGGTTTTATTCAAATGTTAGTCTTTTCATTTGTTTCCCCACTTTTTTCCTGTTTCAAAATCAAACATCAGTTTGTGAGAAGATTATCTTCTGTTTCTAATAAGCAGATAAAGTTTTGCATTGGCTAATTTGTCAATTGTTTGTTACAAATGTTCGTATTTTAATATTCAAAAATGTTTTTGCCCAAAACATATGTTCACTATATGTCAGTAAAACTACTATGCAAATATTGCTGTCCTTGAATGCTGAATAAACACTGACAAAGCACTGATTGTATCTCTTGTACTTTATCAACGCAGTATCTAAAAACTTTGCACCGTAGTGGTTAAAATCTCATTCTAATAAGAGTTAAAAGCACATTCGGATTTTTAGGTTTACAGGGTTATTGAATTATGGTTAATGGTAGAAATTTTTTTAACATTATCTGCCAATTACATCTGCCACCCTTCTCCAAATATGTGCCCCTTCTTGGCCCCCCCAACAAAAATTTTCTAGACACGCCACTGCTTTTCACTGAATTAATTGGAGGCAGCTCAGAGAAACGGGTGCTGAAACATTCAACAGACAGCAGCAACATAAAGACTTCTTTGACTGGGATACTGGGATTGGGATACTGACCTCGAACAACCAGGAAGGCTGTAGTTTCTGTGGTTCCCGCCTTGTTGACAGCCTTACATTTGTATGCTCCAGAGTCAGCCAGCTTCAGCGTGAGCACCCTTAGTGTACAGTTGTTGTCACTGAATGAAATCTCATAATTTGGCCCACTCTTTATCTCCTCGTCATTGTGGTACCATGAAATGGTAAAAGGAGATGAGCCTGACACTTTGCACTCTATTTCTAAAGGTTTTCCAACAACAGTGGTACAGTCTTTCAGTTTCCGTGAGAATGTTGGAGGAATCGTCTTATCTGTTTCAGAGGGAAACAAACAATGCTGTTAAAGAGTATCCATTTGTCAAGAAAAGTACCGTAATTTTTGGACTATAAGGCGCAATCGACAGTGCGCCTTATAGTCCGAAAAATACGATACTAGGGTAAAAGTACTTTCAATGAATCCTCTTCCCTCATGTCAATGGGGTAATGAGTGAACACACTGATCAGGATATTCCAGCTCATGGTACGAAGACGTTACCTACCTAAAACAGTGAGATTGATTTTACTCAGGTCCTTCCCAACTTCATTCATAATCTCAAATGTGTATTCTCCAGAGTCAACTTTCTCAGCAGACAGCACATTCAGGCTCGAAATCATCCGGGAAAATGAGATTTTGTATTTTCTCCCAGAAGCCAGCTCAGCACCATCTTTGAACCACTTGGGTATGAGCTCTGGGGTTCCACACACTTTGACCTCCAGGGCAGCCATATCACCTGCCGTCACACTCAGAGCATCCGGCTTGTCCACTATTTTAGCAGGCTCTGGAGTCAACAGAGAGGGAGCAGAAAATACTTAAAATCACACATTCAGGCTCCAGGTAGAAAAACAAAACAGAAAGAGAGAGAATTATATGATTACAAACCTAGAACAGTCAAGTTAGCGAAACACTCCACACTCCCAGCATCGTTTCTGAGTTGGCAGGTATATTTGCCTGCCGTAGTTGCATCAGCGTTAAAGATTTTAACTGCCACCTGGTTGTTTTCATAGGTGATTTTCCTGTTGTCACTGTCCCTGAGAATGTGATCCTTGTCTTGAACCCAGGACACAGTAATGGGTTCAGAGCCTTTAACAGTGGCCACAAGGGTCACCTCCCCTCCCAGTATCACTGTAATGTTTGACAGTCTCTTCACAAATGATGGTGGCTCTGAAGAGAGGAGAAAAACAGCGCAAAGGCAAAGTCAGCAAGGTGACAAAGTCATTTGAAAATCTAATTTTATTTTATATTATTTTAATTTAATGCTATCGCGATTTCTACTGACCTCTGAGTTTAATTGATGTCTGGCAGGTATCGCTTCCTACACTGTTTGACACTTTGCACTCGTATTCGCCGGCGTCTGAGGGCTCTATTCCAATGACATGCAGTGTGGCTGAGCTGCCCTCGCTCACCAGCTTAAACTTCCTGCTCTCCATGAGAGGTTTTCTGTCTTTAAACCAGGTGATCTGGAATGGAGCTGTACCACTGATCTCGCAGTACAAACTTACGTCCTTACCCTTCAGCCCTTCAACAGGCTGGGGTATTTTGACAAAAGATGGGGGGTCTATAGAAAGATGATGGAACCGTTAAAGAGGAATACACGAGGGAAACAATTCATGTCTAGATCTTAAAACTGGAATCCATAACTGTTGAATGAAGCTCAAAGCTGGCAGTGTTGAAAACGTTACTAGAGATTAACGGGTGGAATTTTTGTATGAACATGAAGTCTTAGAAAAGATTGTATATTTAATGTGGAAATTTTATGGAACAATTTGTCATGGTCCGTCAGTCCTCGCTGGTCGAACTGCTTTTAATGTTATGTCATTTGAGTGGTTTGTTTTTAGTCCCCTGTTTCCCTCTGTGTGCGTTTGTGTGTGTGGCCAGTGTGCCGGTTCTCGGGCAACACCAGGCTGGTGGCGTTCCCGGGCTAAGAACAGCCACACCTGCTCTTCAATCAGGATCCATCTGCTGCCAGCGATCCTCATCAACTGTCTGCTATTTAACAGTGTGGCTGGGCTTCGATCAACGCTCTATCGCTGAGTGGCAAAGTTAGCACAAGCCCGGCTCGCGGAAACTGAAAGCTGTCTCAGGCCATCGTCTGGTGAAAACGTTTACTAAATCGTTACGTCTTGTTTTGTCAGGTAATCACGGGAATTTTGGAAATCCCACTGTTTTGAACACTTTTTGCTTCTCACTGTTTATTCTAATACTGTAAATAAATTCACAGTCGCTACCAGGAAAGTCCTGAGTTTGGGTCATGTTCCTAACACAAAATTGGAATGTGGAATTTTGCTTGGGTCTTAGAATTTGTTGGAACTGCAATTAGAATAGCAGATCTCTAAGAAATGTGGAAAATGAAGTTGGAAGTTGTAGTGACAGCAAATCCGTAATTTAAGTGTGGTTTAAGTTCAGTGAAAATTTTGGAATTGTTGAAATTTGTTACGGAACTTGGAATTTTTCTAAACTGGTGTGGAATTTTGGGGAAAGTGAATTTGAACTATGATGCAGATGAGCTGTTAGAGTTGTAAACACATATTTGGTATGCTGCTGCGCAATCTGCTGCAAATACATCTGAGACTGTGTCATTTTTGTTCTATCGTTAATTAAAATAAGGGCTTGTACGAACTACTGCATTCTGTTTTTATTGATATTTTACACAGTGTCTCATCTTTGATGGAACTGGGGTCGGAGTTTAGAAATGTACCTTCAATATGTTTTTATACCAAAACGGTTGCTCTAAGTACAAATGGACACAGTTGTAAGACTATTGAGATGTGTAGAGATGTTATGTTATCTTGCACTGCAGCTAAGATCATGGAATGATAGAAATGTATCAGAAACTGCAACAAGCCAGCACGTTTGTGGAAAAAAACCTATTTGTTGTACTGCAGACAGGATGGTGAATTCCTTTAGCGTTGTAGAAGTTCAAGCATATGTTGCTGGAGCTACAGGTAGAATGGCTTGGATTTTAACAAAGAGCATTACAGTTAACTTAAACGGTTCCATCTCGGTAAGCGTGAAGCGTTATGTAAAATGTATTGGCTCAAGTGAAATGATCTGTTTTGACTTGCAGATTAACATTTTCAGCGGTACAAGAAAGGGAAAAGCCTCAGATGACCCTCGACCATACTGGATTGTTAAATAAAGTAGTGCAATCAGTTATGGATACCAGCTTTAAGCAGTGGAACACAGCTATATAACCCACCAATACACTGAACAGCCACTGTGATCAGAATAATAAAATATATTTCAGAAGTCCACGGGATGCTAACCTTTAATGGTAAGTGTAGTGCTGCAGCTCACACTGCCAGCATCATTCTGAGCCTCACAGGTGTAAACTCCATCATCCTCAAAACTAGTGGAGACCAGTTCTAGCACTGCTACTGAGTCAACAAACGACGTCCTGTAGTTGCCACCGTCTGTAACTTTGGTGTCGTTTTTGAACCAGGTAATTTTCAGAGGGACTGTGCCACTGACTTTGCACTCCAGGCGGAGTGACTCACCCTGCTTCAAAAACTTATTGGCAGGGAGTTTCAGTAGAAATTCAGGTGGTTCTGGAAAGCCAAAACACAGATATGTTATCAGCTGAGGAAACACTCACCATTTAACATGGTTAAGATGGGCAGGAGGTGAGCAGATGAGATAAGCCAAGAATGACGGGTTAGAAGGAAAAGCAAAATGGCTGCGTGAATGCCATACAAATGCTAAATATATTGCTTCATAGAAAACGCAGCAGTGGAAAAGCTGTACATAATAAACAAAATGCTGCAAAGCTACACAAAATGTAACTGAAGGATTGGGTTTTGCCAGCGATGAAGAAATGAGATAAATACATCTCTGCAAGGATTGATTTAAAACATGTAAATCCAACCTTTTACTGTCAGGTTTGCACTACAGTGTACGGAGCCAGCATCATTGCTGACTTGGCAAGAGTAGACTCCACTCTGTGTGACGCCCACTGAATAGAGCTCTAAGAAACAGGACAGCCCATCAAGCCCTATTAAACAAGTAGGCCCAGTCATAAGCTCTGTGTCGTCCTTAAACCATTTGACTGTGAAGGGAGGAGTTCCCTTAAAAGTGCCTTTGAAGCGTGCAGTGGCTTTGGGTAGAGCTGTCTGCGACTCGGGCACTGTCACAAAGCTTGGAGGTTCTGAACACAAGATGAACAAGGTTAAAGATGTACTCACCTTTGGTTTAGGATCATATGACCAATCATGTTAAAAAAAAGCAGTGTCTGACCTTTGACCACGATGGACCCACTGCATTCACAGCTTCCTGCTGCGTTAGTCAGTTTGCAAGAGTATAACCCTGCGTCAGCTCTCTCTAGCTGTTCAATTTCAATGGACACAGAGTTGTCCTGCTGAATGAGCTTGTGCTTTAGACCACTAGAGATTTTGGTTCCATCTTTCTTCCATTCCACAGAGATGGGGAGAGAACCAGATATTTTGCAACATATCTGAACAAAGGACCCCAATATCTCGTGCATGTCTACCAGGGGTTTGATGAAGCTTGGGGCAATTACTTGCTCTGTTGCCAAGAGAACACCAAGACACAAGTTAGACTTTGTGAACATATTATTATGTCTAGCAGCAGCGGCGTGTTTTAGAAACTAACCTAATACAATTAGCTTGACTTTGCAGGTACAGCTACTGATGTAGTTTACCACCTCAAAGACATACTCTCCTTCATCCTCTGTCTGCGCAGCCTGAATCTTTAAGCTGCTGATATTGTTCTCAAAGATCAGCTTGTGCTGCCTGATGGACTTGAGCTCCCTGCCATCTTTCATCCATTTCACCCTGAGTTCAGGGGAGCCTGTAACCTTACAGTCCAGACTGACTGGATCTCCAACTGTAACCTTTACCACCTCAGGTTTCTCTGTGATCTGCGGAGGCACTAAAATCCCAAGCAAAGTCAACAATTCAGAACGTTTCTGAGCCAGAGTGTAAAAAGATTTTATAGCTGCAACTAGTTACCTTGCACTGTGAGGGCGGCAAAACACTTATCCTGCCCAGCCTCATTTACCACCTGGCAGGTGTATTTGCCACTGTGTATCGCCTCACAGGCAGGGATCCGGAGTGTAGCCACATTGCTTTCAAATGTTCTCTGAATCTTTGGATCCTCCAATATCCAATTCTCATCTTTTTTCCACTGTACAGAGGTGATGGGAGAGCCTTTCACAATGCACTGAAACTCTGCCATTTTACCCAGAACAGTAGCAGTGTTCTCAATTGTCTTGATGAATGTTGGTGGTTCTATTAGGAAAGAATGAAATATTAAAGTTTAAAGACCTCACCTCAAATGAAAATATGCAGAATTATTCTTCTGCTTAGACCAACCTTTGAGGCTTAGTGTAGTCTTACAAGTACAGCTTTCCACCTCGTTAGCAACGGTGCATTGATATTCACCAATATCTACAGCATCACATTTGTGCACTTCAAGACACACAGTGTCATTTAACTGAGAGAAGGCATGTTTAGCACTGGGTTTGAGCTCCTTTCCATCTTTGTGCCATGTTATCTCAAAGGGACCCGTCCCAGCAACTTGACACTCTAACATGGCAGTGGAGCCCTTCACAACATCAGCTCGAGCCAGTTCTCTAATAAATGATGGCGGTTCTGAAATGAGGGAGAGCAAACGGTCATGAACCTATTCTACTCCAGCAGGTCCATACTTGCTGGTCCAGAGGTTTACAGTTCATATAGGTAAAAATATTGGATAGCCCTGTTGTTTATTTTATGTTTAACTTAAATCAGATCAGTCTAGCTCTTTGTTTGAGGGAAACCACTGCTTTGAATTCAATGCTGTTGTAATTCTAGCACAATGAACATCGTGTACTTTGATTCAACACACCTTTGACCTTCAACTCCATGCTGCAGCTCTCACTGCCAGCTTCATTACGAGCTTCGCAGTAGTAAAGCCCACTATGTTTAACTTCAGCCCCACAGACTTCCAGTGTTGCCACAGAGTTGACAAAGGCCATCTTATAGTGATCAGTGGGGCTGATTTCAGAGCCTTCTTTGAACCAGTAGATGTCAATCTCAGGTGTGCCGGTCACCTGGCACTCAAAAACCTTACTCTGACCAGGACAAACTACAGACACACGGGCTGGGATCTGTGTAAACTTTGGAGGCACTAAGGAATAAAAGAGAGTGACTGATAAACCATCAGATGAACAACATGGGGGACACATTCACAAAGTGCATGTTTCCATCCAAGTGTTGATAACATTTTAAGCAAACTCATAGCAAGTTTTGGGAACTTGCAAGGGGGGTGTTTTGGAAAATTTAGGTACGAATTATCAGTCGAAAGTGGAGATTTAATGTGAATCAAAGGGAAAAGGTCAAATATAATGTGAGAAAAATGTCTCCAACAGATGGCTGGAGGCATACTTGGCAACTCAGTTTCACATAAAGATTAATAACCTTTGACAAAGAGTGTTGCTTGGCATGAAGCGGAGCCAACATCGTTCTGTATTTGGCAGACATAGTCTCCAGAATCTGTGGTTTTTGCGAAGAAGAGTTCCAGTGTGCTCGAGGTGTTATCTTTGATCACTGACCAGTCAGCACTGGACAGGATCTCTTTACTGCTTTTAAACCATTTGGTGGTGAGTGGTGGTGTGCCAGAGAACAGTACACTAAATTGGACTTTTGAGCCAGGCAAAACATTTATGGATTCAGGTTTTTCAAGAATGCACGGTGATTCTGAAAGACAGAGACAAAGCAATTCTGGGTAAAAATGCTTCTAACTATATTTCTTTGTACACATCCATCTGCTCAGTGGTACAAAAATGTGTTCAGACCTTTCACAAATAAGACTCCAGAGCACTGGACCGTTCCTGCTTTATTTGTAGCAATGCAGGTATAATTGCCACTGTCTTTAGTGTCAAGATTGGAGATTTCTAGAAACGGAACATTTTCAAAGAATGTGCATTTGTGTTTGTCATCGGTCTGGATCTCTTTCTCATCTTTGTACCACTGTATGGTTATTGGAAGAGAACCAGACACGAGACACTCCAGATGCGCAAATGATCCTTTGACACCCTCTGTCTGTTTCAGTTTTCTTGTAAAAGACGGAGGAATTATTTGATCTAACATGGACAAAAGAAAAAGGCGAGTGAGAAACAAAGCAAGATTAAATTAAACAAAACTAAGGTGACAGACATTAAGAACAGACCGAGAATGGTGAGTGTGGCATCACACGAACTTTGTCCAACATCGTTTGAAACCTCAAAGACATATTCACCACCATCACTTTTCTGAGTTTTAATAATCTTCAACACAGAACTGGTATCTTTGCTCTGTACTTTATATCTCTGGCCTGAGGTCAGCTCCTTGCCAGCCTTTAGCCATCTGACCTTCAGGGGTTTTGTGCCTGAGAACCTGGCTTCCAGAGTAGCCGGATCCCCCTGAGTCACACTGATAGACTTTACCTCTTCTGTGATTTTTGCTGGTTCTGGGGTGTCCCAAAAAAAGAAAAACAGTCAGCAAAGATCTTAAAGCTTCCTATATTACAACACATCAATTACAAACCTCAACCTGAGCCTCCAGAACACTAAAGATTCTACACTTTGGTTCTTGTCAGCTTACAAGGTCACATTCATGTAATTTCAAGCATGAATGAGTATAAAAGTCATCAATGTTTCAGTCAAATCTCATTGTCTTGAGTGAAACTTCCTGCTAATATATTCAGATTTTAGAAAGCCATGTGAAAAAAAGTACACCTTCATTCTAAGGTTCCACATATCAGGACATTCTCGCTTAACTCAGTTTACTGATGTTTGCCAGCATTTGTTTATGCATAACTTTCTTAATGTCCCACCAAACTATTTATATCAGATTCCTGTTTCTGCTTTACAGTAGAATCTGTGTGACAATCACTTTGAAGTCTCTGTGTGCCGAGTTTCTTTTTTGCTTTTATTGTCAGCGTTGTGTGTTCATTTCTGAAGGAAAGAGCGTATGTTTGCTCTCATTAGGACAGAAATGTGTGTTGGTGTGTGGAACTTTAGCCCGATTTTTATATTCTTAACTGGCATTAATGAGACATTTCAGGGCATTTTACGAGGCAACAAGAAAGTAATGGAAAGAGTTGTGTAACGAATGACTTTCTCCGGTGAGTAATTAAGTAATGTGATGTCTCTAATATGCTATTTAGTGACGAGAGCCAATGAGAGCGAAGCAAGAATCGAAGAGAATCAAATTGAAATGTGAAGAAGATTGATAAGTGATATCACTAAATTCTTATCTTCTGATTTCTGGACTTTGACTAAGCCTTTGCAATACCTTTATTTTCTTTTTCGGCCATGATGTTGTAGTTTTGCTGGTGTACTTGGGAATACTGACCCTTATTTACTAATATGTGCATGGAAATGTTCCTACTTTGTGCAAAAAGTCTACATGCAAAATCACAGATGATGATATAAGTAATTTTTAATTTAAGACCATTTAAAATAAGGAATGTTTAGATTAAAAGGTAAAAGCCTGCATCCTTACCTTGAATATTTTATATGCTTTACATGTATTTTTTTTAATCTAATTGTAATTCTGAGCACTTTGTGTCTTATGGTGTTTGAAAAAAACTGACTGATGACCAATAATTACATTATAATCATTATAATAATAATTAATATTATTCAAAGTGTGACATGGACACTCTTGCAAAAGTTGCAATATGTTGCAGTAAGCTGCCATGCCAGCAGAGGGAGACATTTTTTGCAAGCCAACATAATGATCACAGGAACACGTTTACATTTAAATATATATTTGCTGCTTAAATTAATAATTTCTGCCAATTAGGGACCCTGTAATGCATTCATACCTTCCTTCCTGACTGCTATTTACCCCGGTAATTCCTAATTTTAAGACCTACTAAGGGCCAGTTACATTTTTATTATGTCCAAATATGTGGACTCTTAGAATTGAAGGAGGGTGCACTTCCCATTTCACAGGACTGCAAGAAAACAGTCAAGTTTATCAACCTGTGAAGGCATACAAAGATTTTAATAAGGGTGCAAACAAAGTTGAGTTTAATATCTTAACCAACCTTTGACTGTCAGCACAGCAGAGCATGTCTGGCTGCCAGCCTGATTCTGCACCTGGCAAGAGTATTTACCACAGTGACTGCTCTGTAAGTTGGTGATCTGCAGTAGAGCAGTCTTGTTCTCATATGTAATCTGAATGTTTTCAGCCTCTTTGAGCTCATGGTTGTCTTTTAGCCAGGCCACAGTTATGGGCTCAGAACCTTTCAGACTGCAAATCAGAGAAACCTCGCTGCCAGCCAGTGAGCTGAGGTTCTCCAGCTTTCGAACAAATGATGGTGGTTCTGCAAAGAAAAATGTAAAAAGCTGAGCAATCTCAAGTAAATTCCTTCTGAACAAAAAGAGAACTGTGCTTGCTAAGATTTCAAAAATATGATACAGATTAAAATGCAGCCTTTTGAAATGTAAGGAGAAGAGCTTACGGCAGCTAACAACAAAAGCACCTAAACTAACCTTTTAGCGTTACGTGACAATCACAGGAGGCCCTTCCCACTTCATTCTCAACACTACACTGGTACAAACCAACATCTCCTGTTTCTACTACCAGAACCTGAAGTGCTAGCAGGTCATCTTTCACAGTAATCCTGTGTCTTTTGTCGTTCCGAATCAATTTGGAGTTTTTATGAAATGACACAGTAAAAGGAGCAGAACCAGAGACTTGGCACTCTAGCATCAGCTCAGAACCTTTCACCACGTCCCTGTGCTCCAAGCTACGCAGAAACAATGGCGGTTCTACAACAAAACAACAGACATGTAATATAAATAGTTACATCACCAAGAAAAGAAGAAGTAAAATCGTTAAAACTAACACTAAACCAACCTTTGACTATAACTGTGCAGGTGCAATGGTCACTTCCAGCCTCACTTGATGCCACACACACATAATCTCCAGTGTCCTCTACTGTACAATTAGCTATTTCTAGAGTTGCCATCAAGTCAATCAAGCTCATTGTGTATTTAGTACTGGCACTGATCTCCATTTCATCCTTGAACCATTTGAAACCGATGACTGGGCTGCCAGTTACTTTGCACTCCAGCCTGGCAGAGTCACCACTGGTGATGAGCTTGGTTGCCTCGGGTTTCCTCACAAACACGGGAGGTTCTGATAGAAGAGGTTAATATTCAGTATGAGACAGAAGAGATTTATGGTTAATATCATATCAGTGGCATAATCTGAAGTCAGGTTTATGAAGTTGCACATGATACTAAAGACTGCACCTTTCACAAAGAGGACTACCGTGCAGTCTACCTTCCCAGCATCGTTGGATACTTCGCACGTGTATTTCGAGGTATCAGTGGGCTTTACAGAGTGAAGCTCCAAAGAGCTTGAAGAGGCATCTTTTTTAATGAAATAAGTGCCTCCTGTAATTATGTCTTTTTCTTCCCTGAACCACTTCACAGTTAAAGGAGCTGTTCCAGTGAATGCTGTTCTTAAGGAAACTGTAGTTCCTGGAATAACATCCTGGTCGTGTGGTTTCACTGTGAACGCTGGCGGTTCTGGAGGCCAATAACACAAATTTACATTTTACGTTAGTATGAAATGATTCAGAGATTACACGTAAAAAAACCAAATGCATAAGATAAGCCAAGCCTTCGTGACCTTTCACATAGAGCGTGCCACTGGTTTCTTTAAAGCCAGCTGAGTTGGTGGCTCTGCATTTGTAAACACCAGAGTCAGCCTTTTCTAGCCACATGATTCTCAGTATAGCAGAGCTGTCTTTAAATTCAGGCTGGAATTTGTCTCCAGAAACAATCTCCTGGTCGTCTTTGAACCAAGTCACGGTCATGGGCTGTGACCCAGACACCTTGCAATCCATGGAGACAGGATTATCAATGTTACCGTCAACTCTTTTCAGCGACTTGGTGAAAGCTGGAGGCATTATCCGATCTGGACGTTAAAGAAGAAAAATCATTTATTTGCAGTTTCACACTGACAGGAACCACTGAGCAAAATCCAAAAGCAAATAACATTGTACACACAACATTTTAGGGCTATAGCATAATGCATTTCCCAAAATGTATGAATACAATGTGTTTTCCGTGTAAACACACACAGCTAAAACAAAGGTTTTAAGAAATTTCAGAAGTAGCTGAAACCAGCAGCCAACCTAAGACAGTGACTGAGCATGTGCACTGGTCTTTCCCGACTTTATTTGCCACTTCCATTTTATACTCTGAAGTATCTCCTTTTTCTGCAGTAAGAATTTTCAGGGTGGCAATATTATCCTTCAGAGTCATCTTATATTTACGGCCACTAATGATCTCCTTCCCATCTTTAAACCATTTCACTTTGAGATCTGGGCTTCCAGAGACCGTGCACTCCAATGCGGCTGAGTCCCCTGCCGTCACACTAATGGACTCTGCAGGTTCTACAATCCTGGCAGGTTCTGGGATAAGACAGTTTTTAAGACAAAGAGTTTAGACATAAAAACCTGTATTACAATATGTAAAGGCATCGCTGCATCAAAGATGCTATCTGACCTTGCACAGTCAAGATCGCTTCACACTTTTGTTGCCCAGCCTCGTTCTCCGCTTGGCATGAATACTTGCCACCGTGGCTGATGGCAACTGTTGTTATCGACAAACTCACAACACCGTTCTCAAAAACCATCTTGATATTTGGATCATCATCTCTTAGCATCTTGGAGTCTTTCATCCATTTCACAGTGATGGGAGTTGAACCTTTAATCATTCCTTGTAGTTTTACTGTATTTCCCAAGACTGCTGTAACACTCTCAACCCTTTTTGAGAAAGTTGGTGGATCTACAGAAACACATTACAAGTTAAAAATGGACAGAATTAAATCTGATTCCGCAACTGCTGTGATGGGCTTGAGTTTACTAACCTTTAAGTTTAGCCATAGCCTTAGTGGTGACTTTTCCCACATCATTTGATATGACACACTGATAATCTCCAATATCTGTAGTGTCAAATGTTTGAATCTCCAGCCTTGCTATTGAGTCTTGGGAAATCAATTTATATTTCTGATCACTGGTGATGGGTTTCTTATTTTTTACCCAAGTGATTTCAAAAGGAGCTGTTCCTGTGACCTCGCACTCCAGGTGAGCAGCTGCTCCCTTCACTGCCTCTACTGTCTGCAGGTCTTTTCTAATGCACGGTGGCTCTATGCATCATAGGTAAAGTAAATGCAGTTAATGCCAAAGTTTGTTTTTTGTCTGAACTGAAGTAAATGTAAAGTAAATCCTTGGACAAACCTTTAACAGCTAAAAGAGTACTGCAGCTTTCACTCCCAGCATTATTTGACACCTCACAGGTGTATCTGCCACTGTCTGTGACCAGAAGGTTCATGATCTCCACAGTAGCAACTCCACTCTTGAAAGATATTTTATATTTGTCTCCATTATTCAGCTCTCTTTCATTCCAGAACCAGTGGATGTGAAGTTCAGGCGATCCTTTGATTGTGCACTGTAAGCGTGCAGCTATGCCCTGTTTCCACGTGAGCTTAGATTCCATTTTCTTCACAAAGGCAGGGGGCTCTGAAAGAGTGTTTTGTTCAAAAACACTAAGACTTTTTATACATTGGTGAAATATAGAAAAAAGTCAACCAAGACATAAGAAAGCAAAAAAGAATGCAAAAAAGGCATAAGACAGCAGCACAGTATTAGTATCAGCTTGGAGCTAGCTAAAAACTCTTGTCAACATTGACCTCACTTCAGGTAAATGCATAGGTTTTCATCACAGCAAATGGAAAGATCACCATTACGATCTTACCTTGAACTGTTACCACAGCCTCACAGGAGGAGCTGCCAGCCTCGTTTGCAGCTGTGCACACATATTTCCCAGAGTCCTTTAGTTTGGACTTGGGGATCTCCAGAACAGCGACCTTGTCCTCAAAGGACAGTTTACACTCCATACTCTGGTGGACTTTTTTGCCATCCCTGGTCCAGGTGACAGCCACACCAGTGTCCTCATTCACGTGGCACTCCAGCCTCAGTGGGTCATTAACAGCTGCAGATACTGGCTCAATGACCGTAACAAACCGGGGCTTGTCAATAACCTTGAGCTCTACTGAAAAAGTAGCTACACCAACACTGTTGGAAGCCTTGCACAGGTACACTCCCTGATCAGTCAGTTCAAGACTTTTAATGTGAAGGGAATACTTGTTCTTTTCACATTTCATGACATAGTTCCCTTCAGAGGAAATTGTTATGTTGTCCTTGTGCCAGACAACTTCCATAGGCGAGGATCCAGTAAGTGAGCACTGGAACACAGCTTGTTTTCCCACATATAAAGTCATTGGGTCTGGTTTTGATACAAATACTGGTGGGTACATCTCTATGGAGAGCAGGCAGAGCACACAAAAAGTTCAACAGGTTTAAAAAACCACCATTAAAAATAAACCTGTGCAACTCAGTGATCAATATGACATGGCAACATTTTGCTTCTTAATAGTGATATACTGCCAAATAATACAGCAGCTTAGCGCTATAAACTAAGCATACCTTCCACACTTGACCTTGATAATTCACAGTACAACACAGTGTTTGTATATAATTCTCTCTCTCTCAAACACATATATGCATAGCGATAATTTAAATGAGGTCCTTTTGGGATCTTACCGGTGACAATGAGCGAGGCAGTGCAGCTGTCTGTGCCGTGTTGATTTGAAGCTTTGCAGGTGTATTCTCCACTATCAGCTTTGACAGGGTTCAGGAGCTCTAAAGAGGAACTAGTGTGGTGGCTGACGATCCGATACTTTTCACTCTGTCTGATTTCGGTGCCAGATTTGTACCATTTGAACGCCACGTCCGGAGCTTCTTCAATCTCACATTCAAACTTGGTGTGACTGCCGACATTTATCTCCAGAGGTGTGATTTTCTGCCTAAAGACAGGGGGCACTGTTGCAGACACAGACAAAAAAAGCACATTTTAGTAATGAAATTTACTGCTACTCTTTAGGTAAAAACAAACAAACAAAAGATTAGGAAAAGGAATGGTGGAATGTACAATAATGGTGGATGGCAAGCCAAGGTGACTGTGGAGAAAAACAAAACCAAAAAAATGCCAGAACATTAGCCCCATGGTTTTACCAAAAGCAGCCTGAAAGAAGATGATATCAGTGTACGTGATTTTCTTGGTTTGTGAAAGATGAGGCAATCTGAAGCCCTTAAAACATGCAGAGACATTGTGGACGTGGAGAATGGCGACAGATCATGGGAAAACACGTTTAAAACAAAGCAGTCTGGTGCCACTTGCATGCCAATGTAAACATCCTAATGGCCAGATCATGACAAACATTATAGCAAGAAGCTTATGCACTTCAGAAATAAAATTACATTACGACTGCGATGGTTCTGGCCTTTAAGGAAATACTGACCAAGATGATGTGGAAAAAAGAAGAGAGTGAGTTAGTACCATCCAGTGCCCTGCTTAGACTGCTCATGCCAAGCTATGAAATGAATAGAGGAACCAAGGTGACAAATGCATATATTCATGTGAAGACAAAGGTTTGGAATGATCCACTGAATGATTAGTTGCTGTCAAAGAAAATGAATTGGATGAATGAGTGAATGATACATAGATTTGTCCTGTTATCAAACCTCTTGAGACCACAGTGAGCCTTGAAGATGTTGTTGTCCTGCCGGCTTCATTCTCAGCCTCACAAACATATTCTCCTTGATGCCTCTCCTTGACAACTTTGTTGATAACCATTGTGTACGTGTCATGGTCTTTGGAACACTTGAACTCTTTGCCAGATTGCACCAATTGCCCATTGAAAAACCAGTTAACCTTTGTGACGTACTTAATGGTAGTGCTGAAGGTTACTCTACTATCTTCTTCTATCAGTATGTCATTGAGAGAATTAACAATTACAGGATATTCTCTCGGTTCTGGTCTGGATACTTCGATGCCCTCTTTGGAAATGCTGACATCCACTGCCTGCTCAGTGGTAGTAGAAGTGGTAATGATAGACACTTCTACATCTTTTTCTTGACTTGTAATGATTGTTGACCTCACCTCCTGTCTTGAAACTTGCTCTGACTGCTCAGAAGCTATGTGAGCTTCAGTTTGAATTTTGATATGGGATGACCGTTTTACCTTTGTGTCCATGGATTCCTGCACTACAACCTGTTCCTCCAATGTAGCATGCTCAACTGCCATTTTAGACTCAGTTTGAAGTGATGCAGAATGAGATTTAACAGCAGTAAAATCCGCTGTGCTCTCTGTCACGCTCACAGTCTTTACCATGGATGACACTGTTTCGCTAGAGCGAGCTGAGGTGGCTTGTGCCCTCTGAGGTTTGTCTAGTTGCATAGTACCTTGCTGTTCTGAAGTAAGAACATGGGCCTCCTGATACACCATGGAGTGAAATGCTGCCTGAACCTCAGTCCTGAGGTCAGCTGTCTGAGGGTATTCACCCTCAAAAGCTAGAGTGATCTCCACAGGGGCACCTGTTGTTGTGATCAGATATGTGAACATGGCCCACTTGGGCTCTCTTTGAACCTTGACTTCCTGTACTTCTACAGCGTTTAGGTATCCTACAACTTCAGCCAGTAACACTGGCTGTTCACTGGCTACAGCAGACTGAAGAGCATCTCTGAGCTGACGCTGTATATTTGAAGTGGATGATTTAGGGATCTGGATCACAAATGTCATCTCTTTAGGCAGAGCTGTAATATCTTTAGATTCTGGTGCCAAAAGGGACAACTTTTGCTGTGCATTAACAGCAACTTTGGTGGTCTCAGACTTGGTGATCTCTTGAGAGAATTCACCTGTCAGCACTCGCTTCTCGTCCATCATTACTGACTGCCTGACTGACTGACCCTCTTGGATCTGAACAGCAAAGTCCTGTTCTGCTGCCTTTAGAAAGACGCTACTCTCAGTGGAGATCTCTTTCTCCTCAATCTGGATTGGCTCAGTGGGTACTTTTGGCTCTACTGTTGTCTGACATGTGAATCTGTCTATAGCTGTTAAATGATCTGTGTGGCCCTCCTCCAAAGCCTGTTCATCTGTCACAGAAGTGACATGCATCACGTTCCAGCGATCCTCCTTCTGTAGTAGAGCTCGCTGATGCTTGCACTCTGTGCTAACTGGTGTCTCTTTTGACAACTGCACAGGCTGGTAGCACAGGTGGAGGATACTTTGTGGCTTGGGCTCAGTTCGAGACTGAGACTGAACTCCAGACAAGGACAAATCCAGTTCTGAGTAAAAATCAGCTGTGAGCTCTGGTTTCTCTTCTGAAAGAGCTGCATGGCTTCTTGCCTTTTCTTGTTTCTGCATTGCCACCAGCTGGTCAGGCTTCTCAACTGTGAGAATGCCCTCTTTGGGTAGGACCTCCACAGGCTGGGTTGACTGGAGATGCAGCAGGGTAGGGGCCTCTTTCTGGTGCTCTATGGTTATAGTGTCTGCCTTGGAGTCAAACTCTGATGTAGCCTCACAAACTACTGTTCTCTGCTCATCCTGACTAACAGTATGTAGCAAAGTGGGACTCTTTCTGGTCCCTGCGTGCTCTGGTGTTGGTTTTTCATATGTTAGTCTTTTCTCAGATGGAAGGAGGTCCTGTTCTGTTATAACCTGCAGGTGTAACAACTGCTTTCCTTCTATCTGGGACTTAATGGACATGGCACTGTCTAGATTAGGAAGCAACTGTGTGGACTCACCCTGCAGCATTCGTGTCTCTTCAGCAGTTAGAGCTGCTTTCATCATCGTATCTTTACAGGTATGGGCTGCTTCCTCAGCAGGCCTCTGAATAGAGAATTCTGACTCCTTGCAAAGAGTTTGCTTAGACTCGTTCACTAAAGCTGTGACAGGTGGCTTATGTTCTTTTCTAATTGCAGACTTAACAGCAGATTCTGCTGTTGCTAACTCAGTTGTGTGACCCTCTGCAAGCACCTGCTTTTCTGTGGACTGGGCCGAATATAAAATCTTAATACCTTCCTTAACCTTATAACCCATCTCTTCCTGTGGTTTGGGGATCTCTTGAGACTCCTCCTTCAGGATTGACAGTTGTGTTTTCACTTGATGACCACTGACTAGATGTTTAGGTTCTGAAGTGATTTTAACAGTAGCAGACTTCCTGTCACCCAGTGGCTCTGTGCTAACAGCAGAAAGTGGTGTGAGCTCCTCGACAACTGCTAACTTCTGTTTTGACTTTTTTTCACTGACTGCCTGAAGCTCAATGAGATCTGGCCTTTGAATGTCATCACAGTGCTGCTCTGTGAGGTCCTGACTCTCTTCAACAGACGATGTGAATGCTGCCATGTGAAGCTGTTTCGCAGGAACAGCTGACACTTGGTCTGGGTGAGTAGGAACCACAGACACCCGTTCCTCTGTCTCATGTGCCTGAAGTATTGCTGCCTGGTGGGTAACCCTCTCACAGTACACGGTGGCAGTGGAGACATCTACTTCTCTAAGGGAGCTCACTTGCTCGCTGGGAATGATCTGCCGATCTTCTGTGCCGATGGTGTAAACCATCTGATCTGACTTAGCTTTATCCTGGCCTGGGAGGCTGACCTGGTACAAGCGTGACTCTGTTGCTTGTTCTGTCACTAAAACCTTGTAACTTTTCTTCTGAACGGCTGTCTCCTGTTTGTGAGAAGCAGAGACTGATTCTTTGAATACAACAAGCTCTGCACTACAAGCGGTCTCACCAAATTGGTTGGAGGCTTTACATGTGTATAAGCCACTGTCCTGTTGTTTGACATTCTTAATAATGATGAAACCAGATCCATCTGAATTGGTTCTAATGGTACAGTTTCTACTGGGCTGGATCTGGAAAGGCCCCTTGAACCACTTTATATCAGGGACCGGATCACCACTGACTTTGTAATTAAAAGAAGCCTCTGTTCCTTCTGAGCACCTCACGGGTTGTATCTGAAGTGTGAAACTAGCAGGCTGACCTGTGAGCTTAAACATCTTCTCAACCCATTTCTCTGCCTGGCTGGCTTCAGGCTTTTTCACCTCCAGGTATGTGGTGCATGTCGTCTGGCCAAATCTATTCGTGGCAGTGCACGAGTACTTGCCCTCATATTCAGACGTGACTTGGGTGATAACCAGTGTGTACTCATCCTTCTCCTCTATCAGCTTGTATACAGAAGAGCTCTTTACAACCTTTCCATTGTGAGACCATTGCACAGTTGGCTTTGGAAAGCCAGATACTCTAACTGTAAACCTGGCGGTTTCCCCCGTGTTTACAGCTGCTCCGGAGAGCTGAGTAAGGAAAACGGGCTTTTCTTTTTTTTTCTCTAAAGTGGAAGAGTAAAGTTTAGAATCTGGCTTGAGTTCAAGTGTTTTAGCTTTTTGTGGTAACTGGACACCAGTGTAGTAGGTTTCCTCTTGTTCTTCCACAGTGGTGATGGTGGTTTCCTCTGTCAGGAAATATTGAGCAGGACATTGGATAATAATATCCAAAGACAGCAGCTATGGTTTTAGCACTTCATTCACAAAATCAGATATTAGGACTGTCCTCATGTAAAACAAATCTCAGCAGAGAGGACTTTTGCAGTCAGTTGTTGAGTTCAATCCGTATTTTGCTTTGTAAAAGTGAAAGCAAACATATCTTTATATTTAAATTACAATAATGAAAAGTCTTATAATAATCTCTCAGTTTAAAAACATTAAAATTTTGCTTTAGCTGCTGAAGTAATTATGAGGACAATCCTAGGACATGTGACAAAACTACAATAAGCACATTAACTATTAACAATTACATGAAACACAAACGCTCTGACCATTCTGGTTTGTTTTTGACTTCCGACCCATTTACAGTGTTAATTTATCAGATCACCACCTAGTGCAAGAATTGTGTCACAGCTGCCCTTAATTAGCAGAACTAGTATCAGTTTTTTATAATTCTGAAATTTGTTTTATGTCTAAAATTTCTTCTACGTATATTCCG